CCCCGCACCGCCGATTGGCTGGGTACCTACGCCGCGAAATAAGTTCAACGTGCATGTCCGGCTCACGGCCACTGACTTTTATTTATTGTCAATACGACGTCTCTAATTTGTGTTAGTTCTCCGATCCACGTGTTCCTCTTCGTCGCTCTCCCGCTCTCGGTGTAGCTGCAAGCAGGGGGCACTTCTTACGCTCACGACGCACGCGTCGAATCGCGCGCCTAGGAAACGATGATTTTCAAACGTCGTCTTAAAGTGCTTTGGATTGGTCGTTGCAGGTGCTTAGGGGTGCCAACATTCACAGCAGCTTTGGAATGAAAACAGAGTTGCGACCCCAGAAATCACGACAATCGAATCCACGCTTGGCTAGATCGCAGGGCCAGAACAATGGAGCGTGGCGAATGGGCAACTAATCACCACCTTGTAACACAACCTTGAAATAATCATAATTTACGGACATTTGTTAAATCCGCTACTTCGTCGCAATGGTCGATAGCGGGTTTTGGTGACCGGTCCAGATGTTTCAGTTTCATTTATTAGGTATAACCCTGTGAGCCATGATGGCTCTTGACAAAACAAAAACATGAACAAGAAACATCTTAAAGTGACTACACGCAACAGAAAAATCCTGGGGAAAACAGCAAAGTCTTCCAGAAAAAAACACCGTATTTCAACGCTGTGTTAGCCGTGTCCGGGGAATCGCGTTCAGGTCACTGGGTTTATCAGCACATCGCGTTTCACTTATGTCTGCAGGGACCAAACACGCCTTGCTTTTATCCACCAGGGCCACTGAACCGATACACAGATGCGAAAAGCCCCATCCGTGGGCATTACAACACGGAGAACAGCACTTTACTCGAGCGGAATTCGCAACGACGCGGGGAGTTTAGCGTGCAAGGCCACGCCATGAAGTTTCCCCGAGAAATAAATTGCGTTTCTCTCCGACGCAACGCTGCCTAGCCGCACGCCGGCAATAAAACTCCGCCTCGTGTGTGTGGAGCGTTGCCAGAGTTTTGTGACAGCCTCCAGTTGTTAACCTGCGCTCAAACGGGGAGGTCGCTCCTTCTCTACTGCAGCCCTCACCACCAATGCAAGTCCCATTTTTATATTCTTACGTAGGTAAAAATTTTAAATTAATAAAAGTAAAATAAAAATAAAATAAAAATCACGACGTTTCGGAGGCAACACAAGCTTCCTACGTGACTTTACCGAAAAAAACCTAAGAATGTGAATCCTTGCAGTCACGAAAGCTTGAAATCTAGAATTAATGCAATTCCCGTCCACCGCCTGTCCGCACTGATGAGGCCCCCCAATTCCTGGTGAGGATCGAGGCTCAAGACTATCCTCTTGTGCTCCACCTGCGATTCTCTCTCTGTGTGTGTGTGAAGCGTCTTCGTTTTCACGGCTCAAGCTGAAGATGTCCATCACGGCCTAAACCGTCGATGCCACACCTCAGGGCTTCGCGATGGCAAAATGTTAACTCCATCGCCTGCTATGGGGCCGTCCATAAATGACGTCACGCGATTTTGGACGATTTTTGACCCCCCCCCCCCCCGTCACACGGCGTCACAAGAAGTCAGACCCCCCCTCAAATGACGTCACAAAGCTCTGCCCCCCCCCCCCCCAAATAGAACATGCTGTAAATCGCTTTAAACTATTGTCATGTATTCAAAAGTCTATTTAAGTAAGTAGAACGTGTTGTCTATATTTATTAAAAGTTGCGCATTTTGATGTGACGTAACATTTCTCAAACCCCCCCTCGTCACACATCGTCACAAATATCTGACCCCCCCCCCCAGGTGCGTGACGTCATTTATGGACGGCCCCTATGCAGGCGGTCGTGGGTTCGATTCCGACCCTGACACCTGCTGGATATTTGAAGTTTGCGTGTCTCTCCCCCCCCCCGCCCCCCCCCCCCCGTGGTCGCGTGGATTTTTCTCCGGGTCCTCCAGTTTTTCCCCTCCACATTTAGAAACAACACGCGCTTAAGAGTATTTGACTGCTATACATTTCCACACGATAAGCCACTTCGTTGTGACCACATCTCTTATGAAAAAGAGCTATGTAGCTAAGTGGGTCTTACCTGGTAATATTTAGAAGTTTAGTTTAAGTTTAAGCACCCGCAGCTGCTACACAGCAGACAAGCAAACGTGATGTATGTCCTGTATGTCGAACTTATTTCGCACCGTACGTATCGTAGGCGCGACTGCCTGTCACTGACCTGAAGCTGTCTATCTCTGCTTTCCCTGCACAGACATAAAAACATCCCCCACCCACCTCCCCAACATAAAAAGAAAAGAACCCATCTTCTGTTAAACTCTAAAGATATCTTTCGATTTAAAGCTTTCGTGACTGCAGGGATTCATCTTCTTGGTTCTTTCATTAAAGTCACGTAGAAGGGAAATAAAAAATAATAAAACATAATAAAATAATTCTCACGACGTTTCGGCCACAACGCAAGCAGCCGTCCTCAGGTGAAGAATAAAACACCACCACGCTTGGAGCGTATATTTAAGCTGGGTTGGAGGGGGAAGAAGAGTGCCTTGACAAAATAATTTGCATATCAAGATATCCCCCCCCCCCCGTCTATTTTTACATTGTACTCCACTGGAACCCACTCGCCTGCCCCAGTGCATTGTTCCCACGCGCGGATCGAGCCCGATTGCCAGGCAAGCCCAGCCTACCTTTTCGAAACCACAACTTCCAGGCCGAAATATTCTCGAGCTCATTGTTGAAGAGCCAGAGCCGGAGCCAAGCACGGGCTTATTTAAAATAATAATAAATAAAAACAACGCATCCCAGACGATTTAAGAGGCGCTCGCTAAACGGGGCTACCGTTAACTCCCCCCTCCCCCCACGTTTCAATAGCAAATCGACCCGGCGGGTTTCATGTCCCAATTACTCCAACGCGCGCGCCGCGTGAGCCTTTGCCGACGAGCGGCTTGCCCATGAGGCTAATCACGACCGCACTTGGCCCAATGGGGCTGCTGTTTGGTACAGAGAGCGCCTCCCCGTCATGCTGCTGCGATGGGGGTGAAGCGCGATCGACGAGAGGTGCACGGAGTTCATTTCTGCCGGGTCTGTCTGCTCTTGCCCTTTGTTTTTTTTCGGTAAAGTCACGTAGGTAAAAAATTAAATAAATGAAAACAACTAAATTAAATCACGACGTTTCGGGCGCAACACAAGCGTCCGACATCAGGTGGGACGTTTGTGTTGCGCCCGAAACGTCGTGATTTAATTTAGTTGTTTTTATTTATTTTATTTTTTATCTACGTGACTTTACCGAAAAAGACCAAAGAGTATGAATCCGTGCAGTCACGAAAGCTTCGCCAACGCCGTAGGGAATGTCCGCGCCCGGCACAGCGCGTCCAGCCCCCGGTGGAGCTGTCTTTGTCCGTCGGGTTTCTACTCGTCGGGTGAACGGGCGACCTCGAAATATTCAGCGATACATTAAGGCCTCATCATAACCGTTGTCTAGGGCAGGGGTCGGGTCTTTAAGGACTGCTGCTTTCGTGTCGTTATTGATTCAGGGCCACCGACTCGTATTCACCACAAGCATTGCCGCTCTTAAAATAGGAGTTTTATTTTTTTACATAATCCGAAGAGAATTGCTCTTCTTGTCGTCTTGGTTTGAGTCACAATGCGTGCCTTTAAAAGGTTTTATTTTAATGTTAGTGTACGTACCGGTGTATAGTGCACCTTGTGATGGGACACAGGCCGGCTGTGTGTGCTAAGATTCCCAAACCCAATTTTCTTCGTGACCCACCATGGGACGTGAACCTTTAAATTTTCGCCATTCTCCTCCATAAATTGTCGTTTGTCTAATCAAGAATTTTACACGCCGCGGGTGCCCAATACTTTTCCTGAACACATCCCACGCGATGGAAAGCACCGATTCAAGCTGGGAATGCTGTGTACATCACGTGTCAATCCCCTCGTAGCGTTCTCTGGTTAACACCACTGAGTCAACCGTGTGTAGCTGTACATATGCACGGCGGGCAGTACATTTCCTGTGATGTCATTTGAAATGAGCAGGCCATCGTGTGCTGGTGTCATGGTCCCAAGTTTCCCAATATTAATAAATAGCTGCAACTTCAGTGTTATTACCGTATAGCGGCATCGCCCCCCCCTTGGGTGAAAGCAATGCAAACTATTCCTGCGAAAGAGCACCTTAGCGGTAGAAGCCTTGCCTTGCTATAAGCGTGGCAGGAGTACCACGTGATGGATAAATCGCGTTATAATAATATAAAATAGTGGGTAAAGCACAGTGCGCGATAACACGTGAGATGCGTACGCGGGTCGATCAAAGACCGAGGCGCGTGGGTAGCATCTAGAAGCATCCAGCAGCATCCCAGTGCCTTGTTGTGTGACGCTGCTATGCCGAGGCGGCCGTACGACTGCTTATTCCTACTCGCGTGACGTCGTTCCGTTCACTCGATCGCGTTATTTCCAATTCGCATCCGCGTTATATATACGTGAAAATACGTTCTCCTAAATACATTGATCGCATTATACAGGGTGCTTCAAATAATGCCACGATAAATATGCTGCCTCCGAGCTCTGGAGACCACCTGGAGAAGATTCCAGGCCACGTGTTGACGATGATGGCGGACAAGTGGAGAGTGACTTTTTGAAGTGATTCAACATACATTATTTTGTTGTCATGTTACAGTGTAGTATTATCCGTTCTATTTTTCCCATCAAAAACGATAGCCCACATAAGTGTTAACATTTTATTTGAAGCACCCCTGTATCTACAATTCGCCTTTATAAAATATAAAAAAACACGCCTTATAGGAGAACAGGTTGTACCAAATTTTCTACATTTTATTTTATATTATATTATTTTATAATGTTTTATTTTTATAATTTTATTATTTCCATTCTACGTGACATTACCGAAAGAACCAAGAAGATGAATCCCTGCAGTCACGAAAGCTTTAAATCGAAATTTCTAAATTCTGTTCAATGATCCTCCCCCTCCACCTCCACCACCACCACAGTTGAGGAACCTGAGCCTGGAGGAGCTGCACATGAGACTGGGTGCTCTCGACCCCCTGATGGAGCACGACCTGGAGCAGCTGCGCCGACGCTACCAGGCCAAGCGGCAGCCCATCCTGGACGCCATCGACGGGAAAAAGCGACGCCAACAGAACTTTTGAGCGGAGCCTGCCGGTCTGCAGGGTGAAGTTCTCAGCCACGCGGGGCGTTGTGATCGAGCCATGACATCGGACAGCCGACTACAACAACAACAAGAATCACCGATCAGAGATGTCGCCACCCCCCCCCCCCCCCATCAATTGTATTTGGAAGCAAAGCAAGCACGTGGCGTCATGTATTTGCCCGCCACATGTGGGTCGTTGCGGATTGCGAAAAGATGTTTGAATTCGTAGCGATGCGACTCGGTCGAACCGGCACAGCCAGCTACAGAGTGGATCGGGAATTCATCTTGGAAATGTCGATGAATTGGCACTGGGTGTATTGGCAATCTAGTCATTGGCAATCGATGTATTGGCAATACTTAGATCGAGTCGTCGTGTAACCCACCCACCCCCCACCCGCCTTTATTTGATTGGCTTCACATCAGCAGGGATCGGTGATTGTGTCGTAGTCGGCTCTAATTGCACCACATTGCCCCGCGTCGCCCATTCGTAAAGAAGCTAAAGTTGAAACGGCGTCGAGTTTTTGTTGTTTTTGTTGTTGTTGTTGTTGTCATTGCTACGGCGCGTGCTGCACCGCATAAACAACAACATTGTCGTCCTGTTTTATTTGCTTCGTTCAAAACGCAACAAAAGTAGCATTGCCAGAGGCGCAGGGCGGCCCCGAGCAAAACGCCGCGGTCGACGTGGCACTGGTGGGTTGATGCTCTTTTTTTTTGTCCGACCGGTATCGTGATGATTTAAGGGCTGTTTGATGTTCGTCATTATAATCGCGGTCCGCCGAGGGGCGCTGCGGGCTAAAGGAAGTTTGCACGAGGCCGTGGTCAACTTTGGAGCAGCTTTTGTGTCCGAGCGTGGTTTTTCTTTAAGTTTGAAAAAAGTTAACCTCGCCGCGCTTGGACTGACCGAGTTCGAACCACGTGGTCTTGGTCATAATGAATTCCTACATGGCACGCGTTTTATTTACGTATAGGACAATGTGGATAAGATTAATAATTAAACTTGATTATTGTGTATTTATATAGGTGAGTAACACACCCAGGTTAATTTTAAGATATTCCTTTTTTTATGTCTGCATATGTTTCAATCCAAAAGTTTCCCTTTCCTTGCCGAGATCCCCTCTCCCAGACTTTCTGGATTTGGGCCATCCAGGAGAGAAAGTGAGGGCGGATGCGGGGGCTCAGACCCTGCCTGTCGATGCTTTACTGACGATCGCCGACTTGGGCTGTCGTTGATTTTAATGGCTCGGTTAACGCAACAAGCGCGTTGCAAAAACCGAAGCAAGCACAACATTTGAAGCTTGCAACAGAGTTACAAAAGTTGGGCAGGATGCACCGTTTAATTTCAGCTTTGTGGACCACGGCGTTACACAAATGTCCAGCCTGTTGGGTGAAGGTTACCCCCCCCCTCCTACTCCGTGTTAGCGAAACAATCTGGGAGGCATTTGATCTCTGCAGATCATGGAGCATCGATCTGCACTCTGAATTTGGAGGCTACTACACACTCAAGGGGGCAGGTTGCCAAACTTGGCTGGAAAATGGCTAGGGGCCAACTTTGCGAAAGTCTGAAAAATTATTTTGCATAAAATTGGTGACCCAACCCAAAGTATTTCCATATCGCAATCAACAAAATAGTATTCATATCGCAATCTGTAATTTTATAATCGGTATATCGTTGGTGAAGAGGGGGGGGTGGTGGTGGTGAGGTTACAGAGTGGTGGCAGAGTGGTGAGCACGCTGCACTATGAACCCATTGAGCTGGATTCAATGTCCAGCCAACGGGTAACACGAGAGGGCAAGTTGATACCTGAATCTGTGCCTCTTTCACCAACTCGCACTGACCGGCAGGGTGACGGATGGTTGAAGCAAACCACGTGGTTGTCACGGCGTGGGGAGGCCTTCATCCAGCAGTGGATTGACCAAAGGGCTTGCGTAGTATTATAGTTGTATCGTTGTAAAGGTGACGGATGTGTGACGTCACCTGAGAGAATACGTTTCTTTCGGTTGAATACGTCGAAGGCTTTCACGACCAATGTTATCTATAGAGGTTTTTTAGGGGCGGTTAGATCGCGTAATTCTAGATGTGTCTTTAAACCCGCCACCGCCCGACAAAGCCAATTAGTTTAGTTTCTTACGTGAACACAACATGACAATTCGTCACTAGTACAGCAACACCGGTTGTGCATTGCAGAGTAAACCCACAACATTTACAATTCGAGTGTGACGGAAGAAAACAAGCGGCAGCATGTACAAGCACGGTGTACATGCATGTTGTATGTTGGTTACCCTACGAATAACCCAACCGGTAATGGGTATCTATTGTAATTCATATGCACACATTGACCCCTCCCCTCTGGCCTTCGCATCTGATTGGCTTGCAAGTGACGTCATCACATCTATCCCTCTATTTAAGAAGGAAACGGATTGCTCCACAACTCTGGCTGCCGCCTGATGATGCTAGTTGTAATTACCGGCGAAACGTCGCACTCGAATTGTAAACGTTGTGGGTTTACTCTCCAACACACCGGTGAGCTGCACTTGTAACGAATTGGCACGCTTCGTTTACACGACATACTACTAATTGGCTGTGTCGGGTGGTGACGGGTTTAACGACACATTCATATTTTACGTGATCTAACCCAAAAACACTCTTATGGACGTTTCTTTCAACTGCCAGGATAAATCAGCGTAATCTGTAACTTTACATATGTTAAGATAACTTTACCTTATCGTGTTACCAAATTATTTATTTATAGAGTTCACTTTACAAATGCGAGTATGGTTTAATATGTGTACGTGTGTTAATGCTTCCGAATCACATGCACTTTAAATATGTATGCATATTTACGCGTTTGCCACTTTAAGGGTTTGTTTTTTTATTATAATAGTCGGGGTATCCAGTGAAACTGAAACGCTTTGATTTTAATGTGTAAACAGAAGTGCCAATTTGGAGGTCACTTCAATGCTCCTTGGAATGATTAATTAGATACTTAATTTATTTCCTGATTTACAACGTCAGCCTCATAAAACATGGCGGCCATCACGTCCCCATGATTCATCCGCGCACGACACGGCTGAGCAGCACTGGCATTTCGACAGAACACACACACACCCATTATATACGCCTGTGACCAAGGCCACCCAGAACGCTCCACGATCTCGCAAGCTAAGCAGGCGCGAGCCTGGACAATGGCTTCAATGTGTGACCAGCGTGCTCGCATCGCAGGAGTTATAGGCTGCTGTGGGCAGCAGCAGCAGAGGGCAGTGCAGCAATATTCATGGTTCCTCAATCCTCCCACCTTAAACACCCCGGCGTTGTGAAGCATCCATACTCTTTGGTTCTTTGGGTAAAGTCACGTAGGTGAAAACATATAATCGAAAATAATAAAACAAAAATAAAAAGTATTCTTCTTTTTTATTTTTTATTACATTTTTCCACCTACGTGACTTTACCGAAAGAACCAAAGAGTATGGATCCTTGCAGTCACGAAAACTTCAAATCTAGAATGGTGAAGTATCGTCAACATATATTCCTCACGGCCAACAAAGCGTGGTGAAGTTTCCCATCCAGCAGTGGACTGACACAACGGGGGGTTGTACGTATGCACTGTACCGTGCACTGGTCACTGGAAGTGGGGGGGGGGGGGTGCCAGCTTTCTATCAGCTTTAGCGGCGCGCCCTTCCAAAATAACCACGGGCAATTTCTATTCTTAAAAGTTGCCATGTTTTCAAATCATCCACCTCAATAACCTCCAGATACAAACTTTCGTAAGCCTCCGTTCAGAAGTGAATGACTTTGTAACTTTTTGTATTTAAAGATTTTTTTGTTCAAGTAATGAATATTTCATATTTTTTCTAACCAAATTTCAGCACCATAAACCTAGACCATCATAATGTACATGAATCCCTCAGTCATTCACTCGTAGCCCTCTGTACATATTACACAATGTGTACTGTCACCTTCATTCAGTTTAAAATGGCCACAGGTCAGAGGAGTTGAAACCCACGGGGACATTTCCCCCCACCCAGAATGACCCAAAGCAACATGGCCGACGAATCAGGGCACCAAGCTCCACTGAGTGTCAGCTCTCCCTCAGCGGGGTCATGCAATGGGGACGTTTGACCTTTAGAGAGGGTTTTGGCCGCGTGCGAGAGAAAACCAGGGCGCGCGGAGAAAACCTACCGTCCCTACCACTCATCACTGCCATCTCCTGGCTACCTCACAGCACCATGGCCGAGAACATCTGACAAACCCCGGTGGCCTCCCATACAAGCACTAGCCAAGCTCAATCCGGCATAGGTCGAGGCTTGACACAAGCTCGATTTGGCCAGCGACAAAACCACAATCGTAGCCACTGCTGCCAGAGGGCACGGCTGTCGAGAATGTGCAGGTGGTACAATTGCACTGGGGCATATAGTGGACTCATGGGCACATTCGAGCATCAGACGTGCGCTACAAACGTCTGTCTGTTTTTCTTTCACTGTGCCCACACGTACATTACGCGTATGCACCCACACACGCTTGTATTATTCATAATACTATTCGTAGCTTGAAAACAAATAGCGTTGGTCGGATGCATGCAATGTGATATCAAGTGTCAAATGTAGTGTTAGAATTCATATACAGCCTGTCACAGATTGTTTTTTTTCTGTTCAAATCGTCGTTACGGAGAGACGTTTACTATTGTTAGCTTAATTTATACGAGCTAATTTGTGGATTTTTACTGATTTTTTTAAAGCAGTTGCCCTGGTGTTGCGTCCTACCAAGGAGCATTTCAGTAACTGGGTTTCCAATAAGCTGTGCGAACTTACTCGGCGTATTCCAGACAAGATGTATTTAAATAGATTGAGTAAACTCAGAAGGGAATTGTTGGCCTTGAATGACCACTTCTGGCGTCATCTGTTTTGACAGTGATGTCATGATTACAACCGTCTGTGATTGGATGGAACTCATTCACGTGTATGTCATTTAAAATGTAAACCCATTCGCTGGGTGGGTCCTCGATCAATGTAAAATATAATACGCATTTTTTTGGTTTGTCCCGCTTACAGGTAAGAATTATTTTTCAAATAGACAAGTACATTTTTATCCATCTCCATCCTATAAATGAGATTTCTCCCCCCCCCCCCCGAAAACAACTTGAATTCGAATAAACGGAACTTACGTGGAAAGACCAAGTGAATTGGAAACCCGGTAAATATTGCATGGTTTTATTATCGTGGACAGGTGTAACACGGTGTGCAATCTTTCTTATTGGGTTTGTACGTGAATACGTGGGCTTTTAAAGTACGTCAGTTGGCGACAATTTTGCCCGGCTTTTTTGACCGATGTGATGGATTGTATCGCACTTCTGCAATAATAATAATATCAATAATAATTAAAACACTAACTGTGACAATGTAACACGTGAAATTCGTCTTTTGTGTTTTTTTTTCTTGCACGGCACACTATGCATCCGTTCGTCGATGTTATAGTGTTACATTCGCGAGGCTCACGATGCATGCACTGAATCGCATTAGTAAACAAGCGATGTTGTTTTATTCATGAAGATCCCATTGTGAATAATAAGCGTCGACTAAAATAAGTGCATTATTAAACAAAAAGGTATCAATTCTAGACTTGAAGCTTTCGTGACTGCAAGGATTCATACTCTAAGTTCTTTCGGTAAAGTCACGTAGGTAAAAAATTAAATTAAAATTAATTTTATTTTTATTAATTTTAATTTCATTTTTTACCTACGTGACTTTACCGAAAGAACTAAGAGTATGAAAAAGGTATCGCTCGGCTTCGTGTCCATGAAACAATTAATGTCACTCGTAAAGAAGCTAACCAACAGCGAAACAGAGATGTAATAAGCGAAGCAGAATAAACAATACAAATAAAACGGTGAACATTTGTTTAAAAAATGTATTGATCGCGACCCCTTCGAGTCAAATTGCAAATTTCGAATGGCGACAGTTTAATTGAATTGCCGAGGTGAAGGGGTTGTGAGGTGGTGCATCGTTGTACGTGCAGTTTTAAGTAACGAAGTTTGGCTATTTCACGTGTGTTTAACTTCTTTCGCGCCGTACATCGCCAACCGTGCTAATCGGAGGTGCGGAGGACACAGAAAGCAGTTCGAGAGAAATTAGTTTTAAATCTAGATCATGTAAAAGTGCTTTAAGCTCCCAGTGACTTTCTGGTGCCGGAAGAAAGAGCGTTCCAGACGGCCGCAGAAGCGCATCTGGAATTGAGCGATGCAAGTGACCGTTTTTGTTTCACCGTTAACTTCTACTGCCACACGCGTACCACGTGACCCCCGCGTACGTCGGAACATATCGATGGCATTGCGAGTATAATCTCTGCAAACAACGTACAATGTCAAGACTGAACGTACAATGTCATTACATGCTGAGGTCCACATTTGATAGCTGTACGTACAATGCACCCAAGACTCGTGTGCCTTTTACAAATGGGTATTAATTACCAGATAGTGTCTTGAAATGGGACATTGCTTCTGTCGTGTTCACATGCCAAATGCTGGAGACTTGATAAACTTTAACTTCACAATTTACCAGCAGCGAATCGCAGTTTTTTTTTTACTCCAGATTCCAGTGGTCCAGTGGTTTCACCTATGCCGGATCTGAGAAGCGAAGCCCGGTTAGATTGTACCGATAATAACCCCGATTTACGTCGAGGATGCGTTCCTGAAATGCGCGGCGACGTATATCGAAACGACGGTAAATCGAAGCGATGTACAGGGCAGTAGCAGGTGGTGGAGGCGAAGGCTGAGAGGCGACGGATCGCGAGCAAGGACGGACGATGCGACGCAAACCGGGTGGCATCGTTAACAAAGTGACGACGTTTTTGCGCAACGTTAAAAATGGGGAAGACGTAAAATCGAGGCGTTAGTGTACTCGGATAGAAGGCCGCAAGTGGCCTGCCATGTGTTGTAGGCGTGGGGGGCTGCAAGGTGGCCGGGAGACGGCAGCGGGAAGTGTGCGCCTACTTTCCCAGCTGTATTTGTAAGGTTACTTTTTTTTTTACAACTTTATGACCGCCTCTGCCATGGGGTTAGGGCAGTAGCATAACTAGCGTGGGGGCAGGGGGTACCTTTCCACCTCCCCCCACGCCCTCACCGAGTGGCCAATGCTACGAGTTGGGGCCCCCTTGGCTATCACCACGAGATATGCTTTCAACTGTAATAAGACGGAGCCGCCCCTACAGCGTTAAATGTCTGAGTCCGTGAGCGTGACGATGATGATGATTACGCAAGAGGAGGCGCGATACGTAATAGCCTGGGTGAGAGACGAATAAAATACTGGGGGGCCCCACCTGACCGATTGCCCCCCCCTCCCCCCGACCTGATAATGTCGTCACTATGCCACAGGGTTAGGGGTTGGGGCCATGCAAGGTCTCAGTCCGAATGCATGGGCAATCACAATCTGCATTCTCCATTGCTGCCGTAAGGAACACGGAGACCAAGGGGCCACGTGGACTGCAACCCGCCCACCCGACCGTCTCGAACAGCAACGGGGAGGACGACGAAATTCAAGATTCGGGTGATTAAAAAAACATTTCCCCATTCAACTTTAATTTTGGGAAGTGCCGGCTTTAGTGGTGAGCGTGCTCTTCTTTGCCCTACGGACCCGGCCTCTTGGATCCAATCGCGACTAACGGCGAACGTCGACGGCGGGTGATATCTGGTTCTGGTTTCTCCTCTAGATCGACTCGGCCTTTACTCGAATGGTGTTCAGCCGCAGCGGCGTGTAAACGTCAGCTGTGGGGGATCGTGGCCGGGCACGGTGCTGGCCACACGGCACCATTCATGCCGGGTCCCCGCCGACTGTTATGTACGTAAGCATGTTGAACTTCTTTCGCACCGTACACTGTAGCCAATTATGAAGGGTTTCGCTGGCAGCGTTTGCCCACAACCGGTCTACACGGGGAGTGGAGGGGGCCGGAGGCGGGTGGATTTTTCTTTGTTTATTTTAAAAATGGGCGGATGCTGTGGCCTTCAAAACATTAATAGAAACACGGGCGACATTTGGCCTCGGAAATGCCCGGACCATCTATCACATTGTCCCCTCGAATGGCTCGGAAAGGGCAGGGAGATAAGGGGGACCCCCCCCCCCCCGGGCCCCCCCCCCCCCCCCCAATATCGTCCGTCTCGGCTGCGTTTCCACAAGCCACGTCAATCAATGCGAGTCGCGTCCATCTCGGTCTCAAAGTTGGGGGTAACAGAGACCGAAGCCCCCCCCCCGACCCCCCATTTAAGTCGATGTCAACATCACTGCCCAAAGTGCATGCACACTGCCAACTGTTCACATATCAATCGTCGGTTGCTCCTATACAACACCGTCCATTGTTCATATACGCCGTCAGTTGTTCATACATGGCACCATTGTTCATGTAGGACGCTACCCCATTGTTCATATACAGTACAATGTCTACTGTTCATGAATCCCATTGTTCATATTCATCATCAGTTGCTCATAAACTACACCACCCATTGTTCACATCCCACAATAACTATTGTTCATATACTGTACATCAACCGTTGTTCATGTACAACGCCATTCATTGCTCATATACAACCGTCCATTATTCATGTACAACACCACCCATTGTTCATATACAACAAAGTGCATTGCTAATTATACATCATCCATTGTCCATGTATGTACACCACTGTTCATATACACCATTTTCCATGTATATCATTGTTCATTGTTCATGTACACCATTGTTCATGTACCCCATTGTTCATGTACACCACTGCCCATTGTCCATGTACACCACTGTTCATATACACCATTTTCCATGTATACCATTGTTCATTGTTTATGTACATCATTGTTCATGTACACCATTGTTCATGTACACCACTGCCCATTGTCCATGTACATCGTCCTGCACACCTCTGTCAGTCCACTGCTGTGAGGTCCTTCACCACGGGGTGCGGGTCTTGGGGGGCTACACTTGACCATACTTTACCACGCTGGCGAGTGCGCGTTGATGAAGGCGAAGGGCGCATAGACACGGGGGGGGGGTAGTAGTGAGTAGGGAGTAACTGACGGTGGATTGCTGCTGTACTGCACTCTGCTGACAACGCATCACCGCGGGCAGCCTATAGCACCTGTTTCGTGCACCGCGGTCGTCCCATCCAAGCACTTTTCAGGCTCAACCCCTGCCCGTTTGCCTCCCGAGATGTCACGAAATCGGACGCATTCCGGCCGACTTGTGTTCGTCAAAACACGAATGCGTTGCTGCTCGTACACTTCATCCGGTGTTCTTCGACAGCAACTTCGATGGTCACACGCAGTCGGCTCGCATCTCGCGTGGCCCCGCACTCGAACGTCACCTTCATTTGCTCAGCTGTGTAATGAATGGCCTGGCACGTGGGTGGGTGGGAGCTCAGCATGGCCCACGGATGAGAGATGAGAATGCTGAATCGGACGATCTCGGTCACTGCCGTCCCACAAGAGTCGCCTCGTGGCCACACACAAGGCCGCTTACCACCGGGACGGAAAGGTTCAATTCCATTTTTTTTGCCAAAAGCACACCGGGCTCCCACTGCGAGGCGGGCAATTAAAACAAATCGAGCTCGCATGGCGATCCCACGCTTCGGAGTCATTGTGTTCATGAATCCCATTGTTACAGTTCCGATGATCACTGTTTCATTGCTTTTATGGATTTTCGAAAAGTTTTTTGGTTTGGCCATGTTTGTTTGTTGTAGTACAGAGTTAGACTGATGGTCTTAATCTAAGTTGTCTTGTGGTTGTTGTTGTTGTTTGACTTGCATCCCACTGGGATTTTTGCACACAGTGTTGGTGTACGGTGCTTTTTCTGCAATATTTTGCTGTCTTTTCTTGGATTTTCTGTTTGCCCATAGTCACATAGTCACTTTAAGATGTTTTCTTGTTCATGGTTTTGTTTTCTGTTTGTTGCGGTTGCACCCGATTCAAGAGCCGAATGGCTCACAGGGCTATACCTAATAAATGAAACTTGAACTTGTCTACCGACATCGGCGGCCTGCGTCGAGCTTCTAACTGCCAAGCGATCGTTTTTGTTCATCCGGTGCCGGTCGCGTGTTCACATTTTTTTTAAGACCGACAAACAGAAAGTCATCAAACGACAACGTGGATTCATTGACGCACTCGGCACGGGGGTGTCTCCTTCACTGCCTACGCACAAAAGCAACGGGGCACATCGTTGGTGCTCAGATGCAGGGGGACATCTGTGCTCCCGCCGTCGTCAGCGGGATTTGATCTCTCAGAGTGGACGAGACGCGATCGAGATCAGAAGTGAACGGATGAGGAGGAAATAAGGCGAGATTGGTACCCGTGTCGGACAAGCCGCTCGCTTGGCAGTCGCCTTTGATGGCTATAGGACCGTGTCAGGGGCAAACGGAAGCAAGGAGATTAACATGGAAACACCAGGGCCGGAGGAGGTAGGAGCCAAGGCGATTCGAAGTGGTGAAACTAAAATGCGAACGACAGTGGAGTGGACGCGGAGACGATAGTCCACGACAGAACGATGAGTGGCATCAGAGGAGGAGAAGGAGGAGACAGGGAGGTGGAGGAGTACGACACAGGGAGGAGGAAGAGGAGGAGGTGGACACAGAGGAGGATGATGATTGGGGATTTGGGGGGGGGGGGGCAACAGTGGAATGCATACTCGTTTGTTCTTTCGGTAAAGTCACGTAGGTATAAAATAAAATAAATCACGACGTTTCGGGCGCAACACAAGCGTCCGTCATCAGGTGCAGCAGGTCATGCATTTCCACCTGTGTTGCGCCCAAAACGTCGTGATTTATATTATTTTATTTTTATACCTACGTGACTTTACCGAAAGAACCAAAGATGATGCATTCCTGCAGTCACGAAAGCTTCAAATCAACAGTGGAATGGCCTAGGAGATGATGGCGCAGGGCCGAAATGAGTGAAAACGAGGACCAAGAAAACAACCCCATAAGTGAGTGGTTGTGGTGTTGGTGGTGGTGGGGGAACTTCAGACAGAAGAAGCGTGCTGGGCCGCCTTGCTCACGCGCGCGCGCACGGCATCGAAGAGTCCGCACACCGCCGGCCATCACGACAGCTCCCTCCGCTCGCCGCCAGACCTCGCCCGGAGCCGAGGGCCCCTCTCGGCTGCCCAGCGGCCGCTCGCGTCGCTGTCCTCGTCGTAGTCGACGCCGCCGCCGCCTCTCGTGGCCACGCTGCGCAGCAGCGATGTCATCTTGCGCGCGTAGTAGTCGCGGATGTTGACGCCGGGCACATCCTCTGCGCTCAAGCTCTGCTCGTCCGCCTGACGCACGGCGGCCTCCAGCGCCTTGTGCAGCTGATAGTACTTGGAGAACTTGTTGAAGATGATGGTGATGGGCAGCGCGACCACGAGGATGCCGCACACGATGCACGCGGTGCCCAGCATCTTGCCGAGCACTGTGATGGGGTACGTGTCCCCGTAGCCCACCGTGGTCATGCTGATGGTGGCCCACCACCAGCACATGGGGATGGTCTGCAGGCTGGATTCCTCCTCGTCCTTCTCCACGGAGTACACGAGCACGGAGAAGATGGAGATGCCGACCGAGAGGAAGAGCAGCAGGACGCCCACCTCCTCGTAGCTGTGTCTCAGAGTGGCGCCCAGCGAGCGGAGCCCCGTGGAGTGGCGAGCCAGCTTGAGGATGCGAAATATTCGCATCAGCCTGAGGATCTGCACCACGCGCCCCACGTTCTGCAGCTCGGCGCCGCTCTCCATCAGCCGGTCGACCGCCAGCGTGACGAAGAAGGGCATCACGGACACGAAGTCGATGACGTTGAGCGGATTTCGGACGAACGCCTTCACGTCGGGCGCAGTGGCCAACCTCAGGAAGAACTCGACCGTGAACCAGGCGACGCACGCGCCCTCCACCAGCTCGAGGTTCGGGTCCTCCATCTCCTTGCCCTCGGCGTCGTGGCGTCGGAACTCGGGCACGCTGTGGACGCACAGGGTGGCGATGGAGACGAGCACCGCGGCGAGCGAGCACACGGCCACGAGCTTGGCGACGAGCGAGTGCGCGGGATTCTCGAGCACGAGCCACAGCTCTCGACGGCACCGCGCACAGCGGCCACCCTGGGCCGCCTCGGCCGGCGCCTCGTAGAGTAGGTTCTCGATGAAGGAGCGGTCCGAGCTGTCGTCGCTGTGCCCGTCCCAGTCTTCGTCCTCGTCGTCGTCGTTGTTGTAGTCGTCGCGGTCGTGCATGCGCTCCTGGAAGCGCAGGCTGCAGCACGAGTCGAGGAAGAGCCGGTGGATGCCCCAGTACTCCATCTCCTGGCTGAAGGAGATGGCGCAAAGGTCGTCGGCCACGTGCAGCCGGCCCGTGTAGTAGAAGTTGACGATGCACGGGAACACGCACGGGTTGCGGTCGAAGTAGAACTCGCGCTCGGCCACGTCGTAGTCGTCGCACAGCTCCAGGATGGCTTCCTCCGAGTCGCAGCTCATCAGCCGGCCGAGTCTCGTGTGCGGGAAGCGGCTCAGCGTGCCCGCCTCGAGGCGTCGCTTGAAGCCGCCCACGTTCACCGCGATGGAAGCGGCTGCTGCGGCGGCTGCTGCTGCTGCGGAGTCAACGCTCTCGTCCACGCCGGTGCACTTGGAGCCGGTCCGCTGGAAGATTTGTCCGAAAACCATGGCGAGCGAGGGTGCTGGTGAGCGCTCGACTGCGGCGTGGTGTGCGCGTTGGGAGGGTGCGGAGTTCACGCCAAGCCGGGCTGCTCCTCGTGTTCGCACGCACCGCGCACCGAGAGCCCGACGTGGCTTAGAAACGCAAGCCGGATGAGTTTAACAGAGGAGATGGTTTTTGTTGTTGTTGATATACAATTTAAACAATGACCCTATGATGACGCCAATTTTTTTTCGATCAAATTAGCAACTTTACATGGCAATACAAATATATCTTTAAAAGGCACGTAATTTAGCTTTAAATCAAAGCTCATTTTGTACATGTATATACAACTCCAACGTACGATCATTTTAAACAAAGTGTACTTTTTGGCTTACAAAGACGCTACCCCCCCCCCCCCCTCTGCAGGCGCTAAGAGGCGCGTCTCGCTCCTCCAGGCACGGCGCGCCCACTGCGCGAGGCTCCCTCCTCCTCGAGTGAACGGACGTGCGGGGTAGCGACGGTGGCGTGGAGGAGGGGACGGAGAAACGGGGGGGGGGGTGGTGGTGGTGGGTAGTGGGGGGTAAGAAGGGAATCTCTCCTCTCCGCTCTCAACCCTCCGACGCGCACTGCTGCGGTTGTCGTAAACTAACGTGGCAAGGAGCAGTATATCCATCGTGGATGAGCGTCACCCTGCATACCCCCCCCCCTTTCGCTTGAGATATTTTTGGCCTTCGCTCTGCGTCTTCGTGCGGTGCGTGGGCGAGAGCCGCTCTCCACTCTCGCGGAAGGATTCCCCCCCATCCCCCCTCTGCATTCATTCACTCATCCGGGGGAAGCGACAGAGGTGGTGTTTTTTTTTTTTGTCGCCGCCGACTGAAATATGCGGAGGGCGTCTGCATGATTATCCGGCGAGTGCTGTGCACACGCAGGAGATGCGGCGGTGTGGTGGCTATCGAGTGTGCAGGCGGTGCAACTGCGCCGAGGTCTACGGGGACCCAAGAGGGGGGGGGGGGCTCGCGCACGCGAGTGGGGCGACACTCCACACTGCCCTCTCCTGGCCACCCCTCTCGGCTCCACTCCAACTTTAAACAGACCTCCTCGTGGTTACGAACGCAAGTTCCAACCGGGCAAGATCTTCGCGTCAATTGATCGCCGGCGTGCATCCCGAGGCATCGACTGCTTTATTAAAAGTATTCTCGCAACCGCGCCGCGATATCGCGCGTGTGTTTTAATCGATTATGGCTTTTAATATAACGTGCGTTGTATGGTTCACTCAGTCACTATCAGCAATCAACAAATGAAAAAGTTAAAATCGATAATTTAATCGAATCGTGAACAGGTAGTGGAACCACGATGGGTGAGAATTGTAACGTGCCAAATGGGCACTTAAATCACACTCGTTTAAAGAAACGCCCTAGGGGGGGGGGGGGGTAATATCGACTCGTGAAGGGAAGAACGTTCCAGACGGCCGCAGAAGCGTGTGATGAAAGCGCGCGATGCAGTGACCGTCGTTTTCAAAGTTTAGCCAAAAAAAGAAAACGCACGCACGGACGCGCAAAATGCCCAGAACCGGTTCAAGCGAAGCTTTGAGTCGGTTCACTTCAGCCAGAGCCAAGCCCGTGTCGTGACTAAGAATACAGGCCATCGTGTGCTGTTCATTAGTCTGGTCCACACCCAGATTACCTCCTGCTCCTCCTCATCCTGTGCAGTGAAGCGCGCACGCTCTCTTCCGTTGTTGGTCGTGATTCATTTATGTGCGCAGCTGCATCGGACAACGTTCGTGAAACGTCCAGTTAGATTTCTTATCAGGAATCAGTAAGGTAGATGTTAACCGAAGCTTAATGGTCTTTCACAGCGCACTGACAACCGTGGGCAAATGCATTGCCTTTAAAGCCTTTGACAAGTTGCGGCGTCCCATTTGGTAAGAGCACTCGCGCTTACGGTGATACACAATATGTTTTATGAGTGTTGGCAAAAAACCACCAGCACTAATAACAGCAACAATGGATGTATTCATTAGGCAGGGAGAAGTTAACAAGTTTTTTTTTTTGCAATTGAATTGTCACGTGTACTTGTTAGCAACATTTTTAAGAGAGTAAAACAATTTTTTCAAGTTATTTTGACAATAACAGTGACAGTTCCGTGTCAGCTGGAATGGATGATAGCACGCGGGTTCCTTTGGGCCACGTGTTCACGTGGCTGAAGATTGCCGCGCGCTGTCGGCTACGGCTATCATCGGCACTGCCACTCGACGGGCTGTCAGATGTCACCAGGCATGACACTCGTGGCCGTATTGTGCAGGCATCGCGTGCTCGTACAGTCGCCACGTCAATAGCCTGTGGAGCCCCGTGACATTTTGCCAGGTCACTGTAGATTGCTACAAGTGAATTTTAAAACACGCAATATTTACAGACGTTCACCCCGATGTTGTCGCCATTGTGCTCGCCGTGTCACGCAGCGCGGAAGGGACCGCGGCAGCAGACATCATAGAACTACTCTCTTCCTGAGATCCCTTAAATTCGGCTTCTTGACCACGCAGTAGGTGGGGGGGGGGGGGGGTAGCACTACCCCGCTGAGACAGCGACGCCGATGTGTACATTCTCAGAGCTAGAAGTCATCCAAATGCAATGCAGAACCCAATTTATTGTGACGGGGAGTTTGATGCAAGTCATTGGAGAGCGGACTGAGACAATTAACTCGCCACTTATGAGAACCCCGTTCAACGTGGGCGGCTGCCTGGACTCGAACTCGGGATTTCGGCGGTCCAAGCTCAGCCCTCTGAGCTATGAGCCACATCCACCTCAAGAGCAAGTTTCATGTTTACCGTGGATCGATTTCAGAATCCAAAACGCGGCCCCGAATTCCGAGAATTCATTCAATCGCAAAGGCTTGAGGAATCTGCACACCCATAGTGATTGATTAGCGTGACCCCTATAGCCACTAGAGGCGCTACAACAATGCACTGCGATGCATATTAAAAAAAAAAAACTTTTAAAAACACACTTTAATGAAATGTACCGTACGAGTAATGGCAGAACTCCACGACTCCAGGAAGTGGCTCCGAGGCTTGCCATAACGTAAGAGACCGTGGTTATTTATAGCGAACATCAGTTGAGCGTGGACAATTAGACCCAAGCCGAAACATAACATACAAAAAACAATGTTTAAAAAATATTGTATTTTTATTTTTTATGATAGAATATAGTATTGTCATCAGTATGACATAAGTATACCAGGTTTGCAGTCGATGCCACATTGGGAAGTGGGTTAAAATTAAGTTGCAAGATTTGAGGATACAACAACAGGCAGAGTGAGTTAAATAAAAGCGTGTACAAATCAGTGGCGGCTCGTCAATAGAGGGCGCAGGGGCGCCGCCCCCATCAATATTCAAGAAATATACATATACAAAATTTATACATAAATAAAATATTTTTTTCATACGATGTGCCGGCTGGTAGTAAGAAAAGCATCAGCATTTAATAAAAACTGGCTTTAATCGGTCAACTATTTTCTATGTTTTTCAATGTGTTTCATGCGGGGCGCCGGACAAATGGATGTCTATGTGAGACTTTAAATTTTCGGACAGCATGTGACCTGAAGCTGGTCTCTAATTGGTTTCTTAAAGATTCTCCTCGGGGCGCAAGTCGTTGCGTCCCTGGCCAATCAGAATTGGATACATGTTATTTTATCCAATCTGATTGGTTCTCGTCACCTGTCATTCAAATTTACGCTCTGGGCCACTACTGCGAGTGCGCAGGCGACACCACTTTGACACTTGCTAGACTGATCAAATTTTTTGTGTAAACAATGGCAGCAGTTCATCCAAATTCTGTAATTTATTTACAAAAAAACCCTTTCACAAGGCTTTCGCTGGAAGAAATTAAAAAGATAAAGGATCTCGGACCGGACCAACCCGATTTACAAATCCAGCAGCAGGCCAGTGACAGAGGACGAAGCTACACACGAAGCTTCACCCGCGCTTGTTATGAGAAACGGAGGTGGCTGGCTGGATGTGATGTTAGCAATTCTCTTTTTTGTTTTCCCTGTCTTTTATTTCAAAGTGTCGGCACTGAAGTTTTGTGGACAACGACGGGGGTAAGAGGCCTCAAACATCTCTCTGACAAATGCAAACGTCATGAAAGTAGCCGCAGCCATATTGATAATAGCATGAAACTACCGTTTTTTATGTTCAAGTAGGAAACATGCTTTTTGGTACTTTGGTCTGAAATGTATATAAAAGAGAAACATTTATGTTCAAGTAGGAAACATGCTTTTTGGTACTTCTTTTGGTCTGAAATGTAAATAAAGATCATCAAAATTTATATTCAAGTAGTCAAAATGGCTTTTGGTACTGCTTTATATTTATTTGCCCCCCTCAATAAAATAAAAAAAATGCGCCCCCCCAAAAATAAATATCACCAGCCGCCACTGGTACAAATAATATTCTTGTATTGGAACCACGACCTCAGATATTGAAAATTCATTTCAATCGTCACAAGGCAAGTTGACGTAAACGAACCACAACTGTGACTCGGACCACCGGATAAAGGGCTCGCTCAAAGTTCCATGGTCTCCTTCATGATATCTCTTCGGGCGCCGCGGTGGCTAGGAGATGTTAACTACCTCGCCTGGTATACAGGAGGTCGTGGGTTCGACCCTGACGCCTGCTGTGTATTTGGAGTCCGCGTGTCTCTCTCTCTCCCGCTCACCGTGGTCGCGTTGATTTTTTTCTGGGTCCTCTGTTCCCCCCCCCCCCCTCCACATTTTAGAATCAACATGCGTCTATAATAATTTGGCTGCTACACATTTCCACGTGATAAGCCAATTCGTTGAGCTATCATTCGTGATGGCAAAGTCGCTTCTGAAAAATATCTATTCATATAAAGAGCTCAGTCTTGCACAGTGGCGGATTATCCTCGTAGCAAAAGTAGCTACATATGCTACGGGCTCCGCACTTTCAAGGGCCCCGCGCTAAATTTTATCAAGCCATCAATTCCGGTTCAGTGATTCTGCACTTGCTATATTACTATAGTACTATTTTGCCTTCAACTTTTACAAACGGCTGGGTGTTTAAGGTGAGCGATTTGTCGTATTATCTGGCTGTGCAGCAAATGAAAAAATACAATTACTTTACTATGCAATTTCAATTGTGTTTATATATTTGTGTTTTTTTTTATTTAGGACCCCTTCATAACATATGCTACAGGGTCGGCACTAGCTTAATCCGGCACTGGTCTTACACATGGTAAAACAACGTGTTTAGTAGTGTTATCGTTTACTCGAGCGAAGGCGTGGAGAGGCAGAAGAGGTCGCAAACGGGTTTTGATTCCTTACCCGTACCCGTACCCGGCCGCACCAGGGTCGCAAATGGGTTCCCGTACCCGGCCGGGTACGGGTAGCCGGGTATCGGGTATGGTACGGGTGTCGGGTACCCGGTTGCGACCTCTGAGAGGCAGTGCCGTGGAGTCCACACGAGGGCGCACTCGTCCCATGGACTGGAGGACCGCCTCCAGCACAGACGCACGCGTCACGCCGCGTGTCTAACAGGCGTTACACACTCGCACGCTGAACCAGGTCTCTCCCCATGGGCTACAAAGCCCCGTGTGCCGATAGCGATGCCGCGCGTCCACGAACCACACAGCACTCGAGAAGCTAGTGCAGTTTGTGTCCCCTACACACACACACAACAACAACAACACAGTACACAATACACACACAGACACACACAAAAACACCACACCACACAATACACAATACACACACAACAGACACGCACAACAACAAACACACACACACAACAACAACACAACACACACACAACAGACACATACACAACAACAACACACCACACACACACAACAGACACACACACAACAATAACACACCACACACACAACACACAACAACAACACACCACATACAACATACACACAATACACACACAGACACAACAACACCACACACACAACAACACCACACAAAACGCACAGACACAACAACACAACACACCACATACAACACACACACACGACTCCACAATACACACAGACACAACAATACCCACACACACAATACACACACACACCACACAATACACACACACACAACGTTGGCAGGCGTTGTTACATCGCTGCACGGCCCCACTTTGCACAATCCACTGCTGGACGAGAGGTCCTCCAACCACGACGAGTTTTGGCTTCGTGGGCGTCCATTGACTCGGAGTACATCAGCACGCTGGACAGAGGGCGCGGGGCGGGGGGCACACACGTGTGGACTTGGAGGCTACAGGACAATGTGCATCACGGCACTGCTCCCGTCTGCTGGCTGGCAACGTGGCTCTGCGTCACCGCTCTCTGATGCGTCGTTGGTGGTTGATAATTGGTTTTTTACCCTTTTATCTGGCAACAAAACTGACACCTTTTTTTAACAAGGAGTCGTGTTTGCATAGAACACAATACCTGCGGTCGGAATGCAAACAAAAAACACAACTCTGATAATCTTAATTTTAGAACTTTCGTGACTGCAGGAATTATAACCGAAAGAACCAAATAATAACTCTGATAATGTATGCACTGTCCTTGAAGTTGATTGGTCCACATCCGAAACAGCTTTCCTTAGAGCCTAGTCTCATCTGGTTCAACACCATGTGAGACCTAGGCTCTAAGGAAAGCTGTTTCGGGTGTGGACCAATCAACTTCAAGGACAGTGCATACATTATCAGAGTTGTGTTTTTTGTTTGCATTCCGACCGCAGGTATTGTGGTCTATGCAAACATGACTCCGTGTAAAAAAAAAAGGTGTCCGTATTGTTGCCAGATAAAAGGGCAAAAAAACAATTATCATATTTTTTCTTCTGGTAAATGAGGTTCCAATGGTCGTTGATGGTTGTTCATCGAGCAAAAGTCGTTCTGAACCTTCACTGCAGCCTTGCACCCCCTTGGGTTCTCGAATCGTTACAAACGGCACGTATAATGTTCATAAATAGGTAGGAGTTTGAGTGAAACAAAGTAGTTGTACTGACGCGCCCGTGGGGCCGTCCATATATGACGTCATGCACCTATTGGGGGGGGGGGTCAAACATTTGTGACGATGTGTGACGAAGGGGGGGGGGTTTGAGAAATGTGACGTCACATCAAAATGCGCAACTTTAAATAAATTAGACAACACGTTCTACTTAATTAAATAGACTTTTTAATAAATGTTTTCTCCTACAACATCAGAGTGCAGCGGCACATTAAATACGCACTACAATGACAATAGTTTAAAGCGATTTGAAGCATGTTTTATTTGGGGGGGGGGGCAGAGCTTTGTGGCGTCATATTTGCGGGGGGAGGGGGTCTGACTTTTTGTGACGCCGTGTGACGAAGGGGGGGGGGGGGTCAAAAATCGTCCAAAATCGCGAGACGTAATTTATGGACAGCCCCTGTGTTTAATTTGCGTTTCGATGGTTTACCTTCTAAAAATAAAAATCTGTCCACGTCTCGCACCCCCCAGGAAAGGGCATCTCGCACCCCCAGGGAGTGCGCGCACCTCCCCCCCCCCCAGGTGAAGAAGAATCACGGATCGAAGAGTTCGCCAGACTTCAGCCTGCTTAGCTTCCGATATCGGAGGTCGGGCGTATTCCGGGCGACTCGTGTTCATCATCAGCATCATCAACAGCAGCAACAGCAGCATCAACAGCAGCAACAACAGCAGCAGCAACAGCATCATCATCAACAGCAGCAACAGCATCATCATCAACAGCAGCAGCAGCAACAGCAGTAGCAACAGCATCATCAACAGCATCATCAACAGCAGCAGCAACAGCATCATCATCATCAGCAGCAGCGCTGTTGATCGTGCAGCGACCGCGGTTCATCCACATTCGACCTCAAGCCACTCGCATCTCGTTCGCGGCTCGCACGCGCCTCTTTAGGGGGTCCCCGCTTGGCGACGTCGTTGATTAAGGACCACCCGTCTCTCGCATACACGTGCATTGCGGTTCTTGAAGTACAGAGTTGTTTTAGCTGAATTCGAAATGGCTCTCGTTGTTTTGTCGATTGCCTAACCCCTGCACTGCACAGTCCCCACACACACACGCAGACACAAAGACAAATATCCCCGTATAGCCTTAATTTGAGGCAGAGTAGACCTAGTGGAGGGCACAGGACCGTTTGAGATGATCGTCACTGCAGGGTGTTGGCCGTGAGCGGGACCAGTGCCGGATTATTCCAGTAGCAAAAGTAGCTACACGTGTAGCTACTACATGTGTAGTAGCTACGGGCCCCGCACTTTCAAGGGCCCCGCGCTAAATGCTTTCAAGCTATCAACTCCGGTTCAGTGATTCTGCACTTGCTCTATTACTATAGTACTATACCGCCTTAAACCTTTATGAACGACTGGGTGTTTAAGGTTAGCGATTTGTCGTATTATCTGGCTGTAAAGAAAATTAAAAAATAAAATTACTTTACTACGCAAGTTTTAAATGCATGTGTTTTAATATTTGCGTGTTTTTTTATATTGAGGACCCCCTTCATAACATCATGCTACAAGCCCCGCACCACTCACTTCCTCCGGCACTGAAAACAACGAAGACTCGCCCCTCCGCACAGCCTCACACGCACAGAAGCCGTCTCACACTCGCGTACGGAACACGAACTCACAGCTCGCTCGCGTAGGGCGCGCGCACACACACGCACACACGCAAACACACACACGCGCGCACACACACACACGCAAACACACACACACAGCCCTCTCTAGGGATTTACATATTGTTTGGACAATCGCTATCAGCGAGCATCTATTAAGGCCGGCACGCACACATCCACACATACACACACCATGCCACGCACTCACAAACCATGAAATGCACACACACCCCGACAGACACACACACACACATCCCGACAGACACACTCCCTGACATACGCACTGTGAAAGGCGCGCGCGCACACACCCCGACAGACACACACACACATCCCGACAGACACACACCCTGACACACGCACTGTGAAAGGCGCGCGCGCACACACCCCGACAGACACACACACACACACCCCGACAGACACACACAGACCGACAGACACACACACACCCCGACAGACACACAGATATACACCCTAACACACACACACACCCCCTGACAGGTACAAAAAAAGACAATCGACCTCAGGACCGGTTCAGATATGAATCGTCACTGGGTTGTTGGCCGTCAGAGGGAATCGAACTCGGGCCGCCGGGTTCGTAGCGCAGCGCGCTAACCGCCACGCTACCGCTCCCCCCACACACAGAGACACACACACTAACACACGCACCATAACAGGTACACACAGGCACCGTGACACACACAGACACACACACACATCTTGACACACACACACAGGCACCGTGACACACACACAGGCACCGTGACACACACAGGCACCCTGACACACACACACACACTGTGACACACACACGGGCACCCTGACACACACACACACGCACCGTGACACACACCACCGTGACACACACACCGTGACACACACACAGGCACCGTGACACACACACCGTGACACACACACACCCTGGCACCGTGACACACACAGGCACCGTGACACACACACACCCTGACACACACCCCCTGACACACACACACCCTAACACACACATACACCCTGACACACACACACAGGCACCGTGACACACACACAGGCACCGTGACACACACACACACACCCTGACACACACACACACAGGCACCGTGACACACACACACCCTGACACACACACACACCGTGACACACACAACCTGACACACACACACACCGTGACACACACACCGTGACACACACACACAGGCACCGTGACACGCACACCGTGACACACACACACAGGCACCGTGACACACACACACACCCTGACACACACACACACCCTGACACACACACACACACAGGCACCATGACACACACACACACAGGCACCGTGACACACACACACACAGGCACTCTGACACATACACACACAGGCACCGTGACACACACACATATACACATTTTCACCCACACCCTCCCCGGCACAGAAGAAACACGCAGAGCAGGAAAAGCGCCGAGCGCTGGGCGGGGTGCGCCAATGACTCGGGACACGAGTCGCTCGTACAGTGCGCGGCAGTGAGCCCCCTCTCGTCACATTCTCTCTCTCTCTCTAAAGAGAGAGAACACAACTCTTTCTGTTTTTTTTTTCCCAAGGGCGATAAAGCAGCCGAATTGTTGTGTCGTTAAGTCGGGACTCCCCCCTCCTTGCCCCACCCAAGAGAAGCGCCACACAGCGTCGGTGGCGATGATGATGGTCGTGATGATGATGGTGATGTTGGCGACAGACTGAAGGGGGTTCCTCCTCCTCTCTCTCGCTCTCGTCTCGCGTCTTCCACAGCACCCCGAGGAAGAGGACGAGGAGACGTGGGTGGTGGTGGGGGTGGATTCTGCGTCTTGGCGGAGTCGTCTGGCTGGAGTCGTGACGCTGTTCGCGACTCCCGGGCGCGGCGGCAGATGGAGGTCGCAGGCGGTGCCGTCAATGCCACCACGGCGACTCCCGAAACCTCGACCGCCGACGGCATCTTGAAGCCTCTGATCATTGACGTGAGGACACGCGCGCGCGCAAGTGTTCGTTCGTGTGTGTGCGTGCGTGCGCGCGTGCGCGCGTCGCCACTAGGGAGACAAAGGCGGCCCGGAGTGGTTCTGGCCACCCAACCCCTCTCCGTGCTGGCCACTCGCTGAGGGCGCTTGCTCCGAAAATGCCGAGGCTGTAATGGGGCATCTTGGGTTTAGTCTTTGTACGTGGGTCGGTGCGCTCGTCCGCCTTAAACGAGTAAGAGCTGGTGGTGTGTGTGTGTAAACATCAGCACCGGGGATACAAAGGTGGCCGGGCGTGGCACTTGCCACATCCTTCATCGTGCGACGTGCGGGCCATACAGAGCGTGCCCCGCCACCAACACTCGCAGCAGCTTTGCTCGCCAACAGAGCAAAGTCCAACGGCAGCGCTTGCACGGGCGAGGCGTGAAGAGCGGTGGCGCTCCGGTTAGCGCACTGCGCTACGAACTTCTGAGGAGCGGTGGCGCTGCGGTTAGCGCGCTGCGCCACGAACTTCTGAGGAGCGGTGGCGCTCCGGTTAGCGCACTGCGCCACGAACTTCTGAGGAGCGGTGGCGCTCCGGTTAGCGCGCTGCGCTACGAACTTCTGAGGAGCGGTGGCGCTCCGGTTAGCGCACTGCGCTACGAACTTCTGAGGAGCGGTGGCGCTCCGGTTAGCGCACTGCGCCACGAACTTTTGCGCCGCCCGAGTTTGATTTTGCCAGTCACGGCGAACGAAAATCGTGCAGTGGGCGAGCGAAATCCGCAGGCCCACCCACCCCTGGGTCAAAATTGGCCTTGAATTAATACCAAGCGCGGTGTTTAAACATTTACCATCTTTTTTTTTGGGGGGGGGGGGGGGGGACAGATGACCTTGAGTGACGCTGCCAAAATCAATCTGCTTTGGAGAGACATACGATCGGTGCTCGCGAACAGCACTTTCTCCACCTCCCCCTACTCCCCACCGGATCAGCGAGGGGGCCTTTTGTGTGACGACAGCTGTAGTGACACCACGGGGGGGGGGGGGTCCCCCGTGAATACGAGGTTAGAGTCCATAGAGACGGTGGTCAACACAAGCAGGAAGCAAGGGAGGGAGGGACGGACGCAGCGAGACGGGCACGGAGAGAGAGAGAGAGACATCGGGGAAAACGTGGAAAGGAGGGAGGGCAAGAGATGCCCAGTTAGGGGCCGTCCATAAATGACGTTACGCACTTGGGGGGGGGGGGTCAGACATCTGTGACGATGTGTGACGAGGGTGGGGGGTTTGAGAAATGTGACATCACATCAAAATGCGCAAATTTTAATAAATATAGACAACACGTTCTACTTAATTAAATCGACTTTTTAATAAATGTTTTCTCCTACAGCATCAGAGTGCAGCGGCACATTAAATACGCACTACAATGACAATAGTTTAAAGCGACTTGAAGCATGTTTTATTTTGGGGGGGCGGGGGCAGAGCTTTGTGACGTCATATCTGCGGGGGGGGGGGTCTGACTTTTTGCTGACTCCAGTGTGACGTGGTGGGGGGGGTCAAAAATCGTCAAAATCTCCCAAAATCGCAGTGACGTCATTTATGACGGCCCCTTACTCAAAAGACGATGAGACGTACGGGCGAAAGAGACGTGCAGAGGGGGAGACGGACAAAAAGACATTCGGGGTGGGGCGCAACAATTAGAATGTGCGCGTTGGTACAGTGGTGTTGTAGTAAAGCGCCCTAACAAGGCAAGGATATTTATTTTTTCTCAGGAGGGATGTGGGGCCAATTCCATTAGAGCCATTTGGCTGGCGTCGTGTGGGAGGAAACCCGAGTCAAGCAAAGCTATCCCCACCAATAATACGAGAGAGGGGTGGTGGGTGGTGGGGGGTACTCTAGAAAATTGTCCACCTCCCAGCCAAAGCTAACAACACACACGGGTGGTATACGCCGGCGGGAGATTGGGTCGCGTTTTGTATGCGTGCTGAACTTTTTTCGCACCGCACGCAGCCAGCCGTGCTAATCGGAGGGTGTGGTGAGGGTGTGGTGAGGGTCGAGGGTGATTCTGTGGTTTACCTTCATGAGACACGCGAGTCGAGACGACCCCATGGGTGCTATAATCTTAATTTTGGAGCTTTCGTGACTGCAGGAATTATTCTTTGGTTCTTTCGGTTAAGTCACGTCTAAAGAAAAATAATAAATTAAATAATAGCATATTACGACGTTTCGATGGGTGGTACCATGCGCTGGCCTTTTGCTTTCCTTTATCGGTCAGACCATCCCACCACACACACACACACCACGTCGTGTGTCCATGGCGAGACGCTGGGCAGTACTTGTATGGAATTTATCTCACTTGATACAGCAGTCGTGCTGTGACGGTTCCACCTGAAGACGGAAGCTTGTGTTGCCTCCGAAACGTCGTGATTTTTATTTTCTTTTTCTTTTACTTTTATTAATTTATTTATTTTAATCTACGTGACTTTACCGAAAAAACCTAAGAGTATGAATCCTTGCAGTCACGAAAGCTTCAAATCTAGAATTGTATGGACTACGTCAGCTCACGGAGTGTTTCATCTCCTGGCCTCTTACGTAGGACGGAAAGGTGGGGGTGGGGGGCGGTGGGTTACTTGAAAGTTGGTTTCGTTATGGATTCGTTCACATGACCACCACCACCATCGCAAGTTGAAATTGGGGGCAGCCTTAGCTCCAAAGTTGCGAGGCGACTCCCGGGGCGGAGAGTGAAACGTGTTAAACCGGTGTGGAGGCAAATTCCATTCAATAAAAAAAAATACCAATCAACCAGGAGTGCCTTTAAACACGCGTGCCTCTTGTCATAGATCGGCATTGTGTTGGTTAATTTACACCTTTCTCATTTAGCCTGTCGATGCCACCTGTTTGTCGTCGTCCTAAGTATAATTATATTTACAGCAGGACTTGGCATGAGAGGTGGGGTGTGGGGAAGTGGTGGATGGGGAGGGGGGTAATGCAATTCATTTCGCACTAAAAGCCAAACCGTGTGGTTCGTTGTTTCGTCGGTAAAGACGACGACGAGAGAGTTCGCTCCTCAGCTGTGCCCGGGCGCCATGCGCACGCGACAAATTGTACGGTAACATCTCGGCAACATCTTAGTAACATCTCATTAATATTTTAGCAACATCTCGGCAACATCTCGCTCGCACACTCACTCACTCTTTCTCTCGGTGTGGGTAGATCGAGCGCCTCAATGTAGCGCCTCAATGTAGCTAGAGGCTTGAGAATCGGCCTTACCCGGTTAATTAGCGTTGCTATTATTGTTGATGTTGTTGTTGTTGTCATCGCATAGTGATTTAAATGCCCTCTGGAGCAGCGGTTGTTCCTAACGTGGGGTGCACGCCACACCCCCCGGGGGTGCGAGACACGGCCAGATTTGTTTTTAGGAGGTAAATCGTCCAAACACAAATTAAGTACGGGCACGTAAGTACAACTTACTTTGTTTCATCAATCCCCTGTGTATTTGTTAACATGATACATTTTGTTTGACGCTTGGGAACCAAATGGATGCAAGGCTGCAGTAAAGGTTAATACGGGTTGGAACGTCCTGGTTACACCAGCCCACAGGGGATTATTGTGTCCGTCCGTCGTGCAGGGAGGAGCTGGGTGGGGGAGGGTGGGGAGGGGGCTGGGTGGGGTGGGGAGGGGCTGGGTGGGGAGGGGCTGGTGGGGAGGGCTGGTGGGGAGGGGAGGGTGGGGAGGGGCTGGTGGGGAGGGGTGGAGGAAGGTGGGGAGGGGCTGGTGGGGAGGGTGGGGCTGGGTGGGGGGTACGAGGGGTAGGGCTGGGTGGGGAGGGGCTGAGTGGGGAGGGGCTGGGTGGGGAGGGGCTGGGTGGGGAGGGCATGGTCACCCCGTGGTGCCCTTATAAAACTCAACGTTTAACCTACTCACGCCGGCTTGTGCCCGCCCTCAGTCGGGCATATTTGTGGAATACACCACGCCGCCGTTGACCCTGGCCATTGACCGAGCAACCCAACGTTCCTACCAGCTCCCTCCGCAGGAATGTGTTGAGACACCACTGCTCTCGATCGACTCGTGGACGGGGTTTTCAACCTTCGGCTCCGTAGCTGCATGCGGCTGGTTATTTTTTCAAGGACTGCTTCCTGGCGCTCTTTATTAAGGACGGCCGTCTCGTATTCACCGAAACAATAATAAGTATAACCCGTAAAAACTAAGTTTTTCACTATAAATCCTTTATATGCGTGGCGGCTAGAGTCCTTTCGTCCTTTGGCTTGAGATGGCTGCCACCTATGGGTCAGATGATTGTGTGCCAGTATTAAGCAATTGGTAATTAAATATTTAATTTGTTTTCCCTAAACATTGTAAAATTTTGGAAATTTTTGGTTCACGAACATTAATTGTCTCGCACAACGAGTCTGTGTGCAAAATGTCAGCTCGATTGGATCACAGGAAGTGGGTTAAAAAACGACCGAAAGATTTGCACGGTCGTAAGCAAGCAAGCACGCAAGCACGCGAGCAAGCAAGCAAGCGAACTTAATATAAAGGATTTAAAATGGTTCTCATTATTTTGGTTGCCATACCCTGGAATGGGTCACCCATCTCAATGTAGCAAGGACCCTCCTGTAACGGAGGCTTAAGATTCAGGCTTACCTGGTTAATTAGCATTGCCGTTATTAGTATTATTGTCATCCCACAGGGATTTTAAATACCATCCTAGAGGCTATTTATAGATGTCCCTCTTTGCGGAGACCTTCCATCGGCAGTGGTGTGAGCGAGTAATTGCAGGTCTGCGCCTGGTATTCTTAGAGGGGGGTTTTGGTTGTTAAATTGCTTCTCCTTTATCGGTCCGCTGCTGGATGAAAGCCCCCCCCCCCCCCACCACGCTCTCCGTCACTGGAATTGTTTGGGCAAACTTCCTCACAAAAACATAATAAGGATATTTCACAAGCCCTCACCGGTTGATCAATTATCAAGACACTCCACTGTACTTTAAACAACGATATATATATTTTAAAAATAATAATTGCAATGGGTAGCAGAGATTAGTGCAACTAAATTCCACTGTTGTACTGCACTTCTATGCTTCCATATCTGTGACCCTTGCCTTCGCCGGCACCCAGTGACCATCCCGATGAGGTATGGTCACATAACTACCACAACTCGCATTGCGTGGGGGGGGGGGGCTCATCCAGCAGTGGATGAGGGCAATCGGTCTGTGCACGTACTGGGACTGTACAGCGAGTTTATGAGATCATTTTTGAAATTGTGTGGTTTTTATTGTTCATGACGTAATGTTATAGTCTGAAGGCAATGATGCACTAAGCATGAACGGGATGACGTCAGGGTGGTTGCGTGTGTGTAGAACATTGTGTCCGTTGTGTGTACCGGTGTGCCTCACGAGTACATGGTGCCGTGTGTAAACGTCGCCACTAGGGAGACAAAGGCGGCCGGGCGTGGGCTTGGCCACCCACCCCCTCGTGTGCCGTTCCGGCCTTCGTAGGTGCTCGCTAACAGCACTTGCCCCAAGTCTGCTCAGGCTATACGGGGAATATCTCTCTGTGTGTGCGTGGGGAGCGGTGCTGTAGCGGTTGGCATGCTGTGCTAAGAACCCGGCGACCCGAGTTCGATTCTTGCTCATGGCCAACACCAGTGGCGTTTATCTGAACCGGTCATGGGCCTCCCCTAGGTCGACTCCGCCTTAAATGAGTACACGTTGCGGTGTGTAAACATCAACACCACTGGGGAGACGAAGGCGGCCGGGCGTGGTGCTGACCACCCACCCCCTCGTGTGCTGTGCTGGCCTTCGTAGCTGCTCGCTAACAGCACTTGCCCAAACAGTCTGTTAAGGCTATACGGGGGATCTTTGTCCACCAGTGGTAGAAATCTTATTAGTGTGTGGGTGATCACCCATCCAATCACCCCCTGCTTAAAGCTTCTGATCATTTAAGAGACGAGGTGCATTCTGGGAGATGTGGGCACAGGCCCAGTGCAATGTAGTTATGGGCTCTCAAATATGGTGTGTCCCATAAGTCGGTGTTATTATGAACTGTTGATGGATGTTTAATGGAGACTTATGGTAACGCCGCACTAACATAACATCTACCTGGACGTTTCATTGAAACTGGAAGAACCCCGATGAGTAGTTAAACTTCTTTTCACAGAGGAACATCCCAAATCTGGGGTCGGACGTGGTGTAAAATTATGGAGGAAGTTTCCCGGGGAGATGAATCGAACACACATCGTCAATAAACTAAATCAAATGTAAACTCGGTCATACGTAAGCTCAAAAAAAAAAAACAACGGAATAATTTCTCGTAAAAAATAAAACACGGCTGTAGTTAAATTTTGTACAAAGAGGATATATATTACACTTGCAAATCCACTGGTTGTCAGATCGCAGTTCGCAAATGAGGCTCCACGTGTACAACTTGATGGTAGTAGCGTCACCAGACTGAGAGCGAGAGAGATAGAGAGGGGAGGAGACAACGAGGAGGAGGAGGCTTTGCTACCAAGTCCCAGTCTCCTTCTGGGAACGCTTCAACTAACCGTTTGACGTTCGTTTTTTTGTTTAAATTGCCTCGGGCTTGCCAGTGGAGCTAAAGAGTTTGGCTAGACACAATGCATTGGCTCGATCACTCGTCGGCAACCAAAATGACAAGAGCCAATTTTTTTTTTCAAATTCAGTAGTAAAAAAAAAATCTAATTTTCCAGAGCTGCAATGCACGTGAGAGAACGAGACGATGGTCACTAATAAATAACTCTCGCGACGCGGTTTCTTAAAGAGCCGCACGCGTGTTGCCAAGCCCCTGGGCTAGATTGCAGGGGGCACATGAAACAATCCATGTTGTGTCCACCAGTATCTTCACGGGTTATGCCACACAACATTCTGGCCACAGGTAAACGTAATTTGTCTGGAAGACACATGCATGGGTCGATGGGCTAAACAAAAACACATTTAATTCATTTTGTAGAGAAGAATGGAATTCGCCCCCCACCCCCCAGCTCCAACCATGATGTTGCAGAGCAGCACCTATGAACGCGTCACCCCGGAATGAGCTCAATCTCATCAGATCTCGAAAGCTCGGCAGGTTCAAGCCTGGATAGTGCTTAGACGTGTGACCACCGTGCGTTCAACAGGTGCCCGCAATGCTTCTGCATCTCCGCTTGTGGCCTTCACCAACCACGATGACCTGGGTTATAAAGTACGGAGAGTCCTCGACTTACGCACACGATTAGTGGCATTCTCGTTCGTAAGTCAGGGAGTCTATCGTTCAACATGGTATGGGAGGCATTCGTTCAGCAGTGGATTAACAACGTGGGTGTGCTGTAGATGTGGTATACAGCATAGACGTGATTTGCATCGACTTTGGAAAGTCCCGGTTCGTTTTATGATTGTGCGGGAGGAGCGAAATAAAAAAACTGGTGATGAAAACGCTGCACGGATGTTGTCGCCCCGCATTCCTTCCATTCGCAGGACAACTTGGTGGGCACGCTGCTGGCAGTGATTGGAAACATCATCATCAGCATCTCGCTCAATGTCCAGGTGCCCGCATCGCCACCGCATCGCCACCACACAGGCACCACACGGGCAACACACGGACGCCACAGCCAACAACACGGGCACCACGCGGGCAGGACCCTGACCTCTATCCAGACAGGGTGGGTGGCCAGCACCATGCCTGCCTGCCCACCCGTGTCACCCCAGTGCCGTTGTTTTCACCCCACACCGGGCACCCATTTGAGGCCGAGTCGACCCTTGGTAGGCCCGGAACCGTTTCCGATTATTGTCACTGGAGTAGGAATTGAACTCGGGCCACACCGGGTTCGTAGAGCAGCCCGCCAACCTCTGCACTACCACTCCCCACAGATACACATTGACCCGTTATTTGCTCATGAAATCGGTAGATAATGTTGTCAAGCTCTGTGTACGAATGACAAACCCTATTAAACGTATGTTTAACTTTGTATTTGCGAACAATGGCAGGGAGTGGTGTTGTTATCTCGTAGAAGTTGACAAAGGAAAGAAACCAAATGAGGTTTTTAACAAGAAATCGGCGGTCAACTGAACTGCCGGAGTATAACTGCATCCTTCTACCGTGTGAATTCAGAGCAGCGGATTAAAGATGTAATTTTTAATTTGTTATGCACTCGATTGTCTTGTTCAGACGCAGAGTCGATCTCGTCCATCCCTCCTTTTTTTAAAGGAGTGAAGACAGCAGCTGTTGACAAATGTGGTCGATCGTTTGGGATTCGTGCCCGCACCACTCGCAGGCTGCCGAATCTTCAACGCAACATTTGTGTTCTAGATTTGAAGCTTTCGTGACTGCAAGGATTCATACTCTTAGTTCTTTCTTACTGAAAGAACTAAGAGTACAACGTTTGTGTGTGGCCCGGCCCCGATTCGCTTGATGGTCGACCCTTGGCGGCGGTGTGGAAGGTTGAAACTGCGGAGGCTCGATGGTAGGGTTGTGTGTGAGATGTCAGGACCATATAAAGCCTGCACAAGCGCAGTACAGGTATTCCTCGATTCACCAAAGGGATGCGTTCTTCAAAGAAACACGCGCGTGAAACGAAATTTCGTAAACGGGAACGGCTTTTCCCAATAATTTAAGACGAAAAACTAGGGACTTGTTACGGGCAGTCAATCCAAATCTACACCTAACGTGAAAATCTACACACACCTGAATCACTTTTCACAATACAAAAATAATAATAAAGAACGTAAATATAATATTCTATGAATTCCTGCAGTCACGAACGTTTTAAGTCAAAACATGAAAACGAATAATTCAATAAAAAAAATACTTTTCACGGAACTCGCCAATAACATCTGCTACATGTTGGAATGCCTGGAGAGGTTCAGTTCATGTATTAGGTCTAGCCCTGTGAGCCATGTCGCTCTTGACTTGGGTGCAACCGCAACAAACAAAATCATGAACAAGAAACATCTTAAAGTGACGACACGTCGCAGGGACACCGTGACGCTGTCGCAGATGGATGACACGACCTGGCCGCGGTGAAATTTCGTGAAAGCGGAAATGTACATTTCGTTCATCAAAAAGCGTCCGCAATTCGTCAATTGGGTTCACGTGAAATTTATAAACGGAACGTTCGCGAAGCGAGGGATACCAGCTGCTGGCGATTCGCTCGGTCGTGAGCTGACTGTTATTATGCTACTCGATATTCCGTGGGTTCCGTCATCGGAACAATCGGCAGTTGTGTCTCACTTTGTTAACAGGAAGACTGTAGCACTCAAATCCAAACATTGTTTGGATGTCTCGCGGCCAAATCTAAAGCGTAGCGAGCAACAGGCTGCGACGAATCGTGTTAGAGACAACTGCAACCCGGCAGGTGCGGCTGTTCCCTTCACTCGTGGAAAATGAGAGTGGCCCTCATTGTGAATTGTGGCGAAGTGCAATTTGGTAGTTACATAGCCCAGCGCTGCCCATTATTCGCTAACCCACAGGAGGTACTGCCGAGCAAACTCGTGATGCCCATCGGATGGATGACTTTAACTCGCCACGCAGCTACTGTATAATGTAATGATCAGTTGCTCTTCAATTGCTGAAAGAGACCGAGAGAGAACATCCACATCTAAAAATGTTGGGCAGATCATTGTGTGGTCGAACCAACAAGATAAATTATGAATCAATGTCTGAAAATGTTGGAGGTGTCCAGACCCCCCCATCCCCCGTGCAGGCCAGATGTGAGCCCCCTCCCTCGTGCCCGCTCCATAGCCGTTAAAAAGACCTTTGTGCATACAGTACCTATTGACTTGTTCAAGTTGCCTGCAGCTTGGCAACCAGCCGAGGACACGATGGAGACAGGTAAACACGGAATCTCTCCCGGTGTTTTCGGCTTGTGCTGGTGTACGATGTCCCCATGCTTCTTCAGGAACTAGTTAATTCCGAACAAAAAATAACTAAATGCGGTCCAACCCGAAAGCTGAGCTACACAACGCAGCCACGAAACCCAACGCAGGGTGCAGCAACGCTCGTGCACACGTTTGGTTTAATTCGTGGGGCTTCATTATGAACAGCTCGGAGACCATGAGTGTGTATATTTTCGTGTCAAACCATTACCGGGCTCTGAATTACAGCTGGGGTGACTCGCTGTTCAGAGGTGGTGGAGGCTGAGTGGAGACCGGGTGGTGGAAGTTGCTGTTGGTGGAAGTTTGCGGTGGTGGAGTCTGGGCGGTCGCTGTGTGGCAACTGCTTGCAGTCTGGACGCTATTTGTGGCCGTCCCGTTAACATTAATCATTTCCCGTTCCATACGTGTACGTCATCGGTTTTCTTCCGATTCTGTTCTGATGACGTACGTGTATGTCAATGGAACGGAACCTGAATAAAAAATAAAGTAACTTTATCGGTACCGAGGCTCTCACAAGGCCATGCAGGGGAGGGCGTGTGCTACAGTTTGGCGCCAGCTATCATAGAGTGTGGTCGTGTCGCTACGGTTCTCTGCGGTGAGTAACAACTTCTTTTAAGAACAGCGGGCGCTCCGCCTCTCTGAATAAAATTAACTCCAAACCGCTCGCGCGTTACGAGATTTGGCGAAGAACGGGGAACCCACACCCTGCAAAACTTGCAGTCTCAGAACGGGAAAGGAGTCGTATAAAAAAAAAAAAACGCGTGGTCCCACCTCCTGCAGAAATGTGCTCACTCGCGGGTCTCGGCGCTGGACGGCGAGCGGCGGCGTCCGTACGAGCGCAGCAAGCTGTGGTGGACGGGCCTGCTGCTCATGCTGCTCGGGGAGCTGGGCAACTTCGCGGCGTACGGCTTCGCTCCGGTGTCGCTCATCGCGCCGCTCGGTGCCATCACCGTCATCGGTGAGGGCGCCCGCTCGCGCGCGTGTTTTGTGCAACTCCGTGCGCGTTAACAATTTTTTTTAAAGATGTGTTTGACTTTTTATTTTTTTAAACCAGGTAAGGCCCACTGAGCTATATTGCTCTTTTTCAGAAGCGACCTGGCCACAAATGATAGCCCAACGAGAAGCGGCTTATCATCACGTGGACATTTATAGCGGGCAAATACTCTGAACGCACTTTGATTCAAAATCTGGAGGAGAAAAACTGGAGGATCCAGGGATAAATTCACGCAACCACGGGGAGAGTGAACATGCAAACTCCAAATATACAGGCGTCGGGGTCGAGGCGAGGTAGTTAACCGGGGCAATTTGCCGCACGATGCTGCTTAAGAACAGTTCCAAATGTTCACATTAACAATGCAATGAGGTGTTGAGAAGTGTCTCTCTAGCAAGAGTGCTTTGCTCTTGGCACTTGACCTGGAGTGCAGGAAAAACCGTTTCGTGGAGCGATTGATCGGTTGGCTGCGATTGCTCACTTAAAAGACGCCCGTTTGATGGATTGCTGAATTGGTGATTTTACACGTTTATCATTCACGCTGCTTGTTTTATTGCAAATGCGTTTTGTCGACCATTGCACCTTGAATTCGAGGACCTTAAAGATTTTTCGATTTAAAGCTTTCGTGACTGCAGGGATTCATCTTCTTGGTTCCTTCGGTAAAGTCACGTAGAAGGGAAGTAATAAAATAATAAAAATAGAACATAATAAAATAATTCTCACTATTATTTGTATTATTTCCCTTCTACGTGACTCTACCGAAAGAACCAAGAAGATGACCTTAAAGATTGCACGAGGTTGAGCCCCCCTGTGTGGCAATAAATCGTGGCTGCCGTGGTGCCGACGGCTGCCAAAGTCGATGCCGTAGCTGGGCACTACAAATGTGCAGCGCAAAATCCGACTCGATATTTGCGTGCGACTCCAGATTTTACACGATCTTGGTAACGACATGCGGCAGGGGGGGGGGGGGGCGTGGGAGTTAAATGACAGCCTGTGACCAAATCACCGGGAATCTGGGCCGATTTCAGGCGATCCCAGAAGCTTCTCGGCGGGTTTTTTAGCCTGGATAGTGCTTGGATTTGGTGACCACCGTGCACTCGAGGTTGTCGTAGGCAGCTGCCGGGGCTGTGGACACCAGAGGGCAATGCAGCAAAGTCGATTAGTTGTGCTGAACTTGGCTTATCATCGACGTTCATGGCTTCCGGCCTTCGCCGTCTGGCACCGGGGACCAGGTGGTTGTTGCAGCATCGTCAAGTTACCCCAACAGCCTGTACGGTGGAGAGAGGCCATCGTCCATCCGAATCTGAATATTTATACTGGAGGAATCCGATGAGCCGTGAAGTAATTTTTCACAGACGTCCAGTAAGGGGCAGGGTCAGAAAGTTACAAATAACAAACAATATAAAAAAAACCACGACAGACGTGAAAAGTCTAGGAAAGGTAAACAAATCGCACGCACAAATAAACTCTACCACTTTTTATTTTACCTGGTCAAGCCCACTGGGCTATCGGCTTCTTTTTTCAGAAGCGACCTGGCCACAAATAACCGCGCGTGCAAATAGCGCAGCGCAGCGGCGTGTGAACAGCGTTCGAAATCGAGTCATCACCTTTTTTCTGCCAAGTTCTCACTCGCACCCCTTCCTTGCCCGCTGCGTTTTCTTCCCCCCGCCTTTTAAGCGAGCGGCATCATCGCGGTGTTCTTCCTCAAGGAGGCGTGCCGAGCGTCGGACTTGCTGGGTAAGGCCCCTGCCAACGCACCGCGACGGCGGCCATCGCCGCTGCACCGTCGTTACCCACCACTGACGCTTCACTTAGAACAATCGCGCGCCAGAAGCCTCGTCGATTATTTCATTCCTCCGGTGCGAGGAATTCAATTATTGCCCCCCTCAACCAGTATATATACGGGGTAGTATCTCTTGGAATTTCTCATTTACTTGATACAGCAAGCGTGCTGTGACGGTTCCACCTGAAGATGGAAGCTTGTGTTGCCTCCGAAACGTCGTGATTTTTATTTTAATTTTATTTTACTTTAATTTTATTGATTTAAATTTAAATTTTTTACCTACGTGACTTTACCGAAAAAACCTAAGAATATGAATCCTTGCAGTCACGAAAGCTTCAAATCTAGAATTCTTGCCCCCCCCCCCCCCACCAACATGGCTTTGTAGCCTGGCGCTTGGACCTCTCCGGCTCCGTCGGATTAATGCGGTTGCAGCGCCTGCGCACACTCGATAGCCGTGCCGGCGTTTTAAAAAAAAATTCGTCAACGCCATCATCGTTGTTGTCGTCGTCGTCGTTGTCGTCGTTGTTGTCGTGATCATCATCATTGTTGTCGTTGTTGGTGTGCATGGCCGACCACTCCCCCCCCCCTCTCCTTTGCTCCCCTGCGGCCCGCTGATCGTGGCGTTCTTGGCAGGCGCTGCCCTGGGCCTCGCTGGCACGTACCTGCTCGTGACGTTTGCGCCCAGCGACCAGCAGCAGCTGACGGGCGACAACGTGGTGCAGTACACGATCAGCTGGGCCTTCCTCCTCTACTTGGTGAGCAGCAGAGCTTCGCCTGACGCATGTTCTCCAAAGCTTGTTGAGGGTTCCCCAACGCAAGTCAAGTCCGTGCGCTGCTTTCTTTCTCTCTCTCTCTCGGTGAAATTCCAGGCGTGCGCCTCTCCGCGCTGCTCTGCGCATCGTTGAGCTTCTGTTCAATTCCCTCCGCCGGCGACCCACGTTTGCGGTCCACGAAGTGCACACCGATTTGAAACATTTTCACCGGGAGGATTTTTGTTTGCGCCAATATCTACCCTTTTTTGTTGTTGTTGTTACAGTTGTTGGAAATCGTCCTCTTCTCCGCCCTCCTCTATTTCCACTTGAAGCTCGGCATCACCGACATCGTGGTGTGTCTTTTGCTGGCGGCGTTGATGGGTGAGCGAATTTTGTTACCCGATTTTCAAGGGCAGTCTGTTATCCAGATGAGGACGGTGGTGCTGGTGGTGAATAGGAATCTAAATCTTCACCAACCCACCATCACCATCCCCCCCCCCCCTACCTTCAGCGATTGAAGGGCCACCAAGATTAGGGGTCACGAATTGATTTAAGAATCGATTCGTGGTACGAGAGGATGTATAGAGCTGTGAGTGAACTTGCCGATGACTGGTACCGGCGGTGTTGAGAGATTGGCCTCTGTGGAGGAGGCTCGTGAAGGACGCTGCTACTGAGCAGTTGGAGGCAGTCGTCCTCCAGCAACAACGGAGGGCAGTGGAGCGACGCTCACAACAATGAACGGAGCGCCGGGCGGCTAAAACGCAGCAGATTGGCACAGTAGGGGGCACAGGTGGTGCATCGGCCAATTGTCTCGGTCAGTCGACCCGTGGCACCTGCTGGGTCTGCCCCGTGATCTCCTGCCAGCGGGCTTTCGGCACTTCATGTGGCCTTAAAGTGCACATAGCCCAGCACAAGCGCCGTGGTGACGTCACTGCCACTTAGTGGCGAATAGCGGTGGTTGTTGCGTGCGCGCATCTCGTTTTTGCCATCTCGTTTGTATTTTTGTTTCTCATTTGTATTGTTTGTGGTTTGCTCCACTTCGTCCATACGGCATCATTCGGTCCACGGGCACACGTGTAATATTCGCGGATTTTTACGTGTTCAGAACTTTCAGCGATCTTAAAACGATAACCGTCGATCTAAATGCTGGCATGGTGTCAAACGAGAATGAACGCTAAATGAATGATTTGATGCGTGTTGTTACATGCCGAGTGACGATTGTGATGATGACGGTGGTGCTTGCCCCATTTTTTTAATGCACTCCAAGGTGAGGGGGGGTTGAGGGGGGGGTACACAGTAAAAATCTCTTGAAGATGATGCCATGGGAACAACGCTTCGGTGACGTTGTTACCCAAAAAAAAATTCGCAAGGGCAAAACAGCGGGTGTGGTTTTGCAAAATATGCCAACGTGCTTCCCATTAGGTTTACCATTTAGGTGTACCAGGTAAGCCCCCCCCCTCCCCCCCCCCCCCCCCCCCCACTGAACTGTTACAGCTTATTCTTTTTTCAGAAGCGACCTGGCTCTCACAAATGACAACTCAACGAGAAGTGGCTTCTCATCATCGTGTGGAAATGTATAGCGGCCAAATAATGATGTGGAAGGGGGAAAAAACGGAGGACCCGGGGCGGGGGGGGAGAGAGACATACGAACTCATTGGAGGAATCCGAAAAGCTGTACAATTATTTTTCACAGATGTCCAGTTAGGGACGGGTCGGAATTGACGACAACAAACAGTACAACAACACAATAGCAGTTAAAAGTATAGGAAAGGTAAACAGATCACTTTAAAAAAATATTAAATGAAAACTAAACTAACGTCGTACTCGGATTGTAAATGTTGTGGCTTTGCTCTCTAACACACCAGTTAGTGCTGTACTCGTAACGAATTGGCACGTTCTGTTAACGTGACAAACCTTACGAATTGGCTGCGTCGGGTGGTGGTGGGTTTAATGACACATTATGTTTACGCGATCTAACCCAAAAACACCTTTTATGGAAAACTAAACTATTTTTTGTACCTTCCCAGATAAAGCCCACTACGCTGTTAGCTTCTTTTTTCAGAAGCACAAATGGTAACTCAACAAAGTGGCTTATCACGTGGAAATTTATAGCAGCAAAATAATCATAACGCACGTTGATTCTAAATGTGGAGGGGAAAACCGGAGGCCCCAGAAGAAAAAAAAAATCCACGCGACCACGGGCAGAGAGAGACACGCAAACTCCAAATACACAGCAGGCATCGTCAGGGTCGGGATCAAACCCACGACCTCCTGTGTATACTAGGTGAGGTAGTTAACATCTCCTAGCCACCGTGATGATGATGAGAGAGAGAGACACGCAAACTCCAAATACACAGCAGGCATCATCAGGGTTGTGATCAGACCCACGACCTCCTGCATACCAGGCGAGGTAGTTAACATCTCCTAGCCACCGTGGCTTTCCACCGACGGCCACCATCGGCATCCGGGGTTGCGAATTAAAATTCTTCGAAGGACAAACGCCGCGTGTTGCTGCAGAGCCTTGCACAAGCCACGCGTGTGCTCGATTTTGTCCTTGACTCTGTCACACTTGGGTGGGCAGGATCGATCACGGTGATCTCGGTGAAGGCCGTGTCTGGGATGGTGACGCTGTCCGCCCGCGGCAGCATGCAACTGGACCACCCCATCTTCTACGTCATGTTCGTCGTCATGGTGGCCACAGCAGTGGCCCAAGTCTCGTAAGGAGTCGTTCAATTATTAATTGATTAATTAGTTCGTTTGTGTTGTCCGCTGCCCGCGGCGTGTCCTGCTCTCGCACCAATTGCTGGTGGCGTCAACTCCGGTGATTGGCACGGTTGGCTATGTGCGGTGTGAAATAGGTTCTGCATACGTAATAGAAGATCCGTTTCACCGACTCCTAGAGTACCCATCATCATCACCATCATCAGTGCCCGTCACATTCATCGTCACATTCATCGTCACCATCATCACCATCGTCACCATCGTCACCATCGTCATCGTCGGCGATGATCGATTCTGGATGAAAGCCGCTCTGAGCCGATCCCATCTCCCATGGTCCTACCATGTGACAATCCACATGCAATGCGTATAAATTCAAGCCGATTTCACCACTCCATCTCCGGAGTGGTGAAATCGGCTGTCTGTCACGTCGGCTCCTTAAGTCGCCACTCCATCCTTAGTCTCGACCATTGGCCAGTATAATTTCGAGCGATGGATGAGTGTCCTGCCCAATCGCACGTTTGATCACAGTCGCTATGACGATGCCTCTACGTCTCGTGTGTTGCGTGAAATGCGTGCTCTCCTCTTTCTGCACCCTCGATATACTTCCAAGCGTGGGTCCTACCCGTGCCTCTCTGAACGTTTCGTCCCTTTAATCACATATTTGTGAATGTCCAGTGTTTCTAATCCATGCGTCGTATGTGCCGCATGTAAAGTTTCTTTGAAAAAAATATAATAACACGTTTGGTAGAGAAAGGTGCTGCACACGTTGAAGCGTAACTGGTAACACAGGCGATTAAACGTTTTTATGTTGAACTTCTTTCGCACCGTACGTAGCCAACCGTGCTAATCGGGGGTACGGGGGAAGGACAACAAACTAAACGCAACAAAACTGTTATAAAGAAATTAGATTTCAATCTAGATTTGAAAGTGTGTGCCTTGCGGATCCGTACAACTGCGTCGCTTTTCATGGTTGTGCTGCTGCCGCGCAGCCTCCGCCGTGTCTCCTGGGTTGTGTCGCGCGTTGTTCACGCTACGATGTCCGACGTATTGCCCCACGTGCTGTGCGGGGGTGGGGGGGGGGGGCGAGCTTCATAACAAAACGTGGAGCGAAACTTTGGACATCGTGGCCAAACAACGCACGGCAAGAGCCCCGATAAACACGCCGTGGGGTGCTCTTGAAATCCTCGTAACGTTGACGACGGACCGTCTCGTTGGCAGGTTCCTCCGTGAAGCCATGTGCCACCACGACTCCATCCACGTCGTTCCCATCAACTACGTGTTCTTCACCACCAGTGCCATCATCGCAGGTGAATCGTCGGAATCCTTTTTTTTTTCAAAATCTTTTTTTTTTTCAAAATCCTTTTTTTTTCAGAATCTTTTTTTTTTTATCCCGGAGAAAAATCCGATGAGCTGTGAATGTCATTAATTTTGTTTGCGCATTCCCAGGAGGACTGCACGGACGCACACTTTGAACGTGTCCCCCCTTTCCATCTCCTTGGCGTCTACATTTTGACGACGTGCGGATTTCCTGTTTGGCCAAGAGCGCAGCAAAACAAGCCGAGTTATTTCCTCGGGCTTTAGCGACCGACAACTGCCTGATGATGCTGATGATGCTGCTGGCTGTAACTACCAGCGAATCGTCCGTACCCAATCGTTAACTGTCGTAGTAATAAGTTGGTCTCGTTCGTTGACGAGCCAACTTTATTAATTGTCTGTATCAGGCGGCGGTGCGGGGGGCGGCTGGGGCGGAGTTGCGGTGCACCTTTTACTATCGGGCTTGAAGACTAACCCCTATAAAAAAACATTAATGGATAATATTGGTTGCGAAAACCTACGCGTTAAATCCACTCCCTGCGGTGTTACATTCTGCGCAGATGCACCAGCGGATCTCGTTTTCATTTTGCATCAGGCTAGGAGATGCACGTACACACACTCGTGTAAATTCCGCGCACACGCATGGCGATGCAGTCATGTTCTCGTGTTTCTTCAGGGGCCCGGGTAAATGTTTCATTTAACCTGTAAAGGCGAACACACTCGATATAAACTATAAAAAAAACTATAAAAAAAGTGTTTTTATTTTATCAGGTAAGACCCACTGAAACTGTATAGCTCTGTTTCAGAAGCAACCTGGCCACAAATGATATCCCGACAAAGTGGCTTATCGCGTGAAAGTTTAATAGCGGTGAACTTGCTTCCGGGGATCGGCAGGCGGTTTGTTATAACCGTTCAGTGGGGGGGGGGGGGGGGGGAATCGCCGGTTTTGTGTCGATACTGATGGCTTGGGGCTTTAGTTTGTGCTGTGAGGTGGGCCAGGAGATGGCAGGACAAGGGCGGATTGAATCCCCATGGGTGCAGAGCTTTCCGGCGTGGTTTTCTCCGGGCACTCTGGTTTCCTTTTAACTTGCCGAGGTCTTTAAAGTCGCAGTGGCACGCGAGCGCCACAGAGAGCCCGAGATGGGTCCCTATTTTATTGTATTTGGCCTACTCTTCCACGCAGGCCAGACATCTTCAAAGAGGTTATTTTATTAATTGGTCTTAATTTAACTATAAGCTTTTATTCGTTTTAAATTAAATTGCCCAATATACGTTTTTTGTTGTTTTTGTGTTAAACTAAAGATCACGTGTTTTTCTTAGCTTTGGGCTTCATGTACATTTTATTTTACGTGAAGCGTTCCTATGAACGCGAAGTAGCCTATCTAAGCAGATTGATTGGTTCATTTATTGACAGACTGGTTTGTTAATTGGTTGGACTGGATGATTGACTGGTTGATTAGTTGATTGGTGAACGAATGGTTGATTGTTCAGTGTGTTGATTGTTAAGTTGACTGTTCGGTTTTTTTGATTGTGTGCAGGCGCGATCTACTACCAGGAATTCTACGGGACCACCGTGCTCAACGTGACCATGTTCCTGTTTGGGTGAGCGCTCTCGCCGTTGTTCTTCTGAACGACACGTTAGGAAAATTCACGTGTGTACGCACGGATCGTGTACCACTCGGCAACGCGCGCGCTCCCCCTTGGCGTTACAGTACAACGTCGCATATCCTCGGCGGCTTTTGGCTGGCAATCGAACAAAGGCGGTCGCCGCATCGCACCTTTTTCGGGTGTGCTTCTGCGGCCGTCTGGAACGCTCTTCCTTGCGGTATTAGGAATCCACTGGAGCTACGCACTTTGAAATCATCTGGCTTGAAAACGAATTTCTTTAGAACTACTTTTTGTGTTTAGTTTGTCCTTCCCCTGCAACTCTAAGTTAGCACAGTTGGCTATGTACGGTGCGAAAGAAGTTCTGCATACTCACAAACGGACGCTGCCACGCTCGCTAACAGACACCGCTGCGCCCACAGACAGACGGACGAGCGCTGACGTGCACGCGTGGGGCGCCTTGTGTTTCACAGCTGCCTGCTCTCCTTCATGGGCGTCTTCCTCATCACTCGCAACCGGCCCAAGCCTGCGGCTCCCACGCCCTTCGTCAACATGGACATGTTCAGAGGTAGTGGGCGCCTCGCTTGTGCGCTGCCACTGCCGTGGTTGCTGCTGCTGCTGCTGTGTGCGCGGCTGGTAGGGGAGCAAAGCTGGTGCATCTGCCAATCATCTCACTCGGTCAACCCATGGGCAGCCGACTCTGTCACCGTGACCTCCTGCCAGCAGCGAGCGTTCGACACCTCGCATTGCCTCAAAGTGCACCTGGCCTGGCACAGGCGCCGTGGTGAAGTCACTGCCGCTTGGTGGACCAAACGGCGGTTGTAATCGTTGTGAGAGAGCGGTTTCGCAGCGGTGAGCTCGCTGCGCTGCGAATTCGGCGACTTGAGATTCACTCCGGGGTCATGCCCAGCATCTCACGCCAGCGGCAGCAGCATGTCCGCCCTCTGCCTGCCCCGCCGTGAATTCGGCCTTTAAATGAGCACCTGGTGCGGTGTGTAAACATCGGCACTTGAGACGACAAGGGTGGCCGGGCGCGGTGCTTTCTGTTGCCCCAGCAGTGTGTTTAGGCTACGTGGGTGATCTTTTGTCTACGTTTAGCGACATAAGGTAAGAGTTGAATGCCCAAACAAGGGCTTCCGGGGAAGATGGATCGTGAGTTTCCCAAAGTAATTTCCTGTGGCCCGACCCATCGTGTTTGCCAGATTTCTCTGCTCATGTTGACCAATTTTACTCTGTTCAAATGTTCCGTCCTGAACTGTGGAAGACCGAGCCCCAAGTCATTACACGCTGGATGCTCCGGACGATTGCCGAACGATGGCCCGACCATAACGCGGAGAAGCGTCGAGCCGAGTTCACAGTTGTGTCTACACCTTGCGGGATGCACGCAAACAGAGACGTGACAAAGATACCCCCCCCCACCCGAGATTGCCTTTACCAGACTGCTGGGGCAAGTGCTGTTCGTGAGCACCTGTGTGCGTGCGGACACACGGACAAAGATCCCCCATAGAGCCCTTATGAAACTGTTGGGGCAAGCACCTTTTTAGCGAGTAGCGTCTATGAAGGCCGGCACGGCACACGAGGGGGAGGGTACCCAGTGCCACGCCCAATCGCCTTGGTCTCCCGAGTTGGCTATGTGTACACACCACACCAGGTACTCATTTGAGACTGAGTCGACCTAGGGGAGATTCGGATAATCGTCATCACTGCTCTTGGCCGTGAGCGAGAATCTAACTCGGGTCGCCGGGTTCGTAGCGCAGCGCGCCGACCGCCGCACCACCGCTCCCCACGTACACACACCGCTTTTCCCACTTGTTAAATTCAATCTGCGTTCCGTACGTCGCTTACTGTCGAGCGCAATTTGCGTGCGGCGACTTGATTCGTATCTGAACGCTGACGATTGCTGAACGTGCAACGGTGGGTTGCGGCGAGTCCTGCCATAAAAGTAACCGGGTCTGCACCTAAACATTTCCTCCACAACGCAGTGAATCACAATGCGCTGTGAAATAATATAGAGTGGGCCAACAATTTGCACTTTGCACGAAATCTCAATGCACGCACCACGCTTTTTGTATCGCTTCATTCTCCCCTTACACAGGAGGGGCGCGACTGCCAAGGGAAAGCTGATCGGGCGTTATGCAACCTTCGCCAGTTATCATCGCAACGCTTTGTGTTCGCAAGCTCGCGCGCGTGGGGCGCACTTTGCTTGCGTAAGGGGGAAGTACATTGGAATTGCATCGAAGAAGCGGGGTGAGCTGGCTGAGTGGCTCAGATGTTGGAGCCGCTGAGAGGGACATCAGCCAAAGCGGAGACGAATGGTAGCCTCGAGTCTTAATGCCCGCGTGTGTGTGTGTGTGCGTGCGTACATGCGTGTGTGTGCGTGCGCATGTGTGTGTGCGCGTGTGTGTGTGTGCGTGTGTGTGCGTGTGTATGTGCGTGTGTGAGGTGGGGGGAGTGATAGTGTGTAGTAATTGTGTAATCCTAATAATAAAACTACTTTTATATAGCGTCATTCATGCTAATTTCATCTCATAACGCTATACGTTTATTATATATCAGCATCATGTCCTTATATACAGCTTCTATCAAGCAAATGGTAGGTAGCGGTTATCGTGCTGCGCTATGAACCTGGCAGCCCGAGTCGATTCCCGCTCACGGCCGTCACCAGCGACGATTATCTGAAACGGTCCTGGGCCCTCCCCTAGGTCTACTCGGCCTCAAACGAGTACCTGGTGCGGCGCGTAGCTACATCGCCGTTCGGCCGGGCGTGGCACTGCCGCCCCCCCCCCCCCCCCCCCCCGTGCGCCTTCCGGGCCTCCATCGGTGGTGATGCTCGCCAACAGCACCACGTGTTGCCCCGTTGTCCTGTTGTGCGTGCGCGCGGCATTCAGACCTCGGCAAGGTGATGAGCGAGAAGGAGCCGGTGCAGCCGGAGCTGGGGGGCACGGCGCTCTACGGGGCCCTCTCGGCCACCCAGCAGCCGCCGCCGGCGCCCGTCCAGTTCCCCCTGGGTGATGGTGACCTCCGTGACCCCTCGCACTGACGGACCCCCCACCTACGGATACCTTCGCAAGCCTCGCCGCGTAAAACTGACGGAGCAGGCGGGGGGAGATGGCCTGACGGCACGCTCGCTATGCCGCTGCACGTGGCGGATGCCTTTTCCGCACGTGGCGTGTTGTTGTTGTTGTTGTTGTTGTCGCTGTTGCCGCTTGGGCACGGGGGCTGACAGCGCTGTGCATGATGCGTGTCCGAAGGTGGGCGGTGTAGGCAGGCACCAGGTAACCATCGATGCCGCCACTCCCCCACTCCCCCACTCCCTCATCCCCACCACGAACGGTTTAACGAATCGTCGTTCGACGTTTCGGAGGCCGTAATTCGATTCGAGATATTGTCACGGCTCCTGATGACGTCGGGGTCATCCACAAAGCTCGATCTCGTGCTCGTTCTTGGGCGGGTGACCACCATCAACTCGGGCTTTGCCGGTTGGCGCTGTCGGCATGAATCCGTGAGGTGGCGAGGGAGATGGTGGTGATGAGTTGTACGTGTGCTGGGTTCTTCTCTGGGTTCTCCGCTTTACACCCCCCCCTCCACTCCGCGAATCATCCGAGACGGACTTTGCCGGGCGAGTGAGTTGTTCCGCGTCGCGTTATCCGGCCTCGTTCTGTCCGCTGCCATTTATTTTAACCCAGGTGTAGACCACGCATTGAGCCCCACGACTTCGACAAGTCGTAAATCATTGATCGATGATGCAGGGCGTCTTGCTCAGGAGGGGATGCCAAGCAGGGTGCTCGAGGTTGGTTTGACGAGAGGGGCGCCACTGGGAGTTGGGTCCCGCCCCCCCCCCACCCCCCGTGCATGGCAGATCTTAATCGGTGGCGCGAACCCCCGCCTGGCATGCGCTAATTCACGATACTCGATATCCGGCACGCGTATGCGGTTAATTGTATTGCTGTCTTCGCAGTCACACACCATTTGTGTATATTTTATTCTCTGTAAACATGTGCCTGTAAAGAGTTGCCGATTGCCTTGTTCTGTTTACATTTTTTGTATGTGTGTTTGTTTGTTTGTGTATATATCACTTTATATATATATAAACAAGAGAATTTGTCACTGCTCGTGAAAGTATAACATGTGTTATGTAGATAGGATGTGTAACGAATAAAGGAATACTAATCGTAGCTATATATTGTTCTGGATGCAACCTTAACTAATGAGATGTGCAGTTTGCAAATAACCTGCCTTTGCGGTTACACAAATCCAATTCACGCCGTCGCTTTAAAAGAAAAAAATCGCCTTTTTGAATGGTGCATTTCATGAGCACTTTACAACCATCTCCCGGAGTGGAAATAAAAGAAATGGGATGATGCAATGAATGATGCGAATGTGGTTTCTCCTTTTTTTGTGTCGATGGGAGTGTATTGACAACAGGTCTCATCGACTGATGGTGCACGCATGCAAGCAGTGGTCACGAGGCAGCGTCTGAAACTTGCACAGATCTGACACTTTCAATTGATGTTGAAAGTATTATTGCACAATATTATGTAATATTGTGCTTTCGGATACAGTGAAACCAAACTATTCTTTTTATTTTACCAGGTAAGACCCAATGAGCTATTTAGTGCTTTTTTCAGAAGCAACCTGGCCACATGATGGCTCAACGAAGTGGCATCACGTGGACATTGATTGCAGCCAAATGCTCTCAACGCTTGATGTTGATTCTCAGTTGTGGAGGGGGAAGTCCCGGAAGACGTGGAGAAAAAAACCACGCAACCACGGGCAGCGAGAGAGACGTGCAAACTCCACTATATACGGCAGGAGTCGGGGTCGGGATCGAACCGCACGGCGTGACGTATCCATCCACGAGCTGGGTGTGTCTTCGTGGGCCTGAATCGGGGAAGCTCCCGGAAGAAACGTAGATCGAAGCATCGGACTTCGGGGACGAATTAAAACTCCAGCGGTGCAACGACGGGAGAGCGATACAACGGCACAGCCACGCAAAGGCCGTACCGACTCCGTGAAGAGTTGAGACGCGCTGGGCGCAGGCCCGAAAGCACGAACCTCTCCCCCCCCCCCCCCCCCATTCTCGTGGGAGCACAAATGTCGTGGCCACGTCACGGTCAAGTGCCCTCGTGGTTCCTGAGAGCTTGGGCGTGTGGCTAGCCGCCAGTAGCGTCCCTATGCCTCTCAAATGTCATGCCGCACCATCCCCCGCTGCTGCTGCTGTCAGCTGTTTAACCATGAAATGCCACTGGTTTTGTTTTGAATGCGTCATAGAAATCTGTTTATGTTTAAATCACCCGGCATCTATCTCCTCCGATCTCGTGAAGCTTGTCGGGATGGAGCATGCTCAGCTTTTGATGGGTGGCTACCATGCACAACAGGTTGTTATATAAAATAAAGGTTGTATATATTTATATATATACAACCTTTAACCGTCGGGATTTAACAACACACATTTACACGATGCAACCCAAAACACCTTGATATTTTTCGCGAAATCCCACGTGTTAAACAGGTTGTCATCGGCTGCGGGCCTACGTGGTAGAAAGTGGGGGGCGGTGCGCAACTATCCATTGTACAGTACTTCTGTGCTCCCACGTTGCCTACCTTCACCGACCCACACTGACCAGCGTGGTGAAGTATGGCAGTGGATTGCCAAATGGGTGCCCCGTTAAATGCACGCGTGCAAATGTTTTTTGAGAAGCGATTTTTATAATTCACTGAACACCCAGACTGGGATGCTGGCTAATTGGGAAAACTCGCATTTAATGTATTTTCTTCATCCTAATTCTGTTACGTTTTGTGAAAATCTATTTGCTGCACGGTCGTGTTGCCGTGTGGCAAGCGATGGCTGACCTTATCCTGGGCCATCCCTTCACCAACCAGCACTGACCACTTTCGATCAGCACGGTTGGCTACGTACGGTGCGAAAGAAGATTGACATACGGCCAGCACGATGAGCTACGGGCAAATAAGGAGGCCTTCATCCAGCAGTGGATTGACAACGGGTTCTAAAGTATGATCATGACTGTGATATTTACACGACGATAAGAGCGCTAAAATGTGTCTGTTGATAAGTGGAAAACTGACCATCTGTGATGTGTGTTAAAGGGCAACGGTTATAGGTCAAACCCGTCAACTGCCCTGCTCACGCCGCCACTGCTGCTGGAAGGCCCTCACACTGTTTTGGTCTACTCTTCCCACAGCGGTGGTGCTCAGCTCTCCGTGGCTACCGTGACTCACCACCACCCCCTCGCATGACCCAGCCATGGTTCTGAGAAGATCAATGTACGAATAGTGAACATCAATATTGTAACAAGCGAATTAAAAAAAACTTACGCGTGACGTCATTTGTTCACGCTCGCCTATTACTCTTGGAAACCGAATTGTTTATGATTAATGAGTTCAGAAAGGTTTTTGTTTAATATATTTTTATATCGTTATAGGTTACCATATGGATTTAAGCTGTATCGTAGTTGTTTTATGTTGGCAAATTCGCAAGTGATTATTCACCAACGACTCGAATGCACGAGATCATTTCACGCAATTATAAACCACCGCGCGCGTAGCCCCCTGGGAAATCGCCACGTTTCTCCAGGAATCCGCGTTCTCCCGGTTACGAACCACTGGCGTAACAGGATTTAGTTATACTGCTGGGTGGACACAGGCGTGGGGGGGGGGGGAGATGAAAGATTTAAGAAACGTGCCCATTGCTTTAACTGCCGCACCTGGAGATCGATCCCACGATACCTTTGCATTGTGAGTCCAGCGGTGCGGTGGCGAGATGTTAACTACCTCGCCAGGAGGTCATGGGTTTGATCCCGACTGACGCCTGTTGTATATTTGTAATTTGCATGTCTTCTCTTTCCGTGGTCGGGTGGATTTTTCTCCAGGTCCTCTGTTCCCCCCCCCCCACCTCCTCCACATTTAGAACCAACGTGCGTTTAAATTATTTGGCCGCTATAAATTGTTGAGTTACCATTTGTGGCCAGGTCGCTTCTGAAAAGGAAGGAAAAAAAGAGCGATATTGCTCAAGTGGACCTTGCCTGGTGAATAGTTTTAACACGGAGGAGCAACGTGCAATCAGATTCACGAGGCCACAATCATCCCACTGAATGAATGAATACAGAGCGCATATTTATTTGCGAGTGCAAAACAGAGTTTCACCCGTGAAGCCTGAGATGTGTATTGCGTTCGCGTTGACCTCCGCGGGAATGAAAGGAGCACTACGTTCCAATTCGACACCGTGGGAGTGTTATGAAACAAGCGAGGACAATTATACGAGTTCATAAATCGAGAAGTCTGCGCTCATTGTTTGACAATGAACGGGACATTAATCTCGTGTTTTTTGCTCTGTTACACACGTTTTCATATACGCTTCGATACGTGCATTCTCTATCCATGAGTCTTTCAATGCTGACGCCACTCTTCATGGGGGCTCTTTGACCATACTTGACCACGCTGGTCAATGCGGCTGCAATCGAACCCACGTTGTCGGGTTCATGGCTCGGTGTGCCACTACAACTTGTTACGATAAAATCAGCCTTTCTCCATGTGTTATTGCAGGTCTTTCTGTTTTACTTATTTAGTAAGGAGCATTTTAATTGACAGCGTGATTTTGCAAATGTGTGCACAGACGATGTTTCTAGAATTGATGTACTTTGCAACTCATTGGCCTCTTACCTGGTGCTCAGTGAGCGGGGCTGGTATCGTCAGTGTCAGTGGTGTTACCACTGGCGATGTCGATAACGGCGATTGGTGGGGATGGCGGTGGTGGCGATAACCGTGGAAGTGGCGGCGGTGCAAATGATGATGATCGTAGTGGTGGTAATAGTAGTGGTGTAGATAACGATGATGGTATTAGTAGAGATAGGTGGTGATGATTTCTGATGATGATGATCGTAGTGGTGGTAATAGTAGTGATAATAGTAGTGGTAATAGTAGTGGTGTAGATAACGATGATGGTATTAGTAGAGGTAGGTGATTGTTCTGATGATGATGATGATCGTAGTGGTGGTAATAGTAGTGGTGTAGATAACGATGATGGTATTAGCAGCGGTAGGTGGTGATGATTGTTCTGATGATGATCGTGGTGGTGGTAATAGTAGTGGTGTAGATGACGATGATGGTATTAGTAGAGGTAGGTGGTGATCATTGTTCTGATGATGATGATCGTAGTGGTGGTTGCTACAGGGTGGCGCATGAAACCACACCCCGCAGGTCAATGCCCACGTGGACCTACCGCGAATTCGCCCCGAATGAGCGGAACGTGCTCTGACCGGTTCCGCTGCTCGCTCGACACGAACGCCGAGTTGCTGATGCTAAAGCACAGCCGCTCCTGAAATGCTGGGGGGGAGGGTGTGACTTTTTTTTACAAGGTGTCCCCAAAGAGCAGAGTCAAGCCACGCCTACGGGCGTTGACAAAGCGCACCCAGAATAGGACGTGAAGGTCCAATGCAACGAGCCACTGGGACAAGAGAAGTCACGCCCAACTTACGCCTCTCCACTCCGGAATGAAATAAAGAAAACTCCCAATACATTCGACGATCACACTGTGGCCCTTAAAAAAACATCATAGGCAACGTTTTGGACAATGGCTCTTCTTCATAGCACATACATCGAGGGACCAGAGAGAGTGATAATAGACGAGTGGTCTTGATTGGGGGGGGGGGGGGGCTGAACCAAATGATTGAGCAACACTAATGTGGTGGGCCATTGGCAATATTATTTATTAGTTTTCACCAGCAACATTTGTTTTAGGCAAGTTCTGGTTCGTTTAGCCCAACTTATCGGCAGAGCCAGGCTTGTTTCACAACATCAACAATAAATGCCGATTCTATCTTATTCTTGCCTTTGGCAATACGTTCAGGCGCTAAATTCCAATGTAGAGGCGATCTGCTAGCCAGGCGGAGAGGGCCTCATGAGAGCCCAGCTGAGTTACCCGATGCTATCTCGAGAGCAGGGCCGGATTCACCCTAAGGCCCTCATATTTTCGAGGCCCCTCCTTTAGGGCCCTCAATTTCACGTCGAAGTCACAGCTGAGTGACCGGAAGGCGCGGGACGTCGGGAATGGTTCTTTACGTCTTTGGGTTACGATGACTTTGCCACAGCGAAAGCTCAGGATTTTTTTTAATTGTTTGAAGGTGTGAGTGTACCGAGTGATTTATGTTCGATGACTGAAATGTACCTTTCCCCGAATACATTTAGTACAATTTTACATGGATTGAAAACTACTTTTTTCAGTGCTGCATTTCATTTTGCGTTTAATTTATGCCTCGCACCTCCGCTTAGCACGGGCTGGCTACGCACAGCGCGAAATAAGTTCACCATGGGTAAATAAATACATTAAATTTCAATTTAAAGCTTTCGTGACTGCAGGGATTCATCTTAAAGTCACGTAGAAGGGAAATAATTATATTATTATATTTCATTATATTATTATATTATATTATTATGTTTTATTTTTATTCTTTTATTATTTCCCTTTTACGTGACTTTACCGAAAGAACCAAGAAAATAAATACATGTTTGATGACTTAACACGTCTTTTTGCAATATGTAATACACACATACTTGAGCCCTTCCCTCCTTATTAGCCTCAAGGCCTCCCTCTTAAACCCCAATCCGGCACAGTTCGAGAGCACCGACGAATGGCGACATGACTTCACGAAATTTTCTCGCCCATTGAAAAAATTAACTCTGCTCCCGTTTCTCAAATCTCTCAAGGAGGATTTGTTCGGCTCTACGAGCGCTGGGGCAGTGGGGGGCACTGGGAGACGTGCCACGACTTGTCTGGAGTCGGACACTCAACGGCGCAGACATTCACGAGCGGAGGACTTTGCGCCGCTGATAGGATTATGTTTTTTTTTCACAGCGCAACGCCCTAAGGGATATCAACGGGCACCTACCTTGCCATGCCGCAGCTTCCCGTACGCCAAAGATGTTGTATGTACGTATGTAGAACTTCTTTCGCACCGTACGTTGCCAACCGTGCTAATCGGAGGTGTGGGATGGGGCGAGAGGTAAGGACACGACACTTCATCACAAAAAGGAGTTCTAAAAGACACGAGTTTACAATCGAGATGCTTTGAACGTGCTATAGCTCCAGCGGCTTCCTAGTATCGGGAGGAGAGAGCGTTCCAGACGGCCGCATCTGAAAAAAGCACGCGATGTGGGCGATATCGTTGACAGCAGCGGCATGCGCAGTTGTCCGTGCACAGCAGCGTTTTGTTGAGATCCGCCGCTGGACGAGGGCCCTCCCCGCGCCTTAAGAGCCGTGCGATACATTTGGCCATGCTTCTCACCACGCCGGCCAGTGCAGAACAATCATCGTTAGATTGGATTTTGCGGCACTGCCGCCTACTGCCCACAACGTAGCCCCGAAGCGCCTGGATGATGAATGATGGCCACTCGTGCAAGCCGTAATCGAAATATGAAATCAGTTTTTTCGTCCGATTTGCTCCATTTTCCAGGTAAATTTTAGTTTTAAAGAGGACGACGCTCACGTCGCGAGAGAACGCCCGAAGCCACGGGAACTCGTAAATACAAGACGAAGATCCACTCGATGACCTTGATAACCAGACTGTTGAGGCGAGTGGCTGTTAGCGAGCAACCTTTTAAGGCCCGCGCGGCACACTAGGTAGGTGAGTGGGTTAGCCAGTAGCACGCCCGGCTTGCTTTGTCTCCTCAATGCTGACGTTTCCATACCGCACTGGGAAATGTACTGACTTAACGCAGAATCGACCTAGCGAAGCCCTTGACCGGTTCGGATGTTGGTCATGAGCGTGAATCGAACGCGGTTAGCCGGGATCGTAGCGCAATGCGCTAACCACTGCTAGTACAAGTAAATACACACACACGCACGTTCAAATGCTGCCATTGCAATCCAATCGGTCAATTTTATTATTAAATAAGTACTTGTTAAAATTATTGTGCAAACTGTGATAAAAACAGCAAAGCGTTAAAGTGTAGAAACATTCACTATATAGACGCTGGCGGACGTACACCACCTGTGTTTGTATTGATCAAGTTTTCGTCGCTTTATCAGTTAAAAAAATAACTAAGACACTAAGAATAGTTAAACTTTATCAAATGTACATTTTTGACGCGCTCGATACACAAACGCACACACACGCGCACGTGTCTGTTTACAGGCGACATTAAATTCACATCATAATCGGCATCGTAAATGAACTGAATCTGACACGAGAATTCGGCCAAAGGGTGATCGGGACCGCAATGCCGAGTTGCACTTTTGGAGAGTTTCAGTTTTAGTACTGGCCAGTCGCTGGGTGCGACCGGCGTAATTAATCCGAATACTCGAACTCCACGCGTCATCGCAGAAACACCGTCATGCGTGGCGATTGTAAATTCACCCTCGAAGCAATGCAGCAAGGCTGCAGCGTGACCGAGTGTAGTTATGGCGTGGCATCTACACGCCGTCTTACCCCACGCGCTTTGATTTCGCGGACGGCGTTTGAGGCTTTTCTGAACAGTCCCCTAAGGACTATTCGTCGAAGCTCAGAAAAAAACTGTCCAAGAATTAATTATCTCGGCACGTGCCGCTGTACTAACTGCGCTGTTCATGTCACTTGCTATTTAACTGTTTTTTATATTTTAACCAGGTAAGGCCCACTGAGCTGTGTAGCTCTATTTTCAGAAGCGACCTGGCCACAAATGATAGCTCTACGAAGTGGCTTATCGCGTGGAATCGTACAGCAGCAGCCAAATCCTCTCAACGCACGTTTCGACATGTGGGGGGGGGGGGGGGGGGACCGGAGGACAGGGAGAAAATACAAACTCCAATTACACAGCAGGGTCGGTATCGAACCCACGACCTCCTGTATACCAGGCGAAGGTAGTTAAGATCTCGCCACTGTGGCGCCCTTTGCGATCGTGGAGGCCGACCAGACCAGCTTAGCATCACAGACTCTAGCGTGTTAAATAAACCCTCACACGTGTAATGACAGTCGAGTCTACACGCGGTGTGAGTGGACTAGTGGCCACGGCAGGTAATGACAGGGGAGTCAGCCTGCAGTGCGAAAGGACTAGTGGCCACGGGAGGTAATGACAGGGGAGTCAGTTGTGAGTGCGAAGGGACTGGTGACCACGGGAGGTAATGACAGGGGAGTCAGCTGTGAGTGCGAAGGGACTGGTGGCCACGGGAGGTAATGACAGGGGAGTCAGCTGTGAGTGCGAAGGGACTGGTGGCTACGGGAATGTTCGAGAAGGGAGCGTGGACAGGCGACGGAAGAGGACGGTGGAGTCTGCCGGTGGAGCGAGCGTCCAGAGGCAGCAAGAAGGTTCGAGAAGGGAGGCGTGGCCTCGTAGTGATATAAAAGTAAGATGCACGGGAGACTCGGGGCTGTTGCAGTGGGGGTCTCCGCCTGATGTCAAGCGAGCGTGTCTTCAATAAAGTGCCATCTCGAGAGGAGTGTGTCAAGTGGTATATACGATCGCCGAAATCGGCGAGCCAAACAATTCACTTCAACTTGGGGAGCGCGACGCTAAAAAGCCATCGAAAACGGCCTCACCGGCTGCGAGGACGTCTACGCGATCGTTTCCAAAAAAATCGCACAGGGCATCGCAACCGCGGAGGAGCGTTTTGTGTTTCCCTTGTGGTGCGTGTAACGCGAACAAACGAAACCAATTGCCTTTTGAAAACAAAAATTGCATGTAAATAACAGGAATAAAAGCCCACGCAACTTTCCATCGAGTCCCCCCGTCTCTATTATTCTCATTGTAACGCCTGACCGGTCCTCTTCCAGGTCGCCGCTTGATGCGAGAGTCTTGAGAGTGAATATGAGACCTCCCCCCACTAACCTCTTCCCCTTCTCTCTCCACTCGCCCCAAATAGCCCGCCTACAGACGCACACAGCCCACTTGACGCTGTCGGCTCGCCACTTGAGCAGCGAAGCGGTTGAGAAAACTTTGCCGCCGTACGGCCGAGGCGGCCGCCTTGACGGGTTCGCGAATTTGTTGCTTTAGAATTTCCCTCCGGTGTTTGGCCAAAGGCTGACTTTGCTGCTGTTGCTGTTGCTGCTGGCCACGTTGCAAAATTGAAGTTTTTCCATGGAATCGTGCGCGTGGAAATGTTGACTTAAAGCTTTCGCGACCGCAGGAATTCATATTCTTTGGGTTTTTCGGTAAAGTCAAATAGATGGTTCAAAGAAAATAAGAAAAAATAACAAAAAACTACTTTGAACCATCTACGTGACTTTACCGAAAGACCCAAAGAATATCGGCGCGTGGGTTTTCTTTTTGCTTCTTCAAATTAGTCTTTTTTTGCAAAACGGACGCGTCGAGTTATTTATTTTCCGTCCGTGGTTTCACGTGAAGCCACTAACCCCACGCATCTGTCGGTTTCAGGGCCGAGTGGCTTCTGGTGAATAATGGATGGATTGGGCCCGGATGAATGATCGGTCGTGGCCCCTGCCATGAGCAAGGCGTTCAAGCCGCTATTTATTTATTTACTGCCACCATTTATTTATGCGTTCGGTGCCGCGTACGGGCCGTCATCCGGCGGTGAATGGAGGGCGCTCACTTTACAGCGCTGTCACACGCATTGCGAGAAACTTCCCGTTGTCCGTCGACGAGTCGTTCCGTCAGTCACGGCACTTGGAGTAATATCTGTCGTAGATTTTAATTCAGTAGCTCTCATCGTGCGGAGTTGAGTCGCGGCGCGAACCAGGAACCGGTGGTAGTGCGTACGATGCTATGTGCAACCTATGACCTTTTGACCCGAGCCAAACAAAAACCGTGACTTAGGATTGTAGTTCAGAAAAAATATTTGGGCTCCGTTATTTTTGTCATACTATAGGCCTAAGGCGCAATCAGATCACTAACAAGCACTCTGATATAAATGCGTGATATATTTTTGTTTGCAAAAACTAAACAATAATAATGCAACTCATCACGTATGATATTATACATCCAACATCCTATACACTGGGCCACTACAAACTAAAATGCAGTGTTCCAGCTTTGTTTAAAGGCATCGCATTGGCAGCCTTCTTCACAGTGAACATGATTACTCATCCTTGTTGCTGCCTTACTTGCCATGAGTTCTCATCAAAGACAAAGATCCCCCATATAGCCTTCACAGACTAGTGGGTCAAGTGCTGTTAGCGAGCACCTATTAAGTCTGGCAAGGCACACGAGGGGGTGGGTGTCCAATACCGCGCCTGGCCGCCTTTATCTTCCCAGTGGCGATGTTTAATACACACCACACCAGGTACTCATTTGAGGCAGAGTCGACCTAGGGGATGTCCAAGTCCGGTTCAGATAATCGTCGAGTTCGAAGCGAAGCACGCGAACCGCTACACTACCTTGGTTGAGTTCTCACCAAACACACACGACACATACTACACACACACGCTACACACACACGACACACACACACGCCACACACGCGACACACACCACACACACACACTACACACACTCACACACGCTACACACACACACGACACATACTACACACACACGCTACATACACACTACACACACTCACTACACACACTCACTACACACACGCGACACACACACGCTACACACACACACACACGCTATACACACACACGCTACACACGACACACACACACGCTACATACACACGCTACACACGACACACACACACGCTACACACACACACGACACACACTCACGCGACACACACACACGCGACACACACACGCGACACACACACGCTACACATTCTACATCAGCAGGATCCTCCTCAATGCACCGAGTGCCATTTAAATGTTGCGCTTGCGTGTGGTTCCCTGCGCTTGGCCAAACACAACTTGTGAATCAGGCATTGGACTGGGTAGGATCCCACGAAACGCCCGACTAAGACCGCACAGGCTGCGTAAGTGCGCATGTTGAACTTCTTTCGCACCGTACGTAGCCAACGGTGCTCATTGGAGGTGCACGTGCATGTCTACCACAGCCCAATAATCGGGACATGCTGTGAGCACCCTTTCACGTGCACACGAAGTGGACACTTTATATATATGCCGAACGTATTTCGCAACCATAAGTAGCAGATGCTTCACCGTACGTAGATTGAACTACTTTTTGTGTTTAGTCTGATTAGCACGTGGTCGTGTTGCCACGTGGCAAGCGATGTCTGATCTTGTCCTGGGCCCTCCACCAACCAGCACTGACCACCTCCGATCAGCGCGGTTGGCTACGTACGGTGCGAAAGAAGTTCAACATATATACAGTACACACATAGGTAATAAAAAGGCACGTGTGAAATTATTGTTTGTATACAATTCTTCGTCGCAAGAATGGATGGTGGCGAATGGTGCATGAACAACAACAACAATGGAAGCGTGGCAGCCGAGGATTGGAACGCGTCCGAGGGTACGTCCACCGTGGAGAGATGGAGCGCGCCGGTGCATTGCTACGTCGCAGTGCTCGTCAGAGACGGCGTGGGGGAGGCCTTCATCCCAGCAGTGGATTTATCGTGGCCGACGAGTGTGGAGGGGAAACGAGATGGAGTGGCAGCCGTGGTGCTGTCTCCCCATGTAATGCGCTGGCCACGTGGCCCTCCTGGACACGTGTGAAAAAAGCTTTATAGCTCATCGGATTCCTCCAGTATGAATAAATATTATGATTCCGGGTGGATTTTTGCGTAGGGCGGCACGTGCTTGGGGCTGGTTTTAGCTCCTCGATTAAAAAATCGGATCGATGGACAAACAAACGCCCTCATATAATGCAGTGTGGTCATTCATTGATTGGAAAATATTGAAATTCAGCCATCTGCCAACCAATCGCTCGTTTCGACGAGTTTTCCCACTGTCCGTATGGGTTCATGTCCCTATGAAAAAAAAATCCTACAATTTGGAAGTTGTAATTCTGGCGAATCACTTCGCCCCTGCGCTGCTTTCGGGCTTCTTGCGCCGTGATCGAAACGACAAACGTCCGTCGCCAAACTCGACAATTGTGACTCAACAATGCTCTCAGTTGCCCTCCGACGAAGAGTCTGGACAGACGCCCGTAGCAGTCTCTGCCTCCTCCCGAGACTCCTCCGGCGCCGTGTCCACGGGGAGACCCGGCGTGGCCGTCTCCGGCACGTGGCCCTCTCGCGCCTCGACCCCGTCGGCCGCGTCTCCGCGAGCGGCCCCGTCTCCCACGCACATCAACGAAGACGAATCCGCCGCCGCTCCTGCCAGGCTCTCCGCGTCGGCCGGGGGGTCCGCCTCGCTCGACTCCGCGTTCCCTCCGCTCTGCGCGAGCCCTGCCCGCGGAGTCCCGTCGCCCGCCACGAACCCCGGCAGCGGCGGGTCGTCCGACAAACTTCGGGAGCGACCCACGGGGAGCGGACAGCCCCGGTCGGGAACGTCGCAGAGGTCCTCCGCCGACGTGGGCTGCGCGACGTCGCGTGTCGCCGCGTCCGAGCGAAGGTTCGCGTCGTCGTCGTCGTCCCCGGCGGACGAGCGACCGTCGGCACCCGCGGAGGAGCGAGGCTCGGCGCCTGCGGGGTCAACGAGTCCCGACGAGGGCAGCGGCGGCGGCAGCGGCCGCAGTGGCGGCGATCCGTCCGTCTCGGAATCGGCCGCGCAAACGTCCGCCAGGGTCTCGCCCGGGCCGGGTCGTCGTTGTTGTTGTTCTTGTTGTGTCACTTTGGACTCGGTCGATTCGAGGTCGAGGTCCTCTTCGCGCGGGCGTTCCGTCAACAGATCTGCGGGCGTGCGCATTGCAAGAGACGCGGCGTCAGTGAGGTCACATCGATGTTTTAGGGATGAGGTGGTGTAGTGTTTAGCACGCTGCGCTGCGAAAACGGTGGCCCAAGTTCGATTCCCGCTCACGGCGAACGCCAGTGACGATTATCTAAATCGATCCTGGGCCTCCCCTAGGTTGACTCAGCCTCAAATTAGTACCTGGTATGGTGTGCAAACATCGGCACTGGGGAGACAAAGGCGGTCGGGCGTGGTGTCCCGTTTCAGCCTATAGGTGCTCGCTAACAGCACTTTCCCCGCCAGCCTGTTAAGGCTATAGGGGGGATCTTTGTCTTTGCTATCTATATATATTGAAATACGTGTGCCGACGTGATACGCGTGCACGTCAGATTTCGGGGTGCTAAGCGGGGTTGAGCCCGGAGAGTGGTTGGATGGGCCACCGCCGTGTGTCAAGCAAGCGCTATGCACTTGTGACCTTGTGGGCAGAAGAGAGGTCAGTGTAGACCAGGGGTGGGGGACGTCCGGCCCGCGGGCCGTATGAGGCCCGAGAAATCATTTGGTGTGGCCCTGCCAAGGCAACCACAGGCAGGACTCGAAATTCAATAAATCTAGGAGCACACCTGGAAAAGCAGTTGCGAGTAGCAACATCGATACCAGCTAACATCACACGCCTCACCAAAGAGAAGCAGTTCCAGCCATCGCATTAGGGGTGAGTTAATTAAATGTTTGACCAAATATAACAGGCACATTTTTAAGTTGATAATTGTGTATGGCCCGCAAACGATGTTATAAATATCCAAATGGCCCTTGGCAGAAAAAAGGTTCCCCGCCCCTAGCGTAGACAAATGGATTGTTCGTCCACAAAACATTGTGGGTTAGATCGCGTAAATATATAAATGTGTCGTTAAAACCCGCCACCACCCGACACAGCCAACTAGTAAGGGTTGTCACGTAAACAGAACGTGGCCAATTCGTCACTAGTACAGCAACACCGGTTCTATGTTGGAGAGCCAAGCCACAACATTTACAATCCGAGTACGACGTTTCGCCAGTAATTACAACCAACTTCATCAGGCGACAGCCAGATTTGTGGAGAAGTCCACCTGTTTCGTTCCTTATATAGAGGCGTAGATGTGGTGACCACGCTTCTGCGCTCTGGCGCAAAGTGGGGGGGGGGGATTAATGAGTCAACGCACATGATGCATGTGCATTATGCGAGCCCTTTGATCTTGTCCTTCCTGTCCATTGTGTGTACTAGAATCGCCGTACCAACGGTAATGCCTATTGAAGTATGGTGGCCTGTATAGGCATGCATTAAAACAATGTTTTATTTGATGATTCGCTTCCATGCAGCACTAAGTCGGTAGCTATCCGAACGGTTAAAATATTTTTTTATATCTTTCAACTTCGATAGATTCTCTAATTATTCTCGGCCAGTAGTAACACACACAGCACGCGCACGCAGTACACACGCAGTACACACACAGTACACACACAGTACACACAGAGTACGCACACAGTACACACACAGCACGCACACAGTGCACACACACAGTGTACACACACAGTACACACACACAGTACACACACACAGTACACACACACAGTACACACACAGCACACACTGTTGTCCCACGTCCGACCACGTAGCCGCGTGCAGAGTGAACTCAGCTCGCACCGTGTGCCGCATGTTGGGTACAAACAGTTCAGCCGCAGCACGCACAGCGCGACAGCCGCACAAACCGAACCCGCACGGAACGAGGGCCACCTTGTAGACTGGGCAGGGGTGTGTGTTGGGGGGGGGGGGGGAGATTCAAGCAACTCTCACCCACTGCCGCGCTGGGAGATCGAACCGGCGATCATCTGGATTTGCACGCCCGGTGCGGTGCGAACCACAACGCTCATGCAGCGCCTCCCTGCAATTGTGCCGCGTGTTTGGGACGGTGGTGGTGGTGGTGGTGCCGGTGGCGGGGTGGATTTAATTCGTTGCTCCCAGATGCTCGGCACAACAACGCTGGGCCACCGCTCGCTGTAAGTTAGTGGAGGGCGCAGGAAAGAGATGGGGGGTGGGGGAGTTGGTGGTGCTGGGGGGGGGGCGAGGGGCAGCACGCGTGGAAGTGGATGAAGCGATTAATGCAATCGTGGAGAGGCTCTTAATGCGACCCCCCCCCCTCTCTCTCTACCGCGACTGAGAGAACACAGTGGGGGGGTGGGGGGGGGGGTTCTGGTCGAGCCGCCGCTCTTTGTGCCAAGTCAGCGCCACCCCCCCACCACCCATTCGCTCGAGTTACGCAGAGCGCGGCGAGCGAGAAGCCAGAATGTGTCTGATCGTGGGGGGTGCAGTGGGCTGGGGGCGGTCAGCAATGAGCATCCCATGGCGACTGGGGGCACTGCGCAGGCAGATCGCCGTCTCCCACGCGGGGAGCGGTGGTGTAGCGGTTAGCGCTACGCTGCGCTACCAACCTGGAGACCCGGGTTCGATTCTCGCTCACGGCCAACACCCGGTGACGATTTTCTGAACCGGTCCTGGGACTCCCCTAGGTTGACTCAGCCTCAAATGAGTATCCTGGTGCGGTGTGTAAACATCGCCACTGGGGAGACAAAGGCGGTCGGGCGTGGTGCTGGCCACCCACCCCCTTGTGTGCCGTGTCGGCCTTCATAGGTGCTCGCTAACAGCACTTGCTTCAAAAGTCTGTTTAGGTTAAAGTCATCTGGTGTGTGTCACTGATGACTGCCCCAATACAACCACGCGTGTTCTGATGGAACAAGCAGGCTCCTCCACTCAGCTACCCCAGTACAACACGCCTGTTCTGATGGAACAAGCGGGCTTCTCCACTCAGCTACCCCAGTACAACCACGCCTGTTCTGATGGAACAAGCAGGCTACTCCACTCAGCTACCCCAGTACAGCACGCGTGTTTTGATGGAACAAGCATGCTACTCCACTCAGCTACCCCAGTACAGCACGCGTGTTCTGATGGGACAAGCAGGCTACTCCACTCAGCTACCCCAGTACAGCACGCGTGTTCTGATGGGACAAGCAGGCTACTCCACTCAGCTACCCCAGTACAGCACGCGTGTTCTGATGGAACAAGCAGGCTACTCCACTCAGCTACCCCAGTACAGCACGCGTGTTTTGATGGAACAAGCATGCTACTCCACTCAGCTACCCCAGTACAGCACGCGTGTTCTGATGGAACAAGCAGGCTACTCCACTCAGCTACCCCAGTACAGCACGCGTGTTTTGATGGAACAAGCATGCTACTCCACTCAGCTACCCCAGTACAGCACGCGTGTTTTGATGGAACAAGCAGGCTACTCCACTCAGCTACCCCAGTACAGCACGCGTGTTTTGATGGAACAAGCAGGCTACTCCACTCAGCTACCCCAGTACAGCACGCGTGTTCTGATGGAACAAGCAGGCTACTCCACTCAGCTACCCCAGTACAGCACGCGTGTTTTGATGGAACAAGCATGCTACTCCACTCAGCTACCCCAGTACAGCACGCGTGTTTTGATGGAACAAGCATGCTACTCCACTCAGCTACCCCAGTACAGCACGCGTGTTCTGATGGAACAAGCAGGCTACTCCACTCAGCTACCCCAGTACAGCACGCGTGTTTTGATGGAACAAGCAGGCTACTCCACTCAGCTACCCCAGTACAGCACGCGTGTTTTGATGGAACAAGCATGCTACTCCACTCAGCTACCCCAGTACAGCACGCGTGTTCTGATGGAACAAGCAGGCTACTCCACTCAGCTACCCCAGTACAGCACGCGTGGTGTGGTGGAACAAGCAGGCTACTCCACTCAGCTACTACCCCGGATGCTGCCGTGGAATGGCTCGCAACATTAAATATGCAATTGTAGCCGATTGTTTTCAAACGGCATGTGGTGGCAGTGTTGAGTGTCAGTCACGTTTTCCCTGGTTTTCTCCAACACGAGGCCAAATATCCATTGTTTGTACGTACATTTGAACTTCTTTCGCACCGTACGTAGCCAGCCGTGCTAATCGGAGGTGCTATTCGACAAATACCCCAACGTCGAACTATCCTGACAAAGTGAGCCTTTCCTGCATTAAATAAAATAACATTTTTTAAATGAAATATCAACGATTAACACAAATGTTATCTTAATCGACAGGAATTTGATCACGTACGTTAACGGGCACTCCAAACGGGATACGTCGGCACTGTAATAGACTCTGCAACGCCAACGCTACAACCATAATACAGGTTTTTGGGGGGAGGGGGGGTTAGATCGGGTTAGATCACGTAAAACGCGAAGGTCCCCAGGTGTGAATATCAAGCAACACGACGATAACCCAAATCGGCCGCATCATTCACACACACAAACACACAACACGCTCTTATCTCGCTCGAGTACATATCCAGGAAGCTGAACTTTGGCACCGAAACCTGTTTTTTAGGGGGGGTTAGATCGGGTTTGATCGCGTAAAACCCCGATCTAACCCAAAACAACCTGTATTATGCATTGGTATTGGTCGCGAAAGCCGACGTGTAAACCCGACCGCTACAAGCTTTTGTAGACGCAGAGAGCGATGCAGAGAGCACTCTACAAACCCTCGCCTCTGCGTGTCAGGCAAAGGGCGGAGTGAAAGTCCCCGAGTGGGAATCTCAAGCGAGGCTTACAAACACGACGATAACCCAAATCGCCCCCATCGTTCATGCACGCACACTCGCTCGCTCGCTCGAGTGCATATCTAGGAAGCTGAACTTTGACACCGAAAAATGTATGGATGTATAGTAGTAGGTTTATATCCTTTAAACTGGTACAAAACTGACACGTTTATACAAGGCATCATGTTTGCAATAACTACAACACAAGTAGTCAAAATGCAAACAAAAAGAAACAACTCTGATAATGATAATAATATGCACTGTCCTTGAAGTTGATTGGTCCACACCCGAGACAGCTTTCCTTAGAGCCGAGTCTCCATTGGTGTTGGACCAGATGACACCAAAAGGTGTAGTTATTACAAACATGATGCCTTGTATAAAGGTGTCAGTTTTGTACCAGTGTAAAGGGTAAAAACCTACTACTATATTTTTTGCCACTGGTAAAGGAGGTCTCATAGTGTATGGATGTATGTTGAACATCATTCGAACCGCACGTAGCCAACCGTGCTAACCGGGAGGGAACGAGCACGGCCAAGTCTATGCCTGTAAAAGTATGAAACGTTCCAAAGCAATGTCCCGATTTGGGACAACCACTGCCTCTCTCCACCAGGGTGTTGCTGGAGCTCCACCGCGTCCAGAGGAGGTGAGACACGCCAGTCAACTTTGCGAGCAGCAGGCGACAGAGAAGAAATCCGTGTGATCCTTGAACGTGAATTCGGCTCTTGCGATGTCGCCTCTGAGCTGCCCGAACCCGAATTCTAGCGCTGAACTTCCTGCGGAACTGTCCGGACAGATATTCACATCCATCTCGACTTAGTTTGTCCTCATGCTTGTCATGAATCTGTTTGCAAGACAGTCGAAATCCACGGCACAATATAGGATTATTATGGATTGGTGTATCTGGTGCTTTAGTCGTAGTGCCTTACACCGAAAATCCGTACTACGACGAGCCACTCTAGCATCGTTCTGGAATTTTACGAGTGAAAAATTAACCTCTGCCCAACTCCAGCCCAAACCCTAAACTCTATTCCCTAAACGAAACAGACCCCCCCCCCCCCCCCTCACTTGAACGATCACACAATATCGTAGCTGGGACATAAATGGGCAGCATCGCAATTTCAGAATGCAGCGTGACAATGATTATGACGATCAACGCTGAGATTATGAACGAACCCAAGTTTCAAAAATCAGAACCGAAAATCATTCTGATTGGAAAAAAAAATCTTCATTCAGTAGGAAAGTTGCAATTTGGCCTCTGCTGCCTCCAGTATTCTCGAACTACCATCCATGCTGTCCACTCCCTGCCCACGTTCAAGTCCGGGCTAGAACAGTTTCCTCTTTTCCAATGCCTACGGACTCTTTCTCTTTATAGAACACATTTGCAAAACATAACGCAACACGTCAGCCTTGAAAAAAAAATAGGCGACGTTTTGGGCTAAGAGCCTTTGTCACAGCACATAAAAGAGGTCGGAGAGGTAGTGTGAGTAAAATATGCTTCATTTTCCAATAATGTAATGCCTACATCCAAATCCGAAGTGTATTCCAATATATATGTTAACGTTTAATGTTGGCATCTGTACAGCCAATGCTTAAGGCTATGCAAAAATCATTCCGAACAATTACGCCTGGAGGTTAATCGAGTTCAACTCATCGGGCGGCTCTCAGGCTAAAGTGCCACATGGCTGAACGTCAATCTCGTGCTAAACGCGTACAATCAGGATTACCTGTCACCAGATAATTCGCCTGGCATGGAGTGCGACGCTAAAGTCGATCAAAACAATTTCAAGCGAATTTTTTTTTAACGGATACCCAAAATTAATTTGTTTACACTATGATGGGGACCGTTTTCTGTCTACGTTCGTACGCAGTTTAACATCGGTACGCAGAGAACACGCAAACATACAGACGTCGGCGTCAAGATCGAACCCGCGACCTCCTGTATACCAGGCGAGGTAGTTAACACCCCCTAGCCACCTTGATGATGATGATGATGAGAGAAAGACAGGCAAACTCAAAATATACAGCAGGCGTCAGGATCGGGATCGAACCCGCGACCTCATGTATACCAGGCGAGGTAGTTAACATCACCTAGCCACCGTGATGATGATGATGATGAGATGAGAGAGACACGCAAACTCCAAATACACAGCAGGCGTCATCAGGATCGGGATCGAACCCGCGACCTCCTGCATACCAGGCGAGGTAGTTAACATCTCCTAGCCACGGCACCGAGCAGAGTGGCGGGGCATGGCAAAAACAACCGCACATCCGCGCGACACGGCGTTGGCAGTTGGCCTTCATCCGGCAGTAGATTTGAGAAAGCGGCTTGCACTGGACGCCTTACCCCGTGATGGGAGCCACGCTCTGAGAGCCGACGGAGCGGCTCTGGGTCTCCCGTTGCTGTGATGCACGCGTGTGCTGTGAGAACAGCCCATGGCGTCTGGCGTGGCGGCGCAGAACGAGGAGGAGCGCTAACCAGCCTGCTCCTGGCGCTCGGGAAGTGGCGCGCAAGGAGGAAGAACGGAGCCCCGGGTCAGCTTTTTATTTTAAAACGGAGCCACCAGCCAACGCTATTGGATACGTGGGTGGGGAGGAATGGTGGTATTTGGTGTGTGTGTGTGTTATGTGGGTGTGTATGTGATGTGTGTGTGTATGAGATGTGTGTGTGTGTATGAGATGTGTGTGTGTGCTGGGGTTGGGTGGGAGTGAGAGATGAAAGCAGCTTTACAATTTCTCTCCACCCGTCTATGCCCCGTTACCTCCCTCCAACCCTCCCACACTCCATCGCTCTCGCTCCCTCCCACACTCCCTCTATCCCTCCCACACTCGAAGCCACACCAAGCGCCCCAACCTTCCCAACACAGCCTCGCCGTAACAAGTACATACACTCCTCTGGGAGAATAATTGATACCCTTTCGCTAGTGAAGGCCTCGCAGCCACGCCGTGTCGGTCACGCGGTGTTCGCCTGACCATACTTCGCCACACTGGGTTAGTGTGGATCGGTGAAAGGAGTGGCGAGTGGTAGGGGGGGGTGAGTGGGCATTACCGGTTCAGCTGTCACTCACCCACTGGTTTTAGCCGTGGCCAGGAATCGAACTCGGGTCATCGGCTTCGTAGTGCAGCGCTCGAATGCGACGTCCACTCAGCAGCCTCTGAGCCAGCGGGCCCACTCCTCCTCCTCCTCCACCATCCACGCGGTTCATGAAGCTCCAGACCGAACGCGTGACACGCGCATGACCGCCACGCCGGTGGTTCCAGTTTCTTTATGGGGCCAATAAGGGCGAATCGTGCGATAACCGCGTGAAATAAGCGGAATGTCAACATCGTCTCACCGTTATTCAGCCACGCAAAATCAATCGGGATTACGTTAGAATTGCACCGATACCCGCACAGGGCCATGGCCTTAACAGCGGAGATGGCTTCTTCATCTTGTGACCCGAGCTGGCATCTATTAGTAACATTACCGAGGCCAGGTGGCACGTGTGAGAGAGAGAGAGAAAGGCCGCCCAGGGGGAGAGATGGAGCAGCGAAATCAGCTTGTGATGCATGATGAAGCCAGTGCGGGGCCTGTAGCATGATGTCATAAAGGGGCTCTAAATAAAATAAAAAAACACGTATATATTAAAAACACACATTGTTTTACTTGCATAGTAAAGTAATTGTATTTTTTATTTGCAATACGGCCAGATAATACGACAAATCGATCACCTTAAACACCAAGTCGTTCATAAAAGTTGAAGGCGGTATAATACTATAGTAATAAAGCAAGTGCAGAATCACTGAACCGGAATTGATAGCTTGAAAGCATGAAGCGCGGGGCCCTTGAACGTGCGGGGCCTGTAGAATATGTATTAGTAGCTGCTACTACATGTAGTAGCAGCTACTACATGTAGTAGCTACTACTACATGTAGTAGTATCTATGTAGCTACTTTTGCTACTAGGATAAGGCGGCACTGCGTGCAGGCGCTACAGAGACGATTCAGTCCCTATCAGGGTTGGCGAGAAGTGGCGACAATTTGTGGGAGGCCTTCATCCAGCAGTGGATTTGTCATGGATGGCGATGTTGGCTCGCACGGTTGATGATTAGCACGGTTTTGCTACGTACGTGGAATGTCACACTATTTTACGATTATTTAGCCATACAAAATCAATCGGTGTTACTTTATAATGGTACCAACATCTGCTTTGGCCTGTGGACTAACAGCGGAGCTATCTTCATTTGTGACCCAAGTAATGGGATAATAGGCTAATAGGCTGACACGCAAATAAGCCGACACCTATTGCCCCATTAATCGCACCTCCGATTAGCACGGTTGGCTACGTACGGTGCGAAAGAAGTTCAGAGTGCTGGACATACATCATGGCCAACATCGCACAATGCCCCATGTAGCGAGGCATGGGGCGTGATTCAGCGCTAGGTGGCAGCATTCTACCAGCCTGCCCTGTCGCCAGTGTCGATTTTGTGAACGGAATTGGTGGCCGTCCATAAATGATATCACTCGATTTTGGACGATTTTGGACCCCCCCCCCCCCCTCAAATATGACGTCACAAAGCTCTGCCCCCGCCCCCAAAACCATATTTCCATTTTGAAAATAAAACATGCTTCCAATCACTTTAAACTATTGTCATTGTAGTGCGTATTTAATGTGGCGCTGCACTCTGATGTTGTAGGAGAAAACATGTATTAAAAAGGAGGCGTTGGAAAGCTGAAATTTAGCATAAAATTCACTTGGAAATATTCAACGTCTAACTAAAACTGCAGATGTTCAGAATATTATATTGAAATTCTCTTATAATTATAAAATATTAAAAGTAATTATAACTAGAAACAATACTTGAAACTTCATAGTAGAACGAAGCAAAATGGAGAGTACAATTATAACAATCATATATTCATTCCATAGAATGAAAAGCCCTGGTAGAATCATTTAAATCTAAATGTTTAATAACAATCATTAAAAAAAAATACAAAATGTATGCTTCTGCATTCTCTGATGGAGAAGCAAAATGCTCCTTCATGAAATAAATAAAAAGTGACCTTTGTAAATTTAAATAATCAAATAGTTAAAATTGAAAATTAATCAAAATGAGTGTTGTTATAACAATTCTATTGTTAAGGTTTATTTAAAGTTGCACATTTTCATGTGACGTCACATTTCTCAAACCCCGTCACAAATGTCTGACCCCCCCTCCCCCCCCTAGGCGTGTGACGTCATTTATGGACGGCCCCGTAGTAGTGGTGATTGTCTATTTGTTTTTGGGATTCTCCCTTGTGATGTGACTTTGTAGGATAAACGTTGATATTTATAAGGGCCATGGGGTGACCAATAAGGTCCGAATTTGTCTGTAATAAGTTAGGGCACCGATAAGGGGTTGACAGGTATGCGAGTGGCATATCACACACCACGTCACAACCACTTACAAATTTCCACTTCTGCATTTACCCGACTGGTGAGTCGTTAATCCATTGTGCAAGCCATTGTGGTTGATATTACTCGGGGGTAAAATATTCGAGTCTCAACGTTACACCCCCCCCCCCGCCTCGCTCCCCCACCAACGCACAGAGATGTGCAGTCCAGTCCATGGACTTGTGGTCTGCTTGTGGTGTGTGCCGAGTCGTAAAATGGATAAGACTGCGGGTGTATTGGTCCATGAACACGGGCCGTCTGCTTCAGTGACCGTTAAATATCCCGTGGTAGGAACCTCCTGGTTACACCAGCCCACAGGGGATTATTGTGTCCGTCGTGCAGGGAGGGGCTGGGTGGAGAGGGGCTGGTCACCCCGTGGTGCCCTTATAAAACTCAACGTCTAACCTACTCACGCCGGCTTGTGCCCGCCCTCACAGTCGGGCATATTTGCGGAATACACCACGCCGCCGTTGACCCTGGCCATTGACCGAGCAACCCAACGTTCCTAGCAGCTCCCTCCGCAGCAGGAATGTGTTTTGAAGAACAGGCCGTGTGTCGGCGTCGTAGGTAGTTACCATCTCACCGCGGTGCGAGATGTTAACTACCTCGCCTGGTATACAGGAGGATGTGGGTTCAATCCCGACGCCTGCGGTATATTTGCATGTTTCTCGTGGTCGCGTGGATATTTCTCCGGCTTTTCCCTCTACATTTTGAAACAGGCGCGTTTTAGAGTAATTTTGGCTGCTATAAGATGTCCACGTGATAAGCCACTTCGTTGAGCTCCAATTTGTGGCCGGGTCGCTTCTGAAAAAAGCTAAGCAGCTCAAGCGGGCATTACCTGGTATTAATAAACAAAAATTGTTGAATAGTTTAAATTTACCAAACGCTGAAAAATTACCTGGTATTATTAAAATTGTTGGAAGTTTCAATAGCGCAAATTTTCCAATGTTGAAACATTACCTGGAATTCATAAAAAAAAGTTTGTTGAATAGTTTCAATAGCGCAAAGTTGTCAACGTTGAAACATTACCTGGTATAATTAAAAAGAATCAGTTTAATAGTTTAAATAGCGCAAATTTGCCAATGTTGAAACATTACCTGGAATTAATAAAAATGTTGAATAGTTTAAATAGCGCAAATTTTCCAACGTTGAAACATTACCTGATATCATTAAAAAAAAATAGTTTCATAGTTTATATAGTGCAAATTTGCCAATGTTGAAACATTACCTGATATAATAAAAAAAAATAGTTTAATAGTTTAAATAGCGCAAATTTTCCAACGTTGAAACATTACCTGCAATTGCTCAATTGGGAGACCACATGGCAGTCGTCGTCCCCGACTGCAAACTGACAGCCTTGTGCTGTTGAGAAAATGGCCCCAACACCAAGTGTACATGCAATGATTTGAACGGCTTAAAATAAATTGAAAGCCTATTATCATTTGGTAGCCGGGCGCAGACATAAACTCGGTGACTGATATCGGGATTTGAATCCAGGAACGCGTTTTGTAGGGTTATGGGTAATTTAAAAGGCAATACCTCGTGCTATGGACAAATCATGGACAAACAAGAATCATTTGAAAAATGTTGTTAATTTATTTGTCACAAACGTATATATAGAGCACATTGTTTTCCTTGTTTCATGTTTGAAACGATTGTTTGCTACAAACGTTTATACATTACATTCAAACCCCCATTTACCATAAAAGTGTTAAAATGTATACGCGAAATCGGCGAGTAAAAAAAGTAAAAACAATTGAGATGTTATTTATTTAGCTCATTGGTCAATGATCACGGTCGATAATCCGCTTTTCCACTGGCACATCTGAGCAAAGGCCTTTGCGGGGCCCTCACGATATGGGCGGTTTTTCCACTGGTCCATTGCCATGCCAAAGCCGGAACCGCACATGGATCTGGCTCGGGGCCAAGCAGGGCCAGGGGGTGGGACAAGTGACGGGTTCATTGCGTGTTGCCTCGGCTTCACACTCCCGAAATCGCCGCGTTTGACGTCGGCGGAGCGGCTCGGCTTCTGCAGTGGAAAAACGACCTCTGAATGCCTACCGAGCCACGCCAGGCTGGCTCAGCGTTGCACCAGCGCGGCTCGCTTGTGTTTTTAGGCAGGAGCCAAGGCGGGGCACGGAGGAAACCAACTCGTTCTAGATTTGAAGCTTTCGTGACTGCAAGGATTCATATTCTTAGGTTTTTTCGGTAAAGTCACATAGGTAAAAATAAAATTCATAAAAGTAAAATAAAATAAAAAATAAAATAAAAATCACGACGTTTCGGAGGCAACACAAGCTTCCGTCTTCAGGTGGAACCGTCACAGCACGCTTGCTATATCAAGTAAATGATTAATTTTAATTTTAACCTACGTGACTTTACCGAAAAAACCTAAGAATATGAAGCCAACTCGTTGTAGACCGTTAGTGGTTTTTGCAGGACGAATCATTAAAGTAGAACAAGCAAATATCTCCAATCAAACCACACTTGCATTACTTTTGCATAGGTTTTCAGTTCCTGAAGAAGCTCACAAGCAAGTGGAGCGAAACGTCGGACATCGTACCGCAGAATACGCGACGCAGCATGGAAACACTTCGGAGAGCGACGCACTTGCATTATTTACAAGCACATTACAAGTTCAAATATATATTTTTTTAAACTCGTAATACAACACGCACAGACGTAGCAACGGGCTGTAAGAATCAAAAGTGGCTCGGACAGACATTAATAAATATAAAAAAACGTTAAAAAAATTCCAGGCTCATCCACACGTGCACCATTTATAACAATAATAACGCTTTTGGCCCCACTGCTGCTCATGGCAGGATGACTTGAGCACGGCAGTTTAAACAATGGTTCAAGTTTATTGTTGTTGATCCCACGCCTCTCTCCACCCAGCGGTGCAGTCAATGGGTGCGTCGCAGTTGAGTCGTTCGGCAGGCCGCGTGTGAAGGGGGAAAACATTTGAAGACTCCCACCACTTCCGAGATGGCTGACGAGTGTGGAAGAGTAGGCCAAAGTCCCTCTTGGAGGGAGAAGGCTCTCCAGTGACCTTTCGTGGAGGCCCTTCTGCCGGCAGTGACATCAGCAAGCAATTGCAGGGCAACACCTTTACCTCTCGTCGCGAACAACAACAAAAATCACCGTCACGTTTTCACCACGGCTCCGTTCGTGCTTTCCGCACGAATCCCATTTCCGTCAAAGAACAACCTGACTTGGCTCTCCCTCTCGTGCGCCTCCACCCGGAAACAGAACCCCTCCGTCTCCACGCTGAACGGCTCGGAAGACGCCGCAAGGGCGGCTCTGACGTCGCTGACGAGGCTCTCGAAGGCGACGCCTTCCCGCGCGCGGATCCAAACGGCGTTGGGGCTCTCCGCCACGACCTCCCCCGAGGACGCCGCGTCCGCGAGTCCGACTCGCGGGGAGGGGGCGGCAGTCGCGACGGAAGACGCGCGCGGAAACGCCACCTTGCAGACGCGCGGCTCGGCGCACTCGTACGCCTCCCCGTCGTGCACGTACGCGCACCGCACGCTCGCGAGGAACGAGGCCGGCTCGCTCGTCAGGAAGCCCACTGTCTCCTCCATGGCGCCGTCGATCCGCACCAGGGAGCCTGCGCTGCGCACGCCGCACAGCGAGCGCCCGCGCCCGCCCAGCATCGTCACACGCTCCACGCGGAAGGCGAAGGAGTGGCGCTCGCTGCGGCGCGCGTACACCAGCAGGTCGGCGAGCGTGCGGGCGTGCAGCGGCAGCGCGGGGCCCCGCCGCTCGGCGTCGGGTTCCAGCGCCCAGCGCACGCGGGCGCAGAGCCGCGCGTCGAAACGGCTGCAGCGGAGCAACGAGTCGACCTCCGTTTGGACGTCCGGCACGACGACGCCGCTTTTGCCGCCGCTTTCGCCCAGGGGATTGTCCGCCGGGCTTTGCGAGGTCCGCGCCAGAATCTTGCGCAGCGACGTGCGCAGCTCCTCGTGGCTCTCGCTCTGCTGCTCTCTGCACAGCTTCTTTACCACCTGCGGACTGAGTCCTTCTCGACCACGACCAGGGGAGCATAAAGCACCGGCACTGTTAGTGGCGTTGTTCACAAACTACGCGATGGTATATATCTGTTGAGAAAGCGAGGGGTTCATATTCTTGGTTCTTTCGGTAAAGTCACGTAAGAAGGGAAATAACATTTTCTTGGCGTGGATTTCACACCTGATGACGATTGCTCGTGTTGCAATCGAGACGTCGTGAGAATTTTATTGTTTTATTTTATTATTTCCCTTCTACGTGACTTTACCAAAAGAACCAAGAATATGAATCCCTGCAGTCACGAAAGCTTTAAATCGAACAGCGAGGGGTGTTCTTTTTTTGCCAACATTTGTTATCCGTGCCCGAAAACCATCAGATGCGACGACTGCAATGCCCCCCCAAAGAACGAAGCGCGGTCGACTAAGACCAACAGACCTGACCATAAACAAACGCAGGTCGCTGCCTTCGGCTGGTCCTCGTCGCTACGAACGAACCGGCGTAACGGCGACCCGAACGAGGCGGCATTTCCCCGAGCGTGATTACACGCTCCCCCCCACCCCCCCAAGCGCACGCGCGAGTCTCACCAGTGAACCCGGTGACGCCCCAGAGTGAGTGCGGCATGCACGCGTACGCGTCCCGGGCTCGCACGTGCAGCCCGTACTGGGAGCCCCTCTCCGAGCCGGCCTTGAACAGCTCGCGCACCAGCTGCGCCGCCAGCATCGAGGCTTGCTCCAGGAAGGCCTCGTCCGGGTCGTCCAGGTCGCCGAGCAGCTCGTCGGCGCCCTCCCGGTGGAAGGGCGCCGTCTCCGCGACGCGCCGCAGGCAACGCTCGACGCTCGGCGGCGGCGGGGGGCGGGCAGCGTCGGGGAGGAGCTCCTCGTCGGAGGCGAGGGCGAGGGCGCAGTCACGCAGCACGATCGCGAGCAGGCGCAGCGCTTCCCGGACGCCCTCCGTCGCGTCGGTGGCCGCACGGAAGGCCTGGTGCGCCTTCGAGATGAGGTTCAGCAGGCAGACGCCGCGTTCGGAGACGAGGAACCCTGTCGTGGCGGGGGGGGGGAGGGCGCGAGCGAGGTCGTTTGCGGTTGCGGGGAAAATTCAAGGACGACGTGGGTGTTTGTGTTTTTTTAGCATTCTTTTGGGGCTTTTTTTTCTTCTGATAATGCGTGGGGGGTCGTCAAAAATGTTGCACGTGACGAAACCACAAGTTTATTTCTCGCAGGAGAAGTGTAAATGACAACTCCGTGGCTCAAGGCCAAGGGGGACGAGGAACAACGCTGCATTTGGCCGTGACACTCGCATCGACATTTTAAATTAAGTGCAGAAGCCACGGTTTGTTTTCACGCCACCACTGGCGACGTAGCCGAGACCATTTCACTGCACTCGAAAACCTGGTTTAAATAACAGGCAACAAACGGAATTTGAATTCGATGTCAGCGGTACCCGCCTCAACGCTCTGCCATCCGAGTGACCGGGACACTGCATTTTTGCGCTCATTCTGCGAGTGCGACAGCGACGTCCTTTGTTAACCCGCACTGACCAGCGCGTTCCAAGCATGGCCAAATGACCCCCACGACCCGAGCGCCACAGGGAAGGGGGCCCTCACCCGGCAGAGGATTGGCAAAAGTGTCCGTGCACATGCATTCGTGACGACGCCGCCACCGCCCGCTGCCTTACATGATGCATCTCCCTGTTTCAGCTTGTTACGGAGCCTCTGAGCATCGCCGCCTGTGGCCTTCAGGAAGGTGCACACGAGCGCGGTGACTTGACGCCGCACGTCCCAGCCGCCGGCCTCCTGCAGGGCCTCCCACGCGTGCTCACGGCCCAGCCCCAGCAACTCGGAGAAGCTCAGAATGTCGTAGTCGGGGCCCGTCGTAGCGGCGGCAGTTTCCAGGGACAGCGCGCGCATCACTTCGTTTGCCAGCTCTAGGGCGGGGGTGGAGGGGCGGGGTGCGCCACGGGGAGGGATTCATATGGGCCGTGCATACCACGTGTGCTTTGGTCACATGTTACTCGTATTTCTGGCAATGGCAGAGAGTTGCGTCCAGCCTCCGAAGGGTGTGTGGGATTTCACAAGGAGACCGCTCACCTTGCTCGGTGGCCGAGAGAGTGACACTCTCTCCTCCCACGGACTCCAGCGTCAGGCTGTCGCTGAACACTGGGGACAACGGATAAGAAAAGATCGTTGCTGACATCAACTGCTGGAGACCCCAAATATGAGGGCTTCTCAATTCCAGTCCGCTGTCGGTACGTACCAGAATCAAATCCATTGTCGCTGCTGCTGTTGGGCGTTGCTGGGTCGAAGTCCCGACTTGTCGCGAGGCTCCGGGGTTCTAAATGAAAGGAAATATTTTTTTTTAAACATAAAATGGAAATCGCATGGACATTTGCGTAGACAAACTGCCTATAACCACGCTGAGTGCAGCCCCCATCTCGTCAAATCTCGAAATGCTAAGCTGTGTTGAGCCTGCTCGGTGCTTCCATGGATGACAGTGGGGCTTGCCCAGGTGCTGTAGACATGGGGCTGTAAGGTGGCTAGGAGATGGCAGAGCTGAGTTGTAATCCACCCCCCCATCCCCCATACAAAGGGATTTCTCCGGGCATCCGTGTACACCCACATGAAGACAAATGCTCACGAACGGAGTTGGCCAAAACATCGCAGCGATGAGGTCTTGAGACGCCGCGAGACTTTTCCTCCAATGATGCAAATCGTGTCATTTTTGATAACGGACATCGGTTATTGACATAGCTTCGTCGCAACGTCAACGCACCTCCTGTGAGGCTTGCGCTCCTGCAAGCCAGGTGCAGATCGCTTCAGGCACGGGTGAGGAACACGTCATCGGTGGGCCAGACACAGCCCAAAAACGAACTTCTCAGGTCATCGAAATGGCCCGCAGATTGAATCGACTCGTCATGGGAAATATCTTGGCTGCACTAATCGGCTACTAGAGGGGAATATATTTTGAACCTGGCTCGACTGTGTTTATAATTTTAGCACGCTCCATGCATTTGTGTAACTGGCAAGGCATTTTGCAGTGACAGGAGTGAGTAACTGTGGTGTGCGCGCGCGTGTGTTTTAATGCGTGGCTCGCCAAAGGTTTAATTGAAAGTCATATCTTCCCTCGGCAAAGGATTCTCCTCCACACCTGTTCTGAGGCCAAGTTGCATTTGACCAAATGTATGGCAGTCGTCGTCAACAAATTTACTTCGGTAACTTTGCCCCGCATCTAGCAAAGAGTGACAAGGCCACTCAATTGATTTTGACAACGTTGAAGTGTTGTGTAAAACTAATTATTACTGGCCAAGACTAATTAGATGATCCATTGAAATTGAGAGAAACAGAAATAACTTCAATCGCTCTGACAGCTACTGGCTTCGTGCGGCCTGGAAGCGTATTCTTAAATAAATACAATTACAATTCCTTATAAGGGAAACAAATACCAATGAATAACAATTGAATGATTACCAATCTATATAATTACAATACCCTCCCCCTCTTTGCCTCGAATCACTGCACCAGATTTAATTAAATGATGACGTCACCCTGCTGCTGCTCTATTTAAGACCGGAAGCAACAGGAGAGCTTCACCATTCTTGCCCGATGAAGCTGATTGTAATTACCAGCGAAACGTCGGACTACTCAAATTTTAAAATGCTGTTGATTCTCTCTTCAACACACCGGTGGGCTAAAGTAGTGAATTATTTTGTCCTTTAAAAACGTGACACATTCTTTACTATTTGGCCGTGTCGGGTGGTGGAGGGTTACGACACATTTATAAATAACGCGATCTGACCCAAAAACCTATATTATGACTTGAGTTATGTCTGGCTAATTAAATCGGGATTGTTGAAAAGCGTTTTTGGTGAACGGCGACTGGTCCAGAGCTGGCAGACAAACCTCAGATGATCACGTGGCCTCTGCGAACTGATTGGACGCTACCATCCCAGTTACCCGCTTGAGTGAACAGCGACCAGACGCGTCTGTATTTGGACGACTGAATGTTTTTGTATTTTTACAAAAGAAAACGTCACGGTAACTGTTGCCGGCAAAGAACACTGGCGGCAATTACCCTACATGTCGACCTCGTGTATCGTGCCCTTGGAGACGCGGGCAACACAAGCAATGCAGCTGTACCGAGGTCATACCTACGATCAGTAATAATATCGTTTAGTTTGGTTAGATCGTGTCTTTAAACCCGCCACCGACCGACACAGCCATTTAGTGAGGTTTTCTCACGTAAACAGAACGTGCCAATTCGTTACTAACACAGCACACCGGTGTGTTGGAGAGCAAACCCACAACATTTACAATTCGAGTACGACGTTTCACTGGTGATTACAACCAGATTCATCATGCAATTAGCCAGAATTGTGAAGTTTTCAGTTTCGGTCTTAAACATGTGTGCTGAAGTCGTAACGAATTGGCGCGTTTTGTTCACGTAACAAACTTTACTGATTGGCTGTATCGGGTGGTGATGGGTTTAACGACACATTTATATTTACGCCATCTAATCCAAAAAAAACCCTTTATTATGGATAAAATTGGTCGCGAAAGCCTACATGTTCAACTTACCATCAGTGCTCTTTTCTCTGACCAGCCACGTAAGGTCACCTTGAACTATGAAAAAGACAGAAACAAACGAACCACACGCAGTTATACATGCGCACGCACGTGAGATTATACGCTCAGACATACACGGCGATTACTACATTATCACGATCATCGCAGCCTTGACCTATCCACCGCCATCCCTCGTGATCCTGCGATGCCACAATCCATATCCGCTCCTGCACACGCGTCGATCTTATCGCTCCATCCCGGCAGCGGCCGTGTTCCCTCCTTGTGACTGCTGCTCCGTTGTAAGCCTCAGGACATGTCGCTCGATGGGATGATGACTAGCGGTAGAGACTAATGACGGAGTGGCAGCCAGGGGAGGGAACTACGCCCGAGAGGACGCCCACTGTGGAGATGAGATGATGAAAGCAATTGCAGTGCAGGGTGCGAGATGGATTGTTACAAAGCAGGGACCACGAGAGGTGGCGATCGCTTGGTGAGGCCTTCATCCGGTGGTAGATCGATCACGGCAGACGATGACTCCATGTGCATCATCATTAGATTCAGTGGAAACCAATGCAGTCATAAAAGCAATTTACAGGCCAAGGCCTTCATAGAAAAATAACATTCAGATAATATGAAAATGATTCGTGGACACGGACGGGCTTCGCTGCGAACGCACAAATTACGAGTCAGAAGAAGTGGAGTCGGGCAAGGAGATGCGCTCTTGCCAAGGCTATTCATATCGGCATTGGAAGATAAACAGGCGGCCTCCGGTTTACGTTGGTCCACATTTACGACATTTATCAAATGCCACCATGGGTCAATTTACTACGCAGAAACTTGATTTACGGCGGGGTTTCCAGGAACGCAACGTGTCGTAAAAGCGGGGGCTGCCTGAATATGTTGTTTTAAGATGTACACTTGGGAAAGCGCTATAATAAGAAAAACCACAAGGTGCTTATCTTCTATTGTCACATTGTGAATGGCCTTGGCGAGGGCCCATCTCCTTGCCCTACTCATCAAGCGACTCCTCCCGCGTTAATCCACCGCTCTGAATTTACCTCCCGTCTCTGGGAAGGCGGTGGTGACCGGCGTCTGCGGAGAGACCGATACTTGGGAGACCAGCGAGCTTTGAGGAGGCTCCCCTAGACAAATGGAAAAGTAAAATCACATCAAACCAATGCAAGAGCAGACAACCCCCGAGCCGAACCGGTGACCACCCTTCTCCCCTTGCCAGCCACATTGCACGCACATCCTGACCTCACAACGACGAACATCAACTGCACTCGGTGCAACAATAAAATCAAAGTGCATGGACAATACCAACAGCTAGATTTGAAGTTTCCGTGACTGCAGGGATCCATACTCCTTGGTTCTTTCGGTAAAGTCACGTAGAGTAGAAAACAAAATAAATTAAATCACGATGTTTCGGGCGCAACACAAGCGTCCGTCATCAGGTGGGACAACCGCAGCAAGAAACAATTGCTGAAGTGAGCGAAAGTGCTGCTGTAACAAGAGGCTATATAGGTAAGAGAGGGGGGAGGAGCCAGGGAGGAGAGATAGAGAGGGGGGTGTACGGTAGGGGGAGTGGAGTGCTGCAAGCTAGAGGGATTACAGGACGAGCAAGGCACGAGCAAGGCACGAGCACGGCAAAATGCCGGGGGGGGGGGGGGGGGGGGAGAAGTGAGCGGGGCTGGGAGTGGGAGGCTGAAGAAACTGGAAATGCAGATATTATTTTATACCTACGTGACTTTACCGAAAGAACCAAAGAGTAATACCAACAGCGTTTGAATTGAAAGATGGCTAAGGTGCAGCCTCTCCCAATTGCTTGCCCGCTCGTTGGAGTTCTAGAGATCCCTCCCTACTCGTTTCAAATCGCCAAGACCATCTTTTAAGAGGTCAGAGTATCGACATTTGACCCCACCACACGCGACTAACCGTCGTGTACACATTTATACTGCTAAGGTTGACAGACGCAGGAGGATTTGTAGAACGATCATCTTCACCAACCTGCTTCTGTTGCTCACTTAAAACAACCCCCTATCTCATTTTCTGAGCCCATCCTGCTACTGCTACTCCCTGCCCCAGCTACGACCAGGCCGACCCCAACTCTTATCACTACCCCTACCCCCTCCTCCCTTAACCACTCCCAACTATTCTGTCACCATAACTACACCACCAGTTAATAACCACTATCTGTATTTCAACCACTATCATCTCGTGTACAATCTTAAGATTGGTATAAAGCGCCGTGCATTGAAGGTGCTCGATGAATCTATGTAAGATAAGATTTAAGACATGTTCCCATTGCCTTAACTGGGAGGTCGATTTGGCGGCATCTGGATTGCTAATTCCAGCGTGCCTACCGTTACACTGCGGCAGCTTCACCCCCCACGCGGCTAAGGAAAGCCGCACCCAACCTCAATTCGCTTTTTCAGGAGGGTCCTGCATTGATGTGTTTGGTCAATGTCTTTTTAAGAAGTTATTTGGCGATCCTGCGTTGGCAGTGGTGCACAAACGACAACAATCTCAAGACATTCGACAACAACACCAGCCCTAAGTGGGACATGTCATAGGCAACGTCTCAGGCAATGGGCCCTCAATCGTCGCATAGAGAAGCGTTGTGTGCGTTGCGTGTGGGAGGGAAACCAGAGTACCCGGAATAATTCTACACACGAGAGGCGGGGGGGATAACACTCAAAAAGTCCACAAAGGTGGATTTCAAAACTCAACCCAAATTTACCGTACTGCCTCCTCTTGGTCATGTCACATGTGACCAAGCGTGGGAATTTTTTTTTTTATATAAATTTACTTCACCCTCCAAAGCGCCTGGTTGAAGATGTGTGCGTCGCTGCGAAAGTGTCAACACACCTGTAGTTTCGACAGAGACGCAGGTCACGTTCTCGACTGGAAAGGCAAAATGACACCGTCAGCACGGCGATTTGCGAACGACCAAGGTAACATCGAAGCACGTCGATATCGTAAAACCGCGCGTTCACATTCCGATTCGTAAAAGAATGGTATGTGCGAGCTTATTCGTACGTAACCTGCAGCCTCCTCCATCCTATACACATTGTGCTTTTAGATAATGACCATCATCTTTGTATTCATGCTTCCACATCACCGTCATCATCATCACCTGCCGACATTAAACTCACGGGAACACTCGAGTCTTTCAAGAGGCAATTTAAGACCAACTTGTTTACCATCTCTTTTCCGTTTTCACAGTAAGGTGTGCTATGGAAGCCATCCAACTAAATAATCATCATCGTCTCGTGGAAACATACAAGTGGTGCAGAGGATGGAATAAGACAGCTCACAGATGTAAACATTTAAATGAGCACCCACAGATGAGAAACCTAAAGACCCTGAAGCCGGATGGCCGCGGATAGAGCCTGCCGGAGCGAGCCTTAGAGGTCGCGGGAGGGAGGGGTGGCGGCAGCCCTCACCGTCGAAGGCGCCCATCTCGCTGGCCAGGTTGGGGTCCTCGTGACGCAGGGCCTTGTAGAAGAGGCAGCAGGCGGGCTCGCCGCGCCGCAGGCACACGTCGATGAGCTTCTTGGAGCGGTCGAAGGGCGTGTTGGCATTCTCCACGTGCTCCTTCTCCACCTGGCCCAGCAGCTCGTTGGCGAAGAGCTGCACGGTGATGGGCGCCGTGAGGTCGCCCAGGCGATGGCACAGCTCGCTCGACTGGCGGCGGAGCTTCTCCACTGCGGCGGCACGAAGTAGAAGCACGCGGTGGGGAGAGGGGGGAGGGGTGTCAGCGCGGAGGGCTCGCCGGTTAGATCTCACCGGGGCGGTCGCTGAAATAACGTGACAGGGTTCTTGGATCCACTGGTACGAACGTGTGCGGTTGCGCTACTCCCCCCCCCCCCCCCCCCCGACACGTCTGGCCAGCGTGGACGAGTGGGTCACATCACCCTCCGAGGGGGTACTCTACAGCTCCCTCGGGTGGAGGTCTTTCCAGCAGTAGGGGCATGAGCAAGCAGTTGCAGAGCTGTACCTTTGCCGCTTGCAGTGAAATGCCTCTGATTCATTCACCTATCATCAATTCGTTTAGTTGTCCGTGCGTCGGAATCGACCCGGGGCAAATTCATATTATCTGCATGCCTACTTTCTCCTATCATCTGAGTAGAGTGTCGAGGAAAGTGGCTGTGAAACGCATTCTTTTATCACGAGATTTGTGTGTAGACGAGAGAAGCGGCTGCACAAATTCATCTTACGGTGCACGTTTGTCCACGCTTCATTACACGGACAAAATAAGGATAAAACGAACAGACAAACGATGCATCTCTCATCGCCTCGCCACTACCCTCGGTATACTAAGAATAATATTTCAATCCTATCACGATGCTTTCCACTTAAAAGTTAAGCAATGTCCAGTGTTGAGGCCATGATACACGACCACAACTTTGACTATCATAGGGCAAACGTCACTGGCAATCGTCACCAGACAACAACAAAAACTACAGACAACAACAACCGTGGCAACTTAGTATGGCAACACAGCAAAGGCGCTCTGTCTGGCTGATGAAAACAGAGTCTGTTTAAAACAATTCAATTCAAGTGGAAAGCATCGTGATACGACTTAAATATTCTTTTTAGTATGCCGAGGGCAGTGGCGAGGTGATGAGAGATGGATCGTTTGTCTGTGCGTTTTATACTTGTTTTGTCCGTGTAATGAAGTGTGGACAAACGTGCATTGTAAGATGAATTTGTGCAGCCGCTCCATCCGAAATGCTGTAACAGGGTGAACCGTGGATAGACACGCCACTGATTTCGAATTGCACTTCACACAAGTGTAGGGATATTGCGAAAGCGATGGCTCCGTATCTTACAGAGGAAAAGAGAATGGAAAGATTGAATACGAGAACTGTGATTGGTGGAGGGAATGTGTAGAGGCAATGAAATTAAACATTGGTTTTCCTATAATTTCTCCATATTTTTTAATGGGGGTATCGATACATTGATCATCCTTTATTTTTTTTTAAATGAATGTGTTCTTTCTCACCTGTTGGGAAACTTCTGACCTCTGAAAAGAGAAGATAGCAACATAAGACGACCGACATTTAAGTGAGTACCAAAAAATGAAGAGTGTATTCAAGCAAAGTCTTATTTCGATAGCCAACGTGAGCTTGCCGTTAGAATGTGAAAAGAAACTCTGCTTTGTTAGTAGCCGTGAGGCAAGCACATCCGGAGTTATGCCGCCTTCTACATACCTGTGTTGACATATCTTTTATCTGGAAGAATAAATTAGAAATAAAAGCAAATCAGAATGCGAAAAGGAACACCGTGCCATTATTATTCTCCCGAAAAAAGTGAAGAATTACTACGTGAAAATATCAAAGCACACTCTCAAACTACGCAATGAACAGAGTGACCGCGACTCGAATGATGTAAGGCAGCGGTGAAGTGATTAAAGACAGCGCCAAGTCATCTTGTCCATCTCCCGTCTTTTACGACCGACCCTTTGTGCGCCTTTTGGCGTCGTCTGGTCCAACACCAAGTTCAAGTTCATTTATTAGGTATAGCCCTGTGAGCCATTCGGCTCTTGAATCGGGTGCAACCGCAACAAACAAAAAACAAAAACATAAACAAAACAAAATCTTAAAGTGAATGTGACTGAGACTGGGCTCTAAGAAAAGCTGTCTTGGGTGTGGACCAATCAATTTCAAGGACAGTGCAATACATTATCAGAGTTGTGTTGTTTGTTTGCATTCCGACCGCAGGTATTGTGGTCAATGCAAACATGACTCCTTGTAAAAAAAAGGTGTCAGTTTTGTTGCCAGATAAAAGGGTAAAAAAAACAATTATCGACCCTTTGTTTTGAGTCGTGCTGTTTGTTGCCGGTCACATGGTGTTGTGGGCCTGTGCTCGGCAATCGCGATGTCACGCAAAATGGTCCCAACTAATTTCACGTTCACCCACCTTTTAAATACAATTTAAGTCGTTGCAAAAATCAGATGTTCGTCCGACCAGCGTGGTTAAGTATGGTCAACAACCCCAATGACCGGGAGGCCTTCATGCAGCGGCTGATTGACAAAACACTGTCAATCATTTTCTAGACTCGATTATGTGTCTGACGATCAGTGCACATCGCAGTCAATACAGAGTGCACTTGAATTAATGCCCTCCGTGTGATGTGAGACAAATACAAAGATCCCCCGTGTAGCCTTTAACAGACTGCGAGGGCAAGTGCTTGCCTGTTGGGGCAACTACCTATGAAGGCCGGCACGGCACACGAGGGGGTGGGTGCCAGTACCACGCCCCTGCCACCTTTGCCTCCCCAGTGGCGACATTTACACATCGCACCGGGTACTCAATTAAGGCCGAGTCGACCTAGGGGAGTCCCAGGACCGGTTCAAATATTTGCCACTGTCATTTGTTGCGAGCGGGAATCGAACTCGGGTCACCGAGTGTAGCCTATTAACCGATGGTCGGGGCAAGTGCTGTTAGCGAGCAACTATGAAGGGCCGGCACTGTGGCACACGAGGGGGTGGGTGGCCAGCATCACGCCCCGGCAGGCTTTGTCTCCCCAGTGGCGACATTTACACATCGCACAAGGTACTCACTTAAGGCCGAGTCGACCTAGGGGATGCCCATGACCGGTTCAGATATCATTGTCACTGGGTGTTGGCCGCGAGTGGGAACCGAACTCGGGCCCCCAGGTTCGTAGCTCGGCACGCCGCGCCACCGCGCCGCCGCTCGCCACGCGCGCAACACAGAGACGTGCACAGGCTGCCGGACAGAGGGCCGCACGTGGCGGGTAGCGGTGCGCACCTCCCGGCTGCGGGCGATGCTGCAGCAGTGTCCGCAGCTTGGGGTAGGCGGTCTGGCTGTTGGCGAGGCACTCGACAAACACCTCCACCTGCTGCTCGCTGAACTGCAGCCGCACGATCTCCAGCAGCTTGCGCGCCCTCTTCGTCGGGATGGGCTCCGCGCGCACCTGCCGCCGAGATTGGGGCAAGCGTCTCACAAACAGAACCCCCCCCCCGGCAGCCACCCCCGGGTCTCGCCAAGGCCCACGACCGAGGGCACCGCGGTGGCACAACCCTGTAGCCGCGACCTTGTTGAAACCGTGAACCCGTGGCGTGCCGATGTAAACGACGAGCTAGAAACATATGCTCAACGCGAAACAGCACGAGTGAAGATACGATCTTCTGCCGTCTTATCGTGCATTCCACTCTGGCTCTCGCACACCGCCCCCCCCCCCGCCCCTCAATTACCGAGGCGGTTCTCAACACCTAAAACGAAGCTTGCAGATTGAAAGACGGCTACAACAGGAAATCAGTCACATGCCATTGGCATTGGTAGACCACGTCCGGCTCTGCTGACGAGAACCAGACGTCTATCCCGGTTTAACAGTTTGCCATCTGATACGAATGTTGCTACGAAACATCCATAAACGGCGAGAGAGCGGGTAAATCTTTTTACGCAAAGAGATGAACATAGGACGCTGTTTGTGTGTTTAGCTTGTTGTCCTTCCCCCGCACCTCCGATCAGCACTGTTGGCTATGTACGGTGTGAAAGAAGTTCAACATACATACAAGGGTACAAGTGCAGTTATCTAAAAAATGTTCCCCCTTTCCTTGACGGCTGCCCGGTGTCCGGGCCCCTCCAGCACGTGCAGCCCTGGTGCGGTTATACCGCCTGCACACTCGATACCTAGGCCAACTGCACGGCAGCTACGGGTTAAAAATAACTACGCCACTAATGCAATGGAGCCGAGCAATGGAAAGGGAACAAAACAGCCCACGTGCTTCAAAAGCAAGGGTTGCTCAAGACCACCACTTCCTCGTGCACGCGCACAGCCCTTTTGTCAATCCAATGCGGGATTGAGGGCCTCCCTGCAACGTGCGGCTATTTTCATTCGGACTAAACCACGCTGGGCCAATGTGGGTTTGGTTGCTGAAAGAGCGGGCGAGGCACAGATGCGGGCGGTGTAGGCGTACGGCGCGCCGATGACAGTTCTCAAAATCCATTCCACCATTGCTCCCCCCCCCTCCCCCACAATCCACTTCTCCACATTTTACCAGCCTCCATTTCAAACGCGACTCAAATCGCCGCGGCGATCGCGGCGTTCGCGTGCAACGGCAATCGGCGGCGCTAATGTTTTCGAGTACAAGTGAAGTGCCTATTATTCTAAGATCAGATCGCTTCGAATGTGCCCCGTATCTCTCGGCAGATCTCGGAAAACTCAGCAGGGGTTGAGCGAGGGGAGCACTCGGATGGGCGAGCAACGTGCACAAGGCAGGGTGCCACAGGGGTGCAGATATATGTTTGGGGCAGCACAAGACCATGCAGCAACAACGATTCTTATACACTGGACTGTAGTTCCCATGTTCCCGTGTCTATGCTCTTCCCCCCACTCCCCCACCCCTCAATGACCTGGGTTCCACGTGCATTGCGCAACAGCGAAAAACACATTCCCTGCCCCGCGGCAATTCAAACCCCCGAATCGTGACGGTTCACGAGGGAGCCGAGCGAACAGAGCCGCCGGCGAACTCACCTCGTTGTAATTTTCGTCGGTGAGCACGAGCTTGGAGATGAGGCGGTCGAGCAGGTGGTCGATGCTGTAGAGGGCGTCCACGATCTTCTCGTGCGACTCCAGCACCCAGCGCTTCAGGGGGCCCATGGTTCCGGGCCAGTGCCCTGCAAAAAAAGCCGCGCCGCGTCACACGAACGCTCGCCCGTCCGCGACACCGCGCTACGTGGGCACGTTCGCAGCGAAGCACTTTTTTTTTTACAGTAAACTATCGGTTCGACAGCCACGACACGTTGCCTCTTGAGTTATGAAACTCGGAGGAAAGCCGTGCAAAAAACAACGGGAGAAAGCACCCAAAGTTGGCACTCGAACCGAGGGCATTCTTGCACGAGTGTTTGCCAATGCTCCACACTGTCACTCAAAGTTGAAAGCTAAACGAATAACGAAACAATTTTTATTTTACCAGGTAAGGCCCACCAAAGCGACCTGGCTATCACAAATGAGAGGTAAACGAAGTGGTTTATCACGTGGAAATGTATCGCAGACAAATACTCTAAAACGCACGTTGATTCTAAATGTGGAGGGGAAAACTGGAGGACTCGGAGAAAAATCCACGCGACCACGGAGAGAACACGCAAACTCCAAATACACAGGGGTCAGCGTCGGGATCGAGACCACGACCTCCTGTATACCAGGCAAGGTAGTTAACATCTCGCCACCACGGCGCACTTTCCAACGAAGGTTAAACACGAGTATGAATGAGCTTCGTCCATCCCTGATGAACGGGGGGGTGAGGGAGGCACTATATTTTTTTTCATAAAGATGCTCCAATATCAATCGAACTTTAATTCAAAGTTGTGTTGCTGTCGGAGACTTACTCCATAAAAATAATCGGCCAAATGGAAAAAAAGTGTTTGTTGGCCAAAACTTCGAAACACAAACCAGAGGGGAAAGGACTACAGTATTTAGAATTATGTAATATTTTGTTGTGCCAGCTGCCTGTCAAATATTTTTTGTATCTGTTCGCGAATGTTATCTAACAAGATCCAGTATGCATTCAGATATCTCTCTCTCTCACGGCGCAATACAAGCCCTCATGTTAGAGAACAGCCCACGAAAGTGGATGTCACAGAGCTTCTGCCGAGACCTGTTCTGGTCCACAGAGTAGTGGATGGTGATTTCCTACTCGCGCTGCCACTGAAAGTAACGTTCATCACCGCACCACAGCAAAACTGTTGTTTTCATTTCTCACAGCTGGAATTTAGCCAAATTAAATGTCGAGGCAAACTTAATGTGGTGGTCTTTCTGTGCAGTCATCAGTGACCAGGCTGAGACCATAAACCCACCATACTTGGGAAACGACTTGAATCAGACGCATCTGTCTCGATCTGTGCCCAAGGATTTCAGCGACGCGAGGAAACAGCTGTGTTAGAAGGGCTTAGCATGCGTTGACGATTTAGTCCAGGCTACGCAGAGCTTGCAGATATCACTAATGGTGGACGTTGAATGATACATCGACTCATCTATTAAAATGTATTATTGTGCACACCATACATACATTTATACATCGGAACATGCATATGAGAATCAATAATTTACCATTTGTACCAATCATGGGCAAATAATGGTAAGGTTATAGCTAGGCTATTGCCGTGAAAAAAGTATACGTAATATAAGACGGGAAAACAAGTTATAAATAATACAAACGAGATGGCAAAAATGAGACAGAACCGATTCTTGAATTGAATTGCTATCCAAATCGTGTCGATCCAACCGCTGTGGGAGGCGAATCGTCACTATGGGACATGGCACACGAATGGATAACGTGACACTCTCCCACAGGTGAGCGTCTTCTTCCGAAATGTTTTTAAGTGGCAGTATGAAAGCCGACAAAAATAGCCGACGAGGCAAGATGCACTTCCATATTTTCAAATACTGTCGTGTTTTTTTCACCTCTGGTTTGCGTCTTAACGTTTTGGGGAGCCATGTGATCAATGTAGCCGGTTTTCAATGGGGTAAGTCCCTAATATTATAAAGTTACACGCATTAGACGCAAAGAGCTTGCTACAAATGAACCAAATCGCTTCTGAATAATATATACTAAAAATAAAAAATTTAAAACACGCTTAAATGAAATGTACCGTACTAGTAATGGCAGAACTCCACGACTCCAGGAAGCGGCCCCGTGGCTTGCCACAACTTAAGGGGCCGTGGTCATTTACAGCCAACGTCAGTTGAGCGTGGACAATTAGACCCAAGCCGAAACATAACATATAAAAAAGATTGCTTAAAAATATAAATATTTTATTTTTTATTATAGAAAATAGTATTGTCACCATTATGACATAAGTATACCAAGTTTCCAGTCGATACAACATTGGGAAGTGGGTTAAAACTGTAAATCACCATGGCACCTTCCACTATGGCAAGCTTCGGGGCCACCTCCTGGAGTCGTTGAGTTGTGCCATTACTAGTATGGTACATTTCATTAAAGCGTGTTTTTAAAAAGTTTTTTTCAATATTACTTATTTAAACAAAAACCGTACATGCTACATTGAAAACACGAGGGAAGCCTAAAGTGTTTTTGGACCTCGACCCAATAAATCTAGTTGGGCAGCTTACAATTCCAAGTTGTGCATGTGCCGCTATATTGGTCTAGTTGGCGAAGGCAGGGACAATGGATGTGGGAGCATAGAAGTAAAGTACAACGGTGCATTTCGACGCACCACGTCGCCCCGCGGCAGCCTCGTCATGCACACTGGTCGCTCATCCAAACGCTATCCAAGCTCAAACCTGCTTAGCTTCCGAGATCTGATGAGACTGGGTGCATTCTGGATGATATAGTCACCTCCGGTTAGCACGGTTGGCTGCGTATGGTGCAAAAGAAGTTCAACATAAACATCATGGACAGTATCATCTAAATACAGCGCTATAAAGCAGCCAGGACCGCACAGCAGCGGTACACATGGCTTGCAACAGAAGGGTCATCTGAGCCCATTAATTATACACCACTTCATGGGGAAGTATACAACAGTGTGTTGTATAATGTAAACTTGTCCCCGCCAGAGGAATGTGGAGTTTATACCACTACCTTCGGGGCTGTTATTCGGAAATGAGTGGCAAGTGATGCTCAGCTGAGCAGGAAATAACTTCAACCCCGACAGGCTAGAAGCATCTCAAAATGCTGCCCACAACAGCAAGCGTATAGAGCATAAACCAGCCGACCACAAAAAGAAAACGTAACGAAATACAAGGAACACAAAAGTGCAAGTTGGGCAGATTGAGCGGTAAGTTACACAACGCGTGCCCACAAACCGTCCAAACCGCCACAAACGTCCCGCAGACAATTCAACGTGACAAACACTTTAGCAGGGGGCAGACGGAGGAAGCGGCTTGGACACCAACTTAAACCTCGCCCGGGTAAGAAAGAAACCAGTGAGGACAATGCATTCTGCACTGTGTTACAAGGTGACGCGTAACACATCTATCCACGCAAACACCTCAGCCGCGTACCTCCAACCACGCATTCAGTTTCCACGCTCTCTTCCCGTCTCCCGCAATGTCGTCATCCTACCCACCGTGACAAAAGGTGGCCTCTAAAAATCGGCGCAAATATTCTCACAAGTCCAGTGTCAAATCGAATGCTGCCGTGCCGTAATGGTCAGCTCGCTGGACTTGCAATCTTAGAGGTCGCCGGTTCAAATCTATCTCCTGGCACGGAAGTTGCTACATTGGTCAAGTTTCTTTAGTCCACACGTATGTATGTAGAACTTATTTCGCAGCGTACGTAGCCAAGCGTGAAATAAATGTTCAATCTGGGTTTAAAAGTGCATGGCTCCAGTAGTTTCGTAATATCGGAAGAGCGTTCCAGATGGCCACAGAAACGCATCTGAAAGCGCCCGATGCAGCGACCATCTTTAGATGCCCTCGTCTAAGCAGCAGTACATGTCGTGTGTAGGTTTAAACGTGTTTTAGTGTGCGTAGTCCAACCTCTGCAAGGTTGTCTGACCAGAGTGGAAGTGTGGGGCCAACACACCGTCCTGGAGAGGCTTTCTAGGGCTCCCTCTCGTGGTCCCACAGCAATGGAGAACAATTAATTGCAGTGCTGCACCTTTAAGTTTGTTACCAGTGTCGATGACGTAATGTTATTGCGTAATCGTTATAAATATCTGAGCCCTCACCGTAGGCAGGAGCCGCTGCCATCGTGAAGGCGGAAGGCGTGGAATCTTGAAAGCGCAACACACCAATTCAGCAAAGCGGTCTGTGGAACATCACGAATAACACAAAAAAATCGTTTTAAAAACAAGCGTGCGTGCACTTGCGCATTCACACACACACGCAGCGCACTTCCCTGTCTTACAGCGCTCGCACACAGGTAAACGGAAACAAATAAAATTGGACCGAGTAGATTTTCAGCAGTTGAGTCACACAGCCCCCAAGCGTGCTTTCGTGTTTGTGCCACGTGTTGTTCAGCACGAGGTCTGATGTTTCGCTCCACGTGCTTGGGGCTTTTTCAGGAGCCGCTTTGAGCGAAACGTTGGACATCGTGCCAAATAACCCATTGGTAAAAGCACGACCACAAATACAAGTTGGTGCACATTTGTATGAAAACATGAAACGGCAAAGGAGAAACAACCAGGAGCAGAGTGCTTTTGATTGTTTTTAGAAATGACAAAGGAAAAAAAGTTGGGCCCAAGTTATTTGTTTTGTCATTCATATATCTTTCTTCGACTACATCACAAGTTTTGAATCGGATTTTTTAAACAATACGCAGTCTCGTTAAACAACATGGACAGTATTCAGAATAATGTCAATGTCTTAAGAAGCTTTCCTGGACAAGTTCATCATAATTATTTCTACGGTAATTGCAATACAATTACTGGAATGCATCACACAAATACATATTTGCCCTTGGGATGTGCAATTATCTCTTGGAATTTGGAGGCTGGTCTCTACTCGCATTTGAATGAAAAAAAAACCAGGGCAATCTTGATTCAAGTAAGTTAACTCCCCTACGTCTTCAAGTAAAAGTAGCAAATGTTCAACAGACGTTTAATGATTCACTCTCATGAATCAGGGACGTGATTCTATTATAAGAAATCAGTTCTCATGACACAGTGGCGATTGTACCCCCCCCCCCCCACACACAAAAAAAACACTTAACAATATTAATCAATAACACTGTGGTCTTAAAAGGAATGATGTACACAATAGGCGACGTTCCGCGCAATTTCCCTTTCTCGTGCGCTCGAAGACTCGATATCAATTGGGGCATTGATGTGTCACGACACCCTCCGAAAGTTGCATCAGCAAGAGTCAAGTAAAAGCAACCTTAGAACAGACCGATTCTTAGTTTAGAAAGCTGAAAATAATCATGAACACTGAAGGTCTGCGATGTATATCGTGTTGTACGGCGTTTTTTTCGGTGATGTTGGGAAACTTATCCAATATAGCAGTATCGCTAGCAGCACAATTTGAAAACATGTCCTAGAGGAATGCAGACCGTCAAGAGCTCTTACTGACAAAGCATTCCATGGAAATGTCAAAGTTGTGAATTCAAGACTGTGGAGCCATGTGTGTGTGTGGGCGATTGTGGTGGTGGAGCGGTGGCGCTGGGGTTAGCGCGCACCGCGCAATTAACCCGGCGACTGGAGTTCAATCGCCGTACCGCTCACGGACAACATCAGTGGTGTACATCAAAACAGGTCCTGGGCCTCGACTAGGTTGACTCGGCATTAAACGAGTACCCGGTGCAGTGTGCAGGCGAGACGGAGGCGGCCAGGCATGGTAGTGGCCACACCACCCACGCTAAAAAATTCTACCATAAACAATCGCGGCCGTATCCTGATGCTGTTCATGGCTCGTGACCGATAGCGCCGATGCCAAAACACAGGGCAGTCCAGAAAGCGGGTGACGTGGAAGCCACTGGACCAAGCTAAATCGGGGTCTAACGATGAATCCATTCGACAACTGACATCGATTCTTAAGGCTCACGATACATGAAGCCAATGGCATATATGTGGATCAATGTTTAAAAATTGATGCAAATTATATGCAACTGACACGTCTCGTATGAAATGCATGCAAGCACAGCATAAGAGGTAAAACCAAGCAAACCAAATGAGACGGTGAATAGGAGACAAAACGAAGTATCCAATCAGAATCACAGCCCTGAATCGTGACCATTCATCGAATCGTTGGAGAGGTCGAGCAGTTTCACTCTCTAACAGCACCGATCGTTCCTTTATGGCCAGAATGTTTTCAGAACGCGCCACTTATACGATGATTTGCAGCTGATTATTTACGACTATATATCGGCATCAAGTACCAGTAAATATTACGCAAATGGACTCATTAGATGTTATGAAGCCCCACCAACAACTGTACACTTCCATGGTTGAATATGACGGTTTGGAATAGTATTACAATAATGTAGGACCCACTGACATATTAAATTAATTCTCAATTCTAAGCAGCTTACCCGAATATATATATTATTACGGCTGTGCAAAAAACATCCTTCTGGACTTTGCATCACACACAACAAAAATAACAACGTAATCTTAAAACTAAATTACTTTCAGGCTTTTGTCAATGCACTGCCGCATGGAAGCCTTGCCACACTGTGGCCATTGGGGGGTTGTTTGGTCATACTTCACCGCATAGGTCAATGCAAGCAAGCGAGCGAAGGAAATGGGGGGGGGGGGGGGTCGGGACTTGTTCAGATGTCACTCGCCACGGATGTTAGGCCATGGCCGAGCGATAAGTCAGGTCACCGACTCCGTCGTGTGGTGCGTTAACCACAGCGCCACCGCCTCCGCCGTATCTCAGATGTTGCTGGTGTGACTTTATTTGTTTCACCCGGGTCCAAGACTCAAGCGACCGGGATGAAGGAGTCTCATTTGCAAGAGTGACCTGGTTCACCAAAATGACAAAATTACAAAAGCAAACCAAATAAAATTAAATGCAGCAATGAAGCACATTTTATAACTGCTTTATTGACAACACTAAAGAAGTGACGATTACTATAATCTCTGTAGTATTCTTATCTTGCAGTGTATAATTGTAATCGACTTGGTTGTGATATCCACGAGGTAAACGTGGCTCTACAGGAAGAAGAGACAATGCTGGATCTGCCCTTCACGTTTTGGCAGCCAGTCAACAAGGATGTTGCACTGTACATTAACACTGTACCGACAGCATAGCCCATACAGCTTAAACAGCTATCTCCTCCGGCATACTTTCCTTTTGTAAACTATTATCTTGCTGGAATGGCACTCCACTACTGGATGAAGCCCTCTCTCCGGCGAGGGTTTTTTTTGACAAAGCGGCACCACAGCTTCGGTGAATCTCAATCATCTCTCGTCTCGATATTTTTTTACCTTCGAGATATATCCACCCGGTTGGTTTTTTTTAACCATACTTCACCACTACGTATAGCCACAATAAAGTATAGTATTCAAAATACAGGTACGATGGTCCGACTTACGATATTTCGATCTTACGATGGCGATACGACAAAATTGCCATCAACAACCTAACATCGTTCAAGTATGCAGACGACGGACAGAATCTTGGTGGCGTACAGCACAATATGATACGTTACGATACGTTCAATGCATGTATGATACGTAGCTTTAGCGATTTCATCTTAAGGTTACCACGATACGATACGTTCAATGCATGTTAAAAGTTTTTTTTCATAGCAGATAGGATTGTTTCCTGAAAAAACTTTCTATTAAATTGCAGTTCACATAGGTAGGCTAAGAATTTACCTTGTTTTTTTTACTTTACATGTTACTGTGCAATACAGTATTGTAATTAATACATACAGTATATAGTTTATACAGTACGGTACTGTAAATTGCTCTGTTTTGCTAAATTATCACCATTCTTTAAGACTCCTGGGTAGGCTAGGCCATCTTCGACTTACGGTATTTTAGACTTACGATGGGGTCATCGTAACGCATCTCCATCGTAAGTCGGGGACTACCTGTAAACAAAGGTTTGTTTCTCCACGTGAAAATAAATTAACTCTCACGTCCATGCACCGATAGCCCTACTGAACCCGTGTGGTCTCCATCCAGAAAACTCTGGAGGTGGTTTCTACTCTGGCAGTCTCATCAGCAGAGCCAGACCTATCATCATCTCATCATCATACTATATCATCTCTGATACTATAATGGAGGAAGTGTACGTTTGCCTGATACCGTTTGTCCAGAATTTATTTTTAAAAGGCCCTTTTTGTTTTAGCGCGTAACATTTGTAAAAACATTAATATTCACTCAAATATCGTTTTCATTTATATTTTATTTACGCGAGTAAAAATGTCGATTTCAAATTTGGGAAACATTACAGGCGGTATCCGGTTTAGGAAGGTCTTATTTACGACCCATATTTGCGACGTGCATATAATGCCACCATGGATCGATTTCAAGACAGAAACTTCATTTACGACGCATCTTCCCGACATGACTCCGGAACACATTTGAACGGTGATGATTCTACTGCGAAACACAGTAGAGGAAGGAAGACGAGGTACAAAAATAAGGTTGATCAAAATTACTTCGTGTCAATTTTGATTAAAAAATTGTATGTTTAGTACTAAACTGTATACTTAACACTCTTTTCCTATGAATTTATAGCACTAGGAGATTGTTTTGGAACATGTTATATAATGTGGAATGGTTAATACGTTGTTTTTGAAATGAAAACAAATCTTAATCGTATTATCTATTAACTTCTAACATAAGAGTAGTTCAAATTTTAGGTTAGGTGAGGCTTCATAGGTCAGAATTTGAGCCTTCCACAAATCTTCCAGTCAACACATTGGGTAATGGAGCTGTGCCTGATTAAACATGGGCCCGCCTGCTTAAAACACATTTCCACGATGAAAAGAAACCGGTCACAAGGCCGATAGTGAACTGTTATTTAATGTTAAGTTGATGTGGAGAATCGTACGTTTCCCTTTGATAGAAAATGAGGACAGAATTGTGGATTTACCCCTTGGTGAAGTTATGGTCAAACAACCCATGTGGTCTCCACAGCGTGGGGATGCCTTCCTCAAAGCAGTGGTCTAACACAGACTAAAGTTGTTTTGGGTGTCGTTACCCATCATCATCATCGTCAGACATGACCTAATTGACTGCTGAAAGCCTAAAAAAAACAATTACATGGCAAAGCTAACTGGGCAAAATCAAGAACGCATATATTATCAAAGTATGTTTTTTATTTGCATTTTGACCACAAGTATTGTAGTTAATGCAGACATGATTCCTTGTAAAAGGTTTCAGTTTGGTGTTGTAACAACTTAACACACCTGTTTTGTTGCCAGATAAAGGGGAAAAAACCTATTCTCAAAATCAAGAACGTTAACTACAAACCTAGTAAACACGGAACGTTGGCCCAACGTTGCTCCAATGATTCAATGGTTTACTGGGAAGATGGTGAACACAGATCAACATAGGACGTAGCCGATTTTATACTCTAAGCAACGGAGTCAGTCATGTGCAGAGCAACATTAGATATACAGTACTATTGTTATGACAGTTTAAAGACTTCCATCAGGAATCATCTTTAAAATGCCATTCAAATCGGGCCTCATGGCGTAGGGTTCAGTCTACAACTCTAAATAGACACTCCTACCATAATCAGAAGTTTATTTCCCAAGTAAAACCCATTGAGCTAATCATCTCTTTTAAAACTAAACTATTTTTTTTTATTTTACAAGGTGAGGCCCACTCAGCTATACAGCTCTTTTCAAAGCGACCTGGCCACAAATGATAAGTCAACGAAGTGGCTTATCAATGTGGAAATATATCAGCCTGTTTCTAAATGTGGAGGGAAAACCCGGAGGACCCCGGAGAAAAATCCACGCAACCACGGGGAGAGAAAGACATGCAAACTCCAAGTATACAGCAGGTGTCATCATGGATGGGATCGAACCCACGACCTCCTGTATACCAGGCGACGGTAGTTAACATCTCCTAGCCACCGTGGTGATGATGATGAGAGAGAGACACGCAAACTCCAAGTATACAGCAGGCGTTATCAGGGTTGGGATCGAACCCACGACCTCCTGTATAGCAGGCGAGGTAGTTAACATCTCCTAGCCACCATGGTGATGATGATGAGAGAGACACACGCAAACTCCAAATACTGTATACAGCAGGCGTCATCAGGGTTGGGATCGAACCCACGACCTCCTGTATACCAGGCGAGGTAGTTAACATCTCCTAGCCACCGTGGTGATGATGATGAGAGAGACACACGCAAACTCCAAATACTGTATACAGCAGGCATCGTCAGGGTTGGGATCGAACCCACGACCTCCTGTACACCAGGCGAGGTAGTTAACATCTCCTAGCCACCGTGGCGCCCCAAAGGGCGACTCTCTGGCCTATGAGCCATGACGATACGGGCCATTGTCAGAAACGTCGACTTTCCTACATTTGTGTTCCGTTCAAGGCCACAAAAGGTTGCCTTTTTTTGTTGTTACTGTCCTTAGCGTCTTATAATCGTGATGACGAGCAAATTGTCAACAGTGAGCGAGCGTTAACCGCGAGTCGCAAATCGCCTTCAAAATCAACATTCCGCGCGAACAACACAACGCGAACTTACGAAGTCAAAAGGCCAACACACAAAAAAACCACGCATCTCCAGACGTCAAAGGGGGAGGGAGGGAAGAAGACAACGAGGATTTCACGCTGACAACATTTCCAGGAAGCAACTGCAGCAGAGAAGGCCCCCACCGGTCCGTCGGTGGAAGATGGGGGCAAAATCGGTGGTGTTTTGGTAAAATCAGTGGTGTTGGTGGTAACATCGGTGGTGTTGGGGGTAAAATCGGTGGTGTTGGGGGCAAAATCGGTGGTGTTGGTGCAAATTCGGTGGTGTTGGTGGCAAAATCAGTGGCGTTGGTGGCAAAATCAGTGGCGTTGGTGGTAAAATCAGTGGCGTTGGTGGTAAAATCAGTGGCGTTGGGGCCTCTCTCCCACCCAGCCCGACGCCTTCAAACCAAACCGTCGAAATTTTTACATCTCACACCGTGACGTCGAAGGTGCTCCCCCCCCCACCACCACTAAACACGGGGCCCGGGGCGGTCGACCCGATTTGAAGTGTCGCCTAGAAAAGGGCTCTGGCGAGCAGAGAAAGACACGCACGTGGCGAAAACAAAGATAAAGATGCCCCGTGTAGCCTGTGACAGACTGCTGGGGCAAGTGCTGTTAGCGAGCACCTATGAAGGCCGGCACGGCACACGAGAGGGGGGTGGGGTGGCCAGCAACCACGCCCGGCCGCCTTTGTCTCCCCAGTAGCGATGTTTACTCCACACCGCGCAGGGGAATAATTTTGAGGCCGAGTCGACCTAGGTGGGGGGGGGGGGGGTGCGGGACATCGGCTGGGTGCAATAGCACCGGGGGGGTCATTGTGTTTGTGTCTAAACATTGTCCATTTAAAACAAATTAACGATTGAACCCAAAAAAGAAAGAGGAGTCAAAACAGCGGCGATAAACATTTACGCGTTTCTGTGCCCAGCCGAATTGGTCGCGTACCATGAATATTTTCATTTATTCTTAATTTAAAAACCACACACACAACAACAACAAAGATGCCGCCGAGGTTCATCTACTCACCCAACTCTCCTCCGTCTGTCTCGCAGACCTCGTCCCGCCGCCACCGAACAGGGAGAGGAGACACTCTCTCTCGAGGCGGATTCACATCGAGGCTCTGCGCGCAAAGTCGCTCGCGGAAATGACATCAGCGTGTTGTGGTGGGCGGGTTGGTGGGTGGATGGGCGGGTGGGTGGGCGGGTTGGTGGGCGGGTGGGTGGGTAGATGGGCGGGTTGGTGGGCTGGGAGATGGGCGGGTGGGCGGGTTGGTGCGTGGATGAGTGGTTGGGTGGGCGGGTTGGTGGGTGGGTGTGTGGGCGGGTTGGTGGGTGGATGGGTGGGTGGGTAGATGGGCAAATGGGTGGATGGGTGGGTAGGTGGGCGGGTTGGTGGGTGGATGGGTGGGTAGATGGGTAGGTGGGTGGGTTGGTGGGCGGGCAGATGGGTGGGTGGGCAAATGGGTGGGTAGGTGGGCGGGTTGGTGGGTGGGTAGATGGGCAAATGGGCGGATGGGTGGGTAGGTGGGCGGGTTGGTGGGTGGGTAGATGGGTAGGTGGGTGGGTTGGTGGGCGGGCAGATGGGTGGGTGGGCAAATGGGTGGGTAGGTGGGCGGGTTGGTGGGTGGGTAGATGGGCAAATGGGCGGATGGGTGGGTAGGTGGGCGGGTTGGTGGGTGGGTAGATGGGTAGGTGGGTGGGTTGGTGGGTGGGCAAATGGGTGGATGGGTGGGTAGGTGGGCGGGTTGGTGGGTGGGTGGGTAGATGGGTAGGTGGGTGGGTTGGTTGGGCGGGCAGATGGGTGGGTGGGCAAATGGGTGAATGGGTGGGAAGGCGGGTGGGTGGATGGGTGGGTAGGTGGGTGGGCAAATGGGTGGGTAGGTGGGCGGGCAGATGGGTGGGTGGGTTAGGTGACGATGGCGAGCGCCTCTCTCTCTCTGCACCGATAGCGCTCACCTGCCTCGGGGTGGCGTGATCCGGGCCAAGTTGTTTGTCTGTAAGTGGGGGGCCAGGCTTGTGTCCACGTGTCTCTACACCCCCCCCCCCCAACTACCCACACACATCGCTACCGGGGGAGACAAAGGCGGTCTGGTGGCCACCCACCCAGCCACCTATCCTCCTGATCGTGTGCCGTGCCGGCCTTCTTGTGTGCTGCTACTGGCTAAGGGGTCGTCCATAAATGACGTCACGCACCTGGGGGGGGGGGGGGGTCAGACATTTGTGAAGATGTGTGACGAAGTGGGGGGGGGGGGGGTGAGAAATGGGACGTCACATCAAAATGCGCAACTTTATATCAATATAGACAACACGTTCTACTTAATTAAATAGACATTTTAATAAATGTTTACTCCTACAACATCAGAGTGCAGCGCCACATTAAATACGCACTACAATGATAATAGTTTAAAGCGATTTGAAGCAGGTTTTATTTTCAGGGGGGGGCAGAGCTTTGTGACGTCATATTTGAGGGGGGGGTCTGACTTTTTGTGATGCCGTGTGACTCGGAGGGGGGGGGGTCAAAAATCGTCCAAAATCGCGTGACGTCATTTATGGACAACCCCTAACAGCACTTGCACCCATCAGTCTCGAATAGACGGGGTTTTTTTTTGGGGGGGGGGGGTTAGATCGCGTCAATATATAAATGTGTCGTTAAAACCCCCACCACCCGACACAGCCAGCCTCTATTATGGATGATGATATTGGTCGCTAAAAGCCTTACGTGTCAAACTACCCAGCAGTCTGTTGTTGTTTTTTCTTCCAGGATTGCTGTTTTTTCCAAAAAATTTCTATTGCGCGTGTAGTCACTTTAAGATCTTCTTGTTCATGTTTTTGTTTTGTTGCGGTTGCACCCGAATCAAGAGCCAGCATGGCTCACAGGGTTATACCTAATGAATGAAAACTGAAACAGGCTTTCCGTGATGGTGGGGGGGGGGGTCTTTGAGCTCGGCCCCTGTTGGAGGAGGCTCGTGAAGGATTTTACCGAAAAAACCTAAGAGTATGAATCCTTGCAGTCACGAAAGCTTCAAATCTACAATCAAATCTAGAACTTCCAGGGCAGTCAAAGAAGGGGCCCAAGCCGCTCTCCGTTGAACAACAGCGGAGGAGCGACGCTCACAAACAACGGCTCTCTGCTGACCCAGACAGTGAGAGAGAGAGAGAGAGCCATCGGTTGAGATCTCCATGTGCACCTAGCCTGGCACGAGCGCCGCAGTTGCTGGTGGGTGGTTACGTGATCATTGTCACTGCCGCTCAGTGGTGAACTGCGGCTGCAGAGCGGCGTTGGTGTTTGGGTGGTGGTGGTGGTGTGTGTGAGGGCCCCCTCTGGGTATTTCCCACGCACGGGCAAACTCAACGAACTCTGCCGCGGGCAGGGGTATTTCCCAGTGATGGATACATTTTTTTTTAAACCCTCCCTCCCACACACACACACAATTGTAGGCGCACAAGAAGCGTGGTGCTTGCTGTGTCTTTCAATGAGAGATGTTCAGAGTTGGGGAGGGAAGGGAGCAGCAGAGGGCGTGCGGGGAAATTCCATTGGCGGGGTGGGAAAATGCATTTAACCCACGCCATGGTTTCGGTTGCGTTCTGCAATGGGTGGTGGAGGTGGTGGTGGTGGTGGTTCTTGCGCTTAGCGAGATGAAGCCATCGAACAAAGGCGGTGGTCAACGACATCGTCGCGCGTGGCGCCTCCAGATCCGCTTCTGCGGCCGTCTGGAACGCTCTCGCTTCCCGGTGTTAGGAAGTCATTGGGGGTTATGCGCTTTTAAATCGTTGAGATTGCAAACTCGTTTGTTTTAATAGAACTGCTCTGTTCGTGTTTAGTTTGACCTTACCGCAGGGTGCGAAATAAGTTCAACATAACGTACTAATATATGAACGATGCATTGCTTATCTGTTTTGTAATTATCAACAAATCTCCGATCTCTAACGAGTCTGGATCTCTTCATATCTCATATTTTCTCCGTATTTTGTTTACTATTATGGGCAAGTAGCCTAGCACCGGCTCTGTGGGATAATATTTTTTCTGTTTATGCGGCGATTGTCAATGCGGTGTTGTAAGCACGGAGCTCACTCAGACACGCACGCGTCCGTTCAGATTAATAATTATAATCAAAACAAGATTGCACGCGATCACAAGATACACAGTGAGTCAAGCAAATATACCCACCCACCTGACCACTTCTGGATAAATACATTATTAAACAAAGACAACGATCCACTGTGTACCCTTTAACAGACTGTTTGAACAAGTGCTGTTAGCGAGCACCTATGAAGGCCGGAACGCCACACGAAGGGGTGGGTGGCCAGCACCACGCCCGGCCGCCTTTGTCTCCCTGGGGGCAATATTTACACAACCGCAGCAGGTATTCCTTTGAGGCCAAGTCGACCTAGGGGAGGCCCAGGACCGATTGAGATAATCTTCAACGGTGTTCACGGTCTTTTCGATTTAAAGCGTTCGTGACTGCATGGATTAATATTCTTGGTTCTTTCGGTAAAGTCACGTAGAAGGGAAATAATAAAATAATATTATTTTATTATTTCCCTTCTACGTGACTTCATGGTGTTCATGGCCGTGAGCCGGAATCGAACTCGGGTGGGCCAGGTTCGTAGCGCAGCGTAGCGCTCACCGCTACAGAGAGAGGCCGTCCGTGCCTCCCGCCCGGCTTGGAAGGTCTCGGGGCCACTCCCAGCCTGCGTGGCCCTCCACTGCTGCCGTGTAACATGGGGCCCTGGTGGCAAGCCGACAACGCTGATTATACTGGTAGGAACCTCCTGGTTACACCAGCTCACAGGGGATTATTGTGTCCGTCCGTCTGTCGTGCAGGGAGGGGCTGGGTGGGGAGGGGAGGGTGGGGATGGGCTGGGTCGGGACGGTGGGGCTGGGTGGGGAGGGGCTGGTCACCCCGTGGTGCCCTTATAAAACTCAACGTTTAACCTACTCACGCCGACTTGTGCCCGCCCTCACAGTCGGGCATATTTGCGGAATACACCATGCAGCCGTTGACCCTGGCCATTGACCGAACAACCCAACGTTCCTACCAGCTCCCTCCACAGGAATGTGTTTATATCGCTGAGACATTTATACACCCTGCCACAATCATGGGTAATGAAATCTGAGTTGCAGGTGACTTGAGTTCCTGTACTATTGGGAGGGAAAATGCCATCGCACTCCACCATGCAGGCCTGTGAAATTAATCTTCTCCTGAAAATAAATTCAGGCAGCATCTGCACCAAGCAAGTCAATCCTGCCACTATTACTTTTTTTATTTTACCAAGTGTAGTGACGCGGAATGAGTCACTGGAGCGCGTGCCGCTGGGAGATTGGTCGACAACAGCATTGGGGGTAGTAACAGCCCGTTCTTCCAGTTCCACCCGGGGCAAGGCACGGAGCAACCTGGGGGATCCAGAGGGGTGCAGGGGCCGAGGGCGGAGCCTGGTCACGCTGGGCAGGTATAAGGCGAGCTCCGACTCAGAGTCGGGGGTGCGGCAGAGGTCGCAACCGGGTACCCGATACCCGTACCCTACCCGATACCCGGCTACCCGTACCCGGCCGGTTACGGGTTCGGGTAGCCGTTTGCGAACCTGGTGCGGCCGGGTACGGGTACGGGTAGGCCGTGAGTCACTGGTGAGTAACCGTTAGTCACTCATTTCGGGTAGGGTACGGGTAAGGAATCAAAACCCGTTTGCGACCTCTGGGGTGCGGTGATGATCGTCTCCGCAAGCCGTGGGTCTGGCAGCATGCTGACTGTCCCGACCCAGTATGGAGTTATCCACAAAGGCTGAGAAGGCCGGAAATAAAGAGCGAGTACCTCCAACTCGCGTCTCGAGTTTAGAACACAACACAGGTAAACTCTGTAGCTCTTTTTCAGACGCGACCTGGCCACATATGATAGCCCTGCGGAACTGGCCTATGTGGAAATGTATAGCAGCCAAATAGTCGAAACGCATGTGGAGAATCGTACATTTTCCTTCGATAGAAAATGAGGACAGGATTGTGGATTTACACGTTGGTGAAGTTATGGTCAAACAACCCATGTGGTCTACACAGCGTGGGGACGTCTTCCTCAAAGCAGTGGTCTAACAAAGGTCTGAAAGTTGTTTTGATTGTCATTACCCATCATCATCGTCAGATATGATCTAATTGACT